TTTTCATTTTTTGCAATATAACGAGATCTATAGGCGAATAAAACACGACTTGATCGAGTACGATTATGGTGGTGATGAGCTTGAGATTCCGCAAGGCTTCACCCTCAAGACAGTCGCAATTTAGTAAGTATATCGCTTGGAAATACTTGGAAAAAGTACGTTTTCGTAAATGATACTGATTTGACTACCAAAAGCAACCCCAAAAGAAGATGCATCTCAAGAATTGGTCGAGTTCCAGTGGAAGATGAGGGAGGAGGAGGTACAGGACATGCAGCAGATTTGATACAGCACCATTAGCAAGGCCCCTCCCTTAGGGGAAACCCCAACCCCCCGGGCCCCGGCGGCCTGAAGGAATAGAATATCTCGTACGCTGGAGAAGCGGTAAGAAACTTTATAGAAAGCATGCAAGAACTGGAGCGATCACTTACACTCCTCATTGAGCCCCCTGCATACGAGATGTGGTTCGTCAAATGAATGTATGATTAGCACAGTGTGTAAGATGAGTTGGTCCAGGTAATTCTTGAGTGGAGCCCCGCACAGTTTGCAGCAGGAAAACGCACGTGGTCAACGACATGTTCAAATTTGACGGAGTAGTGCATCCCATCATCGATTCGCAATTTCTCTGGTAGAAGGGCGCAGCGCCCTCGAACGAATTCAATGATGAGAGCCCAGGCACTGGGGCTGTCGAGGATAGTCCGCCACTACTCTCAAGCGCCCAAATCACAATCGGCACTCTGGGGGCAATTCAGCATCGTCTTGTCGCGCAGCCCGTCTAAGGTACGGCCACATTGCAGCCTGAACATTGTCCCATCAACGGTTATTGATTACCCCTAGTCCTCCGCTATTCGAGAACTGGTTCAATATATAGAGAGCCGGAAGAGCTTCTCCAAGCACCTTCCATATGATGGAAGAAGCTCCTTGGTAGTACTGGCCTCCAAAGACCTTGCAAGCTGGCTGGAGGACCCCGACTTCATACCAGAACTCCTAAAAAGCCTCCGACCTAGGGAACCGCCGTTGAACACCTCCAAAAAGCCCGGCGCTCGGCTGAAGAGGCCGACAGTTGATGTCCTGTCGGGTGTCATGGATGGCCTCGTGCCGAAGTCTCCCAAAGGCAAACCGAAGTCTGGTTTGGCGTTCCTGGTCGGGTCTCAAGGCTTGTTGCCTGGTCTTTGGGACAAGGAAGCCCCAAATCCAGCACCAAAGGCAGAAAAGTCGGCTTCCATATCATTTTGCGCAGCTTTCCCCGGTAGACCTTCCAATTCCGGGGTCACCTTTCCACTGGCGAACACGATCTTCGTGAATGGCCGACGGTCGACTCTTACCGCGACTCGATACACCAAGGACGAGGAGACTGACTCGTGGTATGGCAGCACGCCACAGAGCAAGGTTCACCAAAACATAGAATTCTCCTCCGATCAAGGGCCTCTGTTTCAGCCAACGATACCATTGTTAGCGCTGACGACCCCACGAAAGATTGTCTCGGGTTTGGGCAACATTGTAAAACTAATCGAGATAAAGGGAGTTTCCTCGCCCGCCTCGACAGATCTTGAGGTTCGCATCCCTCACGTCATAAATTACAGATCCGAACGAGGCTACGATTTTGCAAAGCGTCCGTTCGGCGTGTGGGCAGTTGTCGTTCCAGAAGAGGTCATGCAGACTGGCCTCATGAGGAACTTGAAAATATGGGCTCGTGGAACTGGGAGTACGGAGCCCTTATTCGAAGAGATTATAAAAAACCTACAATTGCTAGGCGTGTTTGACATGCGAGTTTACAGAGTCTGTGAGTTGGACTATCTTTTCCGGGTCTCGTCCTCTTTTTATGTACTAACGGGTCACCGAAAGTGAGCGGCGGCGGCGGCTGGGGGGCTAAGCAAGGCCTCCTGTCGTTGGATCCAGAGACCAGCTATACAATATCCGAGCAGGACAGCATGGAGATGTTTATCAAGGCCTTCCAAAAGAAAGAAACCCTTGATGGCCCCGAGGGACCCATAAGGCCAGGGTCATATATATGGTTCGGCATCGAGCCGTATCACAGGCGCATGAAGGGGGGCGAACATTACAACCGGTCTGGCATATGGCTGGGAAGTATTGCCGCAGAGGAGGATGTCTTGGCCCCAGGAGCCGAAACCGAATCCGAATCCAAGAGCCAAAAACCCAAAAGAGAGGACAAAGAGCCACACGCAGCACAGTTCATTACGAGTGCTTTCATTGCTGCTTCCTCAGCCGGGCTTTACATGAAGCTGGATACTCCAGGGTACTACTCGGCCATCAAATCGTATCCCTTCACCACGAAGATCGACGTGCCGCACTCGCTGCTCTATCATCCGGGCGCTGGGCGCCTCACACGCGAGCGCGGCGAGGAAGCTGGTTCAGAGAAGACTGGCGACACTCGGTAGATGCAGATTGTACAATAGACAGAAGGTGGTTCATGGATTGTATACCTAGCCAATGCTGGCAGTCTCGTTGAGGGCACGCGGTTGCTGGTGGAATGTCAACTGTGCCTTGCGAACGTTGTCCAAGTACTCGTCTTTTCCACAGGCTTAATACGATGTGCCACACGAGCCACAAAAACCAAGCAAATAGTGTACCAATATGAAGCAAGCGGTTTGTGTTGGATCTGAATCTAGTGCCATGTACCAAGGTACTTACGTGTAGGTATTGGATATATGGGTTACTGCGTGGGTACATGGTCATGTAGGTAGTTGAGCTATTGGACGGGCGGAGCGGGCATGCTGCACGGAATCAGCTTAGCTGCCTTCGAGTTATATCCATGTGCTTGTGATCGAGGTTAGTGTTGGTGGCCCGGAAGTCCCCCTCAGCCCCATGGGCATGGAGTGAGTATAGGCCTCAAAATGGCCCCCATAGTAGCAAAGGTACTTAAGTCAGGCGGGTAGCTAGGCGGCCCCACTACTCAACGAAGCGAGCCTTTCCCAACTTCCAGCGGGAGGCTTGTGTCAGCCGCGTCCACTGCCTTCTGCTCCCAGCTCCATCCCAACTTCGAATCTCCCATCTCTGCTGTCGCTTCAACACCCGCGCAAGATGGATCGCAGCCTTGACGAAATCGTCGCTGAGAATCAGGTGAGTCGCCTCATGTCGGCCTTCACGCATCTGCCCAGATGCCGACGGCTCAAGCCTCTCGCGCACACCACCGAGAGGCACACACGTTGCTAACGACACCCTGAGCAGCAGCAGAAGCGTGACCCGCGACGCCGTGGTGGCAATGGCGGCAACGGCGGTGGCCGCCCTCGAGAGCGAGACTCGTACCCGCGTGACGGTGTAAGAAAGGCAAGGCTACCTCCCCCATTGACCCCCCTGCGCCGTCCCCGTCCCCGTCCACCTTGCATGTTCTGCACAATGGTCTTAGACTGCTGACACGGCAAGCTGCAGGTTGCTCACTCTCACCCTCACTCTCCTACGTCGAAGATACCACCACCACCCTTCTAATCGATATCTCGCGTTGCGCTCCGACGCCACCGCGGCTCCTGCGATCTCGATGGAGGGGGTGCTGGTCACCAATGCCTTGAGAATGTCCGGCTAACGTAGCGCTCTCGTTCTGCGAGACAGTCCACCAGAGACGATTCGAGGAACATGGATTCGTAGGTGGCATCTTCCGCCGAGACACGGTGCCTGCGCTGGTCTGGCTGCTGACATCAATGCTAGGGAATGGGTCCACGATAAGTTCGAGGACAGTCATTGTACGTCCTTCTGCGCCATGCGGTAGACAAATGGCCACGCTGACCATTACGCAACAGCCCATGGCCGATCTCGAAACTCGCGACGCCGCAATTCGCCGGGCCCGTCGTCCCAGTTCGTGTTCTTCCCCGGACTCATCAGGCGTCATTCATACTGACCGCACTCCAGCAACGAGACCCGAGGCACCAAGATCAAGGTCGAGAATGTGCACTATGATCTCAGCCAGGGAGATCTCAACGTAAGCTACGACCCCCCTCATCACCCCATAGTGCCCCCGGACGCTAAAAAGGGTGATCGCAGGGACTGTTCAGCAAGATTGGGCCACTCGTCAAGGTCGAGCTGGTCTACGACCGCGCAGGACGTTCGGAGGGCATCGCTTTCGTCACCTACGAGGAGTACCAAGACGCCAAGGAGGCTGTGAGGGAGTTTGATGGCGCAAATGCCAAGGGTAAGTGAAGCTCTCGGTGGCCAGACCGCTAGAGAGCGAGCTGGCTAATGATCATGTTCAGGTCAGCCTATTCGCCTATCAATCATGCCTTCAGGCCCACGCCGCAATCCCTTCGACACTGCGCAGATGCCCGGCCGATCTCTAGCTGACCGGATCACCGTGCCCTCGGGACGCTCGCGCTCCTACTCCCCTGGCGGCGACCGTGGCATTGACCGCTATATTCCGGCTGGCGGACGCCGATCACGCAGTCCCCTCCCCCGTAGACGGGGTGGAGGCAGACGGCCCGGCCAACAACGCGAAGGAGGTGGCCGAGGTGGCGCAGCTCGGGATGGAGAGCGCAAAGGACGGGAAGGGCGGGAGGGACGACCGAAGAAGACCCAGGATGAGCTCGATGCTGAAATGGCTGACTACTTCGGTGCAACGTCTGAGGCTCCGGCCGCAGCGGAACCCGCAGCTGCAGCCCAGGCTGGCGGCGATGATATCGATATGATTGAGTAAAGGATGCACGTAAGAACTTGAACTTGTCGCGGTTGGTCACCGGATGCTCAGAGGCTGTCTAGTATACGAATAAAGAATCGATGTCTCTCGGTCAAGACTCAGCTGCTACAACGGATTCATAAGTGAACGCAGGTCAGGGTTGTGCTATCGGATGACTGTCGTCACTCCTGCCGAATCCATTCACAGGAGTACTGGTTTACTCGGAGATTTTCTGTCTACCTACGCACTAACAACCATAGCGCCAATACTGTCTTTATAGTGCTTGTTCATTCTCTTCAGGGCCTGGGGCAGTATATCCCAGCCAAGCCCGCCCATCCTCTCCCCGTTTCTCATCGATCCATCGCTCGATCCTGTCGTCGTCAAAGTGGATGCCCAGCAGCACTATGCCGAACTCGTCGACGTCCTCGGGCGCCGCCTCGGCGAACAGGCGGTCCGAGGACATGCTCTGCATGAACAGCGGGCTCCGGACCCCGCCGTCCAGGGCCAGCCGCGACCACGCGTACGCCGACCCGGCGTCCCACAGCCCGCGCCGCAGCGTGACGGGCACGCCGCCCGGGCACTCGGTCCAGCCCCGCTTCAGCATCAGGTACGTGTGCTGCAGTATCTCGGCCGTCAAGAAGGCCCGCCGCACGCTCTCGAGCAGGATGAAGGCGTGCCACAGCGTCCTGGTCGTATGCGTCTGACCACCGAAGGCGCCGCCGGGGCCAGAGGATGGCGACGAGGAGGAAGCGGACGAGGGGAAGAAGCGGGCACCGCGGCCCGGGTCCGGTGGCGCGGCGAGCGAGGCCAGCAGCGAGCCGTCGCGGAACGAGCGCCCGGCCGCCGCGTGCATCTGCGCACTCCACCGGAACAGCGTGTCGACATCGCCGTCGGCCCGCGCCCGTGCGCGCACGTCGCCGTCGAACAGCCGCAGCGCCTGGTACGCCAGCAGCGCGTGCACGCGCGCCAGATGCGCCGCCACCGTCAGCCCTCCTTCGCCGCTGCTGTGGTCTCCTGCTGCTGCCGCCAGCGTCTCGTCCAGGGCCTGGTCCGCGACCAGCTGCTCCGCGCGCGCGTCCAGGATCCGCAGGGCCTCCGGCGTGCTGGCGGCTGTGCGGTGCTTGTACGTCGTCACTGCTGTATAGGCGTCTTGCACTGGGTGATGAGGAGAGTCAGTGGTTTGTATCTGTGAGAAATGGGAAACGTTGGTGTTAGGTGCCATTCTGGCAGAATCAAAATGGCCAGGCCAGAGATTGAGTATCAGGAGGGTGAGATACTCCTGCTATGCATTGTACTACATGAGATCAAGGGACATGGGCTACTCACCGCAGCGCGGCATACCACCCTGGTATACGGCACAGTACAGCTGCGGGTGGATGAGCGGGTTGCTAGGCTCCGAGACCCAGGCGAAGAGCCAGGACCGCACGCTGGCGATATAGGCGTGCAGGCTAGACTCTGGCTGCTCGCCCGCGGCGCTCGGGGTCGTGTGCTCGATCACCCACGTCGAAGGCTGGAGGAACCAGGGTGATGGGGAGTCGGCCGCCGCAGAGCCGCCGCTGGAACCACGAAGAAGGGGAGGCGAGCTGGCGGATAAGGAGCCCTGGCCGGGCCACTGAAAACCGGGGGTGGCTTCATCTAAGAACAGGTCGTCGGACGGGAGGTCCAGGAGCGAGTAATCGAACCCGATGTCCTCGATGAAGAGCGAGGCGGCCGCCGAGCTGCAACTATTATTGGGCACGGCGGCGGCGTTGCGCTAGCTTCCGCTTCTGGCAAAACTGGTGCCACCTCGGGGGCGGGCCTCCGCGCGGGCGGATACTCGCAGCGCATGCCGCGGTCGGTGCAGCGTCTACATGACGGGGTTTGTTTTGTACATTGCCTTTTCGCTTTAGTGCAGCGCACGCAGGCCCGACGCCAGGCGGCCGGCATGGTGGCCGGGGTTCTTGGGTTGTCTGTCAAAGGCTGTCAAATGAAACTCCACCCAAAGGTTCTTATTCATGGCCTGGCAGTGCCATTGCTTGATGACTTAGAGGTCTGGAGGTGTGTTTCCCTTCGCGTTCACCGGATGTCAGCACCGAACTGCCTTGCGGAAGCCAGGCGGACTTTTGTGGGGCCGACCTCGCGGAGCACCGGTATAGAACCAATAGCGGTTGCGGATTCTTTCAGGAGACAGCCGCAAAGGCTACCTATAGTCCCGCTCACGCTTTGTAGTGTGCTTACAGATCCGGTCCTTTCGGGCCTGGCAGTGCCAAAGTCCACCTCATGCTGGCTATCAGCCTCAAGTGCGTTTAGACACCTGGGTTTTCCCTTTGAATGGCGCCATGGAGCTGCTCACTAATACACAGAGGCTAGCAACCTGGAACTTGATATATAATAGAGATCGGAGCATCTAGACATTCGCCGTGTAGATGATTCCCATGACTACCCTCCCTCAGCATTATCCTTTACTTCACTTTGAAGACACCAGCAAGATGGGAGGGTCAGATTTCACCACCAGTTTCCACAAGAAGCCGTATGGTGCAATCTCCCCACTGCGCGCCGAGCTGTCGCAGACCGGCAGGGTAGTCCTCATTACCGGTGGAAACGCTGGTATCGGCTACGCAGCTGCTCGAGCATTTGGCCAAGCAGGTGCTTTGAAGGTGATTATCACGGGTCGCCGAGCCGACGTCACCAAGGCAGCGGCAGAGGCATTAGGGAATGATGTTGCATCACAGTCTGCCGGGACCACGGAGTTCATCGCAGTCACCTGCGATATTGCCAGCAGCTCTGATGTCGAGCGCCTTTGGACAGACCTCAAGGCTAAGGGCGTGATCGTCGATGTGCTCATGCTCAATGCGGCGGGCATCTCAGAGATCAAAGGTATCCTCGCACGGGGCACCGATGGCATCTGGGACGATTATAGCATCAATGTTCGCTCCCAGCTACAAATGACTGAGCGCTTCTATAAGCAGGATGATGGGGGCAATGGATCTTGGAAGGTATGTCCTCCCCTTCGACGTGATTCATCTGTCCTTTCTTCCCCGTCCTGAAGCAGAGATGTTGCTTGGAGGTAAAAGACGGTGCTGACATCAAGAACGTAAAAAAAAGTCTTTGGTCATGGTTTCGACCCTGGGCATTCACGACTGGGAGGCTGCGGCACAACGTCCAGGGTATGGGTTGACCAAGAACGCCGGGACACTGGCCATGCAGCTCATCGCCGCGGAGACACGGCCGGAGAGGATGCAAGTCGTCAGTTTCAACCCGGGCCCCGTCTTCACAGAGAACGCGAAGGTTGCGGGATACACGGAGGAAGATTTTGCTTGGAATGATCGTGAGTGGCCCTGGAAACAGTACTTGCCTATATGCCTTGACCGGGCCTGGCTAACGCAGCCCCGTACAAAGCAAACCTTCCGGGCCAGTTTGCCGTGTGGGCGGCCTCGTCAGAAGCTCGGTTCCTCCACGGGAGGTTCGTCTGGACGGAGTGGGACGTGGACGAGTTGAAGCACGGCAAGATCCGGAGCAGGATTGACGAGGACCCGGCATATCTGCGGATAGGTGTGATCGGTCTGTGATTGCGAGCGGGCCGTCGATCGTATGGGGTGTTCAATGTATGTGTTCATCAATCGATCACCACAGACATCCAATCACTCGCTTTGATATGAGGTGGATGTGCATATCCGTGGATACCCGGGCCACCGACAATGCTGATTGCGGCGGCACTTGCTTGCCTCGCAAAAGCCAGAGAGCCCAGACTTTGGCTCACATCTCGATAGCGCACTGTATGTATGCAATAGCCGCGTTACAGAGTGACAAGCGTTGGTGTATCCGCCTCAAAGAGTCTCCTATTTCTGTCGTCCTAGAGGCGCGGGCCGATTGCCACTAAAAGGTTCGTCGTTATAAGTCAAGACTCGAGACGACCTGGGCGCATGTCGGTGGTGTTCAAATTTCACATGCCCCGACTCAGCGGACCCCTAGTGGGCTCTAGCGTTTTCTTAGCGGGGTGCCCCTGTCCCACGGCAGCGACTGGCGCCTGAATCGTCAAGTCAAGCATTCGGCCAAATTGGACCCTGGGAAAGGTAATTGATCTCGTGCCTGGCGTTCTCTCTCCGCCCGAGGCGTGGACAGGCCGCAGCACAGGGCCGTGAAAGGGGAAGGGGGGGCGGCTGCGAGCCAGATGAGAAGAGAGAGCGGCAGCAGCAGCAAAGGCCTCGGGTCTGCTGAGTCGTTGGATTGCTGCTCGGTTTGCTTCCGTCTTGCCGGGCTGCCCATTCTCTCGATGAGCCTTGTCAAGCCGTCGAGCCGTGGTGGTCCAGTGGGCGCGCGGTGTACCACACGCACAGCAGGCTGCCGTGTGCACAGGACCAGCCGGTCTCCGTCTAGGCCATCCCCCTCACTTGGCGGACGTGGGCAAGGTTGTCTGCAGCTACCCCTGGCCCGAAGCCTGGGTGTGCTGGGTTTTCGCGTCCCCCAATTCTCCAAGCTGCGCAATGGAATTGGTCCCTTGATTCGGCTGATCTTGGCCCTGCTGCACCTATCCCCTGAAGGCAATGACGTCCGTTGTGTCTCGCCAGCCTTTGTCGGGTTTCCGTTTCCTGTAGAACCCACCAGACGTAGAATTGTTTTTCTCATTCCTGCCCGGGTCACTGTCCCGAGACCGAATCTACTTTCCAGTGCGCAGCGACCTGCCTGTGCCATCTAGCGGTGTAAATAAAGTCTTAAGTCCCGCCAGCACCCGACTGCAGAAGCACCCCTTTCCGCATCCGGCGAAGAGTCTCGAGACCTTCTCTTCCGACCTCAACACCCACCTCCCACGATGTCTCCCGGCCACCTGAACGGGGACACGAACGGCGTCGTGGGCCATGTCCGCTTCATCTCGCTCGAGTACGACCACGCCAAGTCGGACGCCTCCGCCCTGCGTCTTGTCACAGAGCTGCGACCCGAGTGGAAGACCCCCGAATCCAAGATTGAGTTTGTGCGCTTCACCGAGGGAATCACCAACACCCTGCTGAAGGCCGTCAACCGGAGGGAGGGCCTGTCGAAAGAGGAGATAGACAACGATGCCGTCCTGCTGCGTGCCTATGGGCACGGCACCCAGGTTCTCATCGACCGCCAGCGGGAGACCCAGAACCATGAGCTCCTGATGAAGTATGGGCTCGCGCCCGAGCTTTTGGCCAGGTTCAAGAACGGAATGATGTACAGATATATCAGCGGAAAGGCAACGATGCCAGACGACCTGAGGAAGCCTGCCATATACGTCGCCGTCGCCAAGCGACTCGCACAATGGCACGCCACGGTGCCTTGCTTGCCTTCAGTGCCCCTGGAGAGTAATGGGGTGAACGGTAGCACAAACGGCACCTCCAACCCATCCATAGACTTTGTGGCGCCTGGGAAACCACCACCAAACGTGTGGACGGTGATGCAGAAGTGGATCTTGGCCCTCCCAACCAAGACGGATGCTCAACGCGAGAGGCAATCCCAGCTTCAGTCAGAGCTGGCGAAACTGATCGAGGACCTAAGCCAGCGACCTGGGTTAGGAAAGAACGGCGTAAGTCTTTTATTCTTTCTCCGACGAATCGCGTAGAGCGGATCGCTAATACCATACATAGCTGGTCTTTGCTCATTGCGATCTACTGAGCGGAAACGTGATCGTTGAGCCCAAGGGAGCGACCAACGGGCAGAGCTCACCGGTGTCTGTGAACTTCATCGACTACGAGTATGCAACGCCGTCCCCGGCGGCATTCGATGTGGCCAACCACTTCGCCGAGTGGGGCGGTTTCGACTGTGACTTCAGCGTGTTGCCGACCCGCGCGCAGAGACTCGAGTTTATCCGGGAGTACATCCGTTCGTACTTCAGCCTGCTGCCCGAGTCCGAGAGGGCGGCCGGCGTCAGCGAGGAGGAAGAGGTGAAGAAGCTCTTCGACGAGGTCGACATGTTCAGGGGCCTGCCGGGATTCTACTGGGGCATCTGGGCGCTGATCCAGGCCGAGATATCGCAGATCGACTTCGACTATGCATCGTACGCCGAGATCCGACTGGGCGAGTATTGGGCGTGGAAGGATGAGGTCTCTGGTGCGAGGGCCGCCCAGGGCAAGGAGCTGCCCCTGCGGGAGAAGCGATGGGCTCAGCCAGAGTAAAGGGGCGGGTTTGTTTGGATGGAACTCTTTGCGCTGGCGACTTTCCGCTTGCACACAAGTCAGCACCAGATACCACTGCTTTTGCACCGTTTCAAGCGTTGCGCTTGGATGGAAGCATCATTGAACGTATATACAAACCAAAGAACGAGACAGCTCCTACGCCCGGGGGGGAGCGTTTGCATGGACACACATTTCAACAGGGTGCTCCGGGCCTGGAAGATAGACTTACTTAACGTATACCTAATTGTAGTAAGCGCCCAAAGTGGCATCATAAAAACGACTGCCATCCTTTGCGTGAAGACGGGGGCAATCGTCGCGCGGCGAGGCGCGGCTCTCAGGAGTGGTCATGCATGTCTATATCGTGGCTTGTAAATGGTAGAAATTGGTTTAACAGCTATGGCACTGGTATCGAGAATGCAGAGCGAGCCCGGGCCCGCGAAACACCGCTTGAAAAAATGTCTGTTGTCATCGCCGTATCAAACAGCAATAACCATGTTTCGCGTGGCAATCGTGTATGCACGCAGAGGTAGATATCATATCCCCAGAACGCCGTGGCGCTCGTCCTTACCCATCCTGTTCCTTCTCCCTATCCGAATCCAGATCCATTTTGTCCACCTTGCCGGGGTCCGCGGCTTCCGAGGCCAGCGCCGAGGCCTCCTTACTGTCGTTGATATCATCATCTTGACTCCTTTCATCGTATTCGTCCATCGCGACTACTACTACACTGGCGGCCCTGTCGTCGCCCTTGCTGGGGGATGACGCCGGTTGAGACCCCGTCGACGGCTTGGGAGTCGTCGGCACGATCACGTTGAGCACGCAGTCGTCCAGGTGCTCATAGAACTCCTGCGCCGTCGAGAAGCGGGCCTGGCAGATGGAACAGCGCGCGTCCCCGCTGCGGCTGCTGTTGCTGACGATCATCTTCCGGCTGTTGGGCGGCGTCTGCTCTACGTTGTGAACGGCGGTCAGGTGCCGCTTGAAGACGTCGGCCCGATTGAAGGCCTTCTCGTAGGCTGTCCCGGGACCCGGGCAGAAGGGACACACCATGGTGCCCTTGTAGTGTGTCAGGGCATGCCGGTTCTTGTCGTACTTCCGCGCAAATCCCTTGGTGTGATATTCACAGGACTCAATGGGGCACTTCTCCGGGCGCTCCTCCTGATGAGTGAGCATGTGTGCGGCCAGGTCCTTAAAGACACGCCCGCAGTCCGGATGCGGACATCGGTTCCTGTTGTCTTCTACTTTGGGCGTAATGGGACTGCTGTGGACGGTACTGTCCAGGGACGGCGCTATCGATGGCGCTATCGAGGGTGCAATGAGCTGCCCCTGAGGTGCTGGCGCCGGAGCCAGTCGAGGCACTTCTGGAAAGGATGGTGCTCGAGGTAGCGTATACTCCTCAAGCATCCTGACGTCGTTGTCTTCGTCCCCACTCGAATCGTCATTCTCATTTACGTCGATAGACTGGCGCACCTCTCGCATCCAGTCCTTCAGGATGGTCATAGGGGGCCAATCACCACTGGCTTTCCCGCCTCGATGTGGGTTGAAGTGGGCTCGTCGCAGGTGCGCTGCTGCATTATAGTAAGCACCATAGCGTTTCTGTGTGACACAGGCTTTGCATTTGGCTAGCGGAACTACAGGCTGGGGTGAGCCCGCACTGAGGCTTTGGGGTTCCGTACAGACCCATCGCTTTACCAGTGCCGCATGCTTAGCATCCGTATGGCGTCGTAGTTCGTGCTCGCCGCGGAATCCTTCGGGGTATTCGTTACACTTGCCGCAAAAGACGCGCCGCAGAGGTGGTCTTTGATAAGATGTTCTCAGCTTACTCGGAGAAGCGAGACCCCTAGAAATAGCCCGCGTGAATGCAGGACTTTCCCCGACGGTGTGTCTCCTCGCCGGTTCCAGGCCGTAGTTCGGCGCAGAAAGGTCAACTTCACTCCTTTGGCTCCAACCGTCGATAGGGCGCCACTCTGGCCCTGGCTTGCGTGGCTCTGACGGCTGATTTCCCACAGCCACTGGCTGGTACGATATCGCCTTGTAGACTGGCGTCCTCTGCCGAAAGAACCCGTTGAAGCCTAGGTTGTCGGCAAGGTAGCCACTTCCAAGACCAAGTAGGAAGTCCCTGGTCGAGTGGATCCCCATTGGCACCCATGTGTCTTTGCGAATGGCATCAGCTGTGGTCGTGAAGAGGAACCTGTCGTTTTCGTCCATCTCAAAAGCTGCATCGTCCAGTATCATCGGCGTTGACCATGAGAAAACGCTAACGAGGACTTTGTACACACTGTGCATTGCGACTGCCCCAGGAGACATTGCCTGGGTCGGAGTTGCAAGATTCCGGGATGGGGTTGATACTAGATCAGCCAGTACTGTCCTGACTATACTGAATATACAAAGCGAAAAGAAAACCGCAAGCCAACTCCTCGGTTCAGACAGAACCCTTCGCATTGTGGTGCTTTCGAACGACTGCAGAAATTGTGTCATACAGTTATATATCAGTCGATTCCGGCCGTCGTAGTCCATGTCATCTGGTAGTAGTTGCGCGTTCGATACATTGACATCCGTTCGGGTAGATGGCTCCGGCTGCTGTAAGTCATAGAAGAGGATCTCTCGCAGTAACAGTTTTGCTCGATACAGGACCGGGTATGCTTGTTTTTCTGTCTCGCGATTCCCGGATAGATAGCCACTCAACTTGAATAAGTCCCAAAAACGAAATGGGATGCCCTCTGTGTTCCAGCTCGCTGCGAGGACTTTAAGTACGGGTGGAGGCCGGTCTATTGGCCCTTTCGCGTATGTAGCGGTTGTGGGATTCGCTATCGGTAACGAAGCCAGGTCTTCAGTCCACCAGAATCCGTCATCGAAATCCAGGTGGGATTTGACCAGTTCTGCCACACCGGGATTCATGATGTATGTCCGCTCCAGGTAGTCATTCATGTTCCGCCGCCGCGCCATCGGAGACGTGACAGGAGTCTGTACCTGCCTTGGCGAGAGTAGTTCTTGATGGTTGTGAGCAATGATGCGTGTCGTAAAGATCACTTCAGCTTACCTGGTAACATGTAGTCGGCTAGCGCGGCCAACGAAGTTCTTTGACAGCCTAGTAAATGCCAAAAGTCGTCCTCTGGTGATGTGGGAGGCTCAGAACAGTAGGTACAGCTGTCTTGCGAATCACACTTTCTCAAATTAGTCAAGCCGGTGGTGATGATGATTTGACAGAGAGTATTTACCGGTTTCGCTTGGACTTTGCAACGGAGGCAAGGTCCAGTCTCACGAAGTCTAAGTTCGCCAATAGATTCCAGCCGAGAGTGTCCGACGCGGCTCCTTTTCAGGGGCGGCAATAGAGGATCTACCTCTGAGTCTACCGAGCCCCTAGGCTGGCCATGGAACTCGTTCGTGAAGGAATAAGCAAGCAGCGAGTCGCGCCTATCACTTGGCGCATTGACTGTAACCAACGGGGGTAAGGTTGAAGGAACAAGCAGGCGAGGCAGAGACACTGGTGAGCTCTTTTGTTCGTGCTCTCCGGGAAAGAATCTAGAGGTTCCCTGGCCCTGATAGATGGTGTGAGGGGCGCTGCCAACCGAGAGGCCGGAATCTCTTTTCACGGGTGTCTCATGGTCCCGTAAGTGTCGATCACGGTCCTCAACATTGAGGAAGCCATAGATATAGTTGATGCATCGGTCGTCTAAACATTTGAACGGAGTTTGACCCCAGGGATTGGGTGGAGGCGACTCTCTTGTCCTCAGTCCTCGGAAGATGGGGTCATAATAGGAGAGGTTTTTGTCGAGCCAGGAGCCGTAGTCAGGGGTGGCATCCTCTTGCGGGTAGAGCTTCAAGGCCTCCAGGAAATTTTGGTCTAGGACGTTGACACCTAGAGATAGGTTTGCATACAAAGACCCGTCAAGCCGGGGAGGTTGTGCGTACCTTGGCTTATGAAATAACTTTCTATGCACTCGCACTTATACTGCAAAGCTCGAGCCTCTTCAGCTTCAGATAATATCGGCGATGCTGCCGTAAAATCTTGATCACGCATTAGATGAGACATCGGCCGTGAGATTATTACAAGAAAAAGACTGACTTTGGTTGTCTGCATATGCCTCGAGTGCTCTCAGCTTGCGGCGCAGCATGTCAAGCTCGAGTCTCGAGTTCGGGACATGTCTGGCTGGCAGTAGTGCGGCTAGCTTCGCCTGGATCGCGGCCTGTTGTTCAAATAGCTGTCTGATAGTGGGATCCAGGGCAGAGTCGAAACTCGGCGCGGTTGAATTGTCAAGGCCTCGAGATCCGCGACGGTCGTGTCGGGAATCGACTGGCAGGTCGGCCGCCATCCTCATGCCACCTCCGGCCGAAGCTGAGCCAAATGTCGGAAAGCCTGTGCCTCACCTCGCTTCAACTCACTCCACCCGCACTCATGTCTCACACGCAACACCCTAGCAAGAGCTTGCCTCCAAAATGCATCAACTGTGCTTTGATGGCTGTTGGCTTTTCGAAGACATGGTCATGGAGGACATGAGACGTCAACAGACGTGAAGCGGCAAGTCAAGTGCACTGCCTCGTGCCATAACAACATGCGTGTGGCTGCAGGGCCTGAGATGGTGGAAGAGCTAGACCATCTGATCTTCTGTGGGGGACGGGGAACTTTTTTTTTTCTCTTGTGCAATCTCTCACCAATAAGTCGAGGCAAATTGGCTTAACTCGTCGCGACTGAGTAGTAGCCAGCGGCGGGTGGGGCGAGTGGTAGGTCGCCCAGCGGCAGATTAGATAGTTGCAGGGCACTGGTCAGGCTTAACAGGGCCAGCAGGGCCAGCAGGGCCAGCTCTCGAACACCGACCAGGGGGCCCTTCCGGGGGGGTCGGGGGTCTCGGCACGGGCTTCAGGGAACGATGACCACCTATCATTGGCGCACAGCAAGGGAGATACATGCATACGACGGCTCTCTGGTACCGGACCTCGTTCTCTCACTTCATGTCATCAAGAGCCTCACCCTCCTCCTCGGTTGATCCGACGAAGGCGCAGAGGTTGGCACTCTACTATGCTATGTAGGGGACCAGAAACGGTGGCCCGGCAAGTTCCACGATCACTAACAGAGCACGGAATCCGACAGGGATCGCCTTCGCCCGTCGGAATGATATTTGGGTTCGTCTCCTCCCAGGCCGATCTCCAGCTAGCTAGTGAGTAAAAAGTACCGCTCGCTCGCCTTGTTCGAGGTACAGCTTCGTTCGGGCTTTGCTCGCCCTCGGTCTTTGGTGGATGCGAGCATCAGCTCTGCTGGAGAAAATGGGCCCATCACGACCAGGACGGGTGTGATTTACTACATGAAAGGTCCAAGCTAGTCCGTCTGCGGCCGAGCACGACACGGCAAGTCGTCCGGCTGCAGTGAGCTGGAGCGATGCAGTGCGATGATGGGGGATGGATCACTTGGAAACGACAGGCCGTTGATTGGGCGCTTGACTCAAAAGCCCGTGTCTCTCTACCCCAGATTGACGCCGTCTCGTCTCCGACTCTCAGGTCGACGGCGCCTCACATAACTACGGAGCACGCACGCTCGCCCAAGTCTCACAGGGCTCTTACAACGACTGCATCCAGCTCCACCGCCGCCGCCGGGGAGAGCACGTACAGGTTGGCTGTCTCGTCTTGTCCCTCTGTGTCTGTGTCTCTCTCCTGTGTGTGTGTGGTGTGTGTGTGTGTGTGTGTGTGTGTGCTTGCTCAGTCAAAGAAGTCATGCCGACTCCTCACCGCATAATAAGCTGCGCGTGTGAGACGAAGAAGAAGCGTGCCCTTGAAGCTACGGAGATGGGTGCCACAGCTGATAGGCCCGGCTTCCCTGGACCTGGCCCAGCTCACGCGATTAGTGCTGTCGCAGACAGGGCAGGATGCTTCGTCGGCCTCGTCCAAATCGCTCTCATTGATGCTCTAGACCTCGACCGATCCTAGCCCGCTGTGCCCGCCCGGGCTGGCGATCATGGTGCCAGTCTACAGAACTATTATGTAGCTGATCCGACCTACCGTGGAAGTCTAAGGAGAGCTTCCTCATCTCGATCTTGCACACACTGGCCGCTCGAGTGACCTAGCAGTCTCCCACCCTCTCCGCCTCGTCGACCCCTCACTCGGCTAGCCGTTGATTGCTGTGTCATGATAGGTAGCATCGTGCCATCGTGCGCATTGTGCCCCTTCGCAGCTGGTGCAGCTGGGTCAGGTCAGCCTGCCCACCAACTTCTCCCCTGTGCGTGCAGTCCCTTCTTGCCTTGCAGGCTGGGCCGCTCCCATGTCAGCGCCAGCCGCTAAGTTAGCCCATTAGTTGCGGCCGTTGAGGGCTAGCCGGCGGATGCCCGGGCGAGGCAGCGATAACTTCCGACGACGACATTGGGCCTGTTGCCGATCATTTCCCTCTGCGGCTTATCCCTGTCTCTTAACAGCACCGCGTATGGGTGCCCGTTGATGAAGAGCCGACATGTTGCCTTGCCCTACCATGCGATGCCCGCCTGCAACGCTATTGTACGATGTGTGAGGAGACAATGCGATTCGGTTGCGATCCGTACAGGGGAGCCAAAACACTTCTTCAGCGTGCCGAAAACCAGAATCTTACGGATGGAACTGTCCTGCGAAAGCTTGCTGATCCTGTAACCAAAACCGACAACTGTCAAACAACCTGCCGCGCATACTTTTGGCTGGGCGCTCCCATGCGCAGACTTCGATCCAGTGTACATACTTACCGATCGCAGGGGCGCCGGTGATTACAATTTTGAGCTCTTCAGCCTCGGATGGTCCATTATATTGCGAATCCCTGGAAATAGATTACCATCGCTTGCTCCGCACAGCACGGGGGGATAAGATCGGGCATCCATGATGATCTCATTTCCTCTTCCGTGTCTCTTGGAAATAACGTCTGGACGCTTTGCTCCCCCCCGAGAATCAGAAGATGCGGTTGCAGGACGTCTGATGATTGCGTGGCGCCAAGAACGCTATGCAGACGCAGTTCCCAGCCACCCCTCACCTTCGCAAGCATCCCCCTTGTAGCTATTTGGAAAGCAAGGGTCGCCGCGCTTTGCTCACTTATCTCGGAGACCCCACCTGAGGCCCAGGATCATCTGCGGAGTTAAGTCCAGGCTCGCCTGCCGAGCTACAGGCTGTCAGCTTGTTCAGCTAGGGCTGGAGTGAGGCGGAAGAACCAGGCGGCTCGTTGAACTAGCTCAGCCTTATCTTCAGCTTAGCCCTTCAGATACTCTATTGTGGTCCACTTAAGTCAGACGTCAGAGTGAAACTCACCATCACATGAACACCGACTTTTCTTATACTTTCTTGTCGTAATTTACTGCGACTCTTTGGTTGAGCTTTCAACGTTGTCTCGGCTATGGACGGGGATAAGGTGCCAACTACGCTGGAAACTAGTTTCGCAGATGAGTCACGTCGAGAGCACTTTGGAAAAGCTGAATTGAAGTCGGTCTGCCTCATGTTACCTGGGGCGGGGTGCGCCTGCTCCCTATTGCACGATAGTAGATTCACCTGCCTCTTCAAGACTAGCAGAAATCCGGTATGCGCCAACGCAGTCGTCCAGGTGCAGTATCAGTGAAATGGATGAATTGTTCCGGTCAGTAGAGCCTCAGCCAGTCCCCCTCTCCGTGGCAACCCTTGTCTCCCTATCCCAATGCGAACGAATGTGAGGTAACGTTGGTTTCCACTATACTACCTCACCAGTTGAAATGGATCTAGTCCCTGGGTCATCTGTCTGGGGTGCCATACTGTCAGTATACCGGGTATCCGAAGAAAGACTTGGCACCTATCATTGTCAGCTCTGGTGTGGGATGTCGTCAATCTAGCCAGTCCGCGCCATTGGCATCTCTGTAGCATGAAGCGGTGAAAGGTTCCTGGGTTTCTTGGCCAGCCGCACCCTCAGTAGGGATCACTGTTGATGGCTCAGTTACCAATGAGGCTGAGTTGCTGAAGTAATCTGCTAGCCGAGATATGATGTACGGACTTGGCCAAGTCTACAATCGTACATTCTTCGTGACTATGCTTAATTCAAACACATCGAGGTTTCTCTCAAATTTGGATACGCGGGTCTGGATTCATACGCGCGTAAATACTAAGCTAAGACAAAAGGCCTAAAATTAAGTTATAACCTCAGCATTGCTTACTTGTATATATCCATTTATGACTCAGCAAAAAACAAGAACTATTCTGCAACCTGCTGCTGACCCGTCACTCATCCTCATCGTCGTCGGTTGAACAACCTAAAGGCTTCAAGGCCCTGCGGAACCACATGGATATGACGGCGGACCAGTCGTCCATCACGTCGCTGAAGAACATGAGCAGCCTGCCGAAGAAGGAGAGACACAGGAAGGAGATGGTGATGACGACTGCAAAGGTATACCAGTACGTCTCCTTGTGCCAGTAAATGTACAGGTCCTCAATTTGGACGGAGAAGTAGCTCGTCACAAAGCTAATGGGTAGAAAGAAGACGCTGAGCTTGGCGAGCAGCGTTGCGCTCCTCGTCAGTCTAGCCGTCGCTGCCGAGTCCTTCTGCTGTGTAAGATTGAAATACTACACAACACGTCAGCATGCCTTTTCTAAGTGCAACCATCATATAAATCGACTTACTGTTTGCGTAAGTGCCGATATCTCCTCTAGGTGGCCTTCAATGGTGTTGAGCATCACGCCCTGCAGTTGGTCGCGAAGGCGATCGAAGCGTTGCATGACAGAATCTGTCAGGTATACTGAACTGCTGCCGCGAGGTGTTTCGGACAAGTCGGTACCAGAACGCAGTATCAAGGAGGCACGCGCGTCGTAGGGCGGCGCATCTGGTCGTTTATGTTTTGCCGCCATCATGACTTTCGTGATGACTGTCTTGTAATTCTCAAACAAGTGCCTTAATGTTCGAAGGTCCTTGCTTAATATATGCAGTCGGGGTATGATGTCTCGGCTTTTGACTCGACTTTGGCGGTCCTATACAGCGTAAGAACCACGGTTATACGATCGAGGGGAACGCACAGGAACGTACAGCGCTATGAAGTACTTTTGGGGTCTGATGCCTATATCGTTAGCGAGTGAGATTTTTTTTCACTGGATTGGCTTCACTGACCATCTCCTCCATGATCATCTTGGCATCCCTAAGTGGTTCAGCCGCTGCGTAATCCTCAAAAAGGTAGAAGAAGAGCCGGCTGGTCCCTTCCGCCTCGATAGTGGTGCCTGGGTCGCTCTCAAGCAGCGGCATATCAGAGTGTACTCTGCTCAACTCAACAGGTCGGCCAGAGTCTTTGCGGTCCTGCGCCTGCTTCAAAACTTCACGAATGGAGCTTTGGGACAGGGGCCTGTGCTTGAACAGGTCTATTCCATGCTTAGATTGCTGTATCAGCACATTGAGCGAGTTTTCTCGCATGCTCTTTATTTGCGCCGATCTCCACTCGTCAATATTCCATCCTTTTGACGGCAACGGTTCAATGGTAGGGTTTTCGTGAAATGTAATGACAGTGTCTATGCATCGTATTAGTTGCGAGCCTGGAAATTACAAGTGATGCTAATCCGAACTTACGGTCATCACAGAGAGTCAGCCAGAGCCAGTGTTGCGGGGGCATGAACTTCTTCGTTGCTTCATTTTGCTGCCCGGGCTTTAATGGCAGGTGTTTCTTGTTTGCCTCAGGCTGCTCTTCAGGCTTCGCTGGCCGTTTATGTAACCAGTGAGCGCCAATACAAAGAGCTACAAGAGTCAGCTACACTACGGTTCTCTGAATAGCAAGGGCTTACCTTTCTCGGTATGATCCAACGAAGAGTAATTCACCGTGTCCTTCAGCAATAGATAGAGCTCAATCTCCTCCCCATCCAATGGAACGGCCTTTTGAACCGGCGGTCCTTTCCCCGGTTGTGTTGAACCCGACGACTGGTCAGTTTGCATGAATGCCTTTTCGGCATCACTTTGCTTGATTGACACGACCTTGGGGCTAGCATTTGCGGTTTTCTTCTCCTTACCAAGCTGCGCGGCTTTGTCCTTCATATCGGTAGCATACTTCATCAGGGAGATCAATCTCGGCGACAAACGATACCGCTGACCAAGCAGTTCCACGATGTCTCTTTGCTTACTTGTATCCCATATGTTGCTATTGAATCGCGTTATTAGAAGGCTCCCAGGTGTACGGATTGTTCCAGAGCTTACATCCATCGGATAGGGTGTTCCGTATCCCTCTCATAGTCATGGTGATCAAGTAAGTCCTGAAAGCGCGCAGTATCCAGATCCCTTGCGATTCGCGCTCTTTTGGGACCAAACTCCAGCACAAAATTCTGACAACTCTCGGCGGCTGCCCATTGTCTCGTCGCGTCAAAAACAACACGATCATCGAAATCTTCAAACAGTGGTTGGGCCAGCTGAACGGCTGGTCGATCGTCGGCGGCCATCTTCAAGTCCGCTCTTCACTCGCTGTCCATACTGTTTGTTGCGAAGAAAAGGTTGAGACTCATGCTCATGGCCGAAGAGCATTCTATACGTGCGACAGACGTCGAGGCAGCAAGGCTGTGACACGAGCCTCATCGGTGTTGTGATCAGGTCCCAGCACCTGACATAGCCCATGTGCAGGGGGTCTGGTCCCATGTCCACGCTAGGGGCGCCATAGGATTTCGATAGCGTACGACGGCACGTCCCAGCTCGCCGACCCGCTGGCCTTTTTAGGGCCCCCAACTCCAAAATAGTAGCCACCCTGACCTGCCTGACCTGCCTTGGCTCCGCTCAAACTGTTGGCAATGCACTCACTAGCCTTCGATGACTCTTAAACTGAGTATCTGCCAATGACTCAGTTGCACTATGCAGGATGGTATAAATCGCCAGGCAGTAGAACGGTCAGGCTCTCTGGAACGAAAATCGCTTCCTCCACCGAACGATTCAACGACCAGTGCGTTAATTATAATATAGTACACCGTCTTTCACGTCCAACATACTCATAGGTATTTGGCCCCTACCGGAGACCAAGTGACCACCTTCAGCATGGCACCCAGTGATGACAAGGGAAACTGGGCTCTCCAAGTCGTCCCAGTAGATGATAGTGGGCTCGATTTCTACTTCAAGGAGTACAAGCCCTTCAGACTTAATGCTCTCAAGCAAGATCCTGGAGGTAAGCCTGCCGTAGTTTGTTAAGGGCAGCACAGTCCAACGACCTCACGTAATGCTGACATGCTGCTACGGCGTTATGGCAGCCTTTGGCTCAACTTACGAAAGGGAGATAGCATTCAACGACGACCACTGGCGAAAGCGGCTTTACAATCCTCTTGCGAAGACATTTGTCGTCGTAGGATTGTATGACGGACGGGTTCTGTCCGCTGCTACGCTTTGGGGTCCTATGCCAGAGTCAAAGCTAATTTCCAGCCCCAGCCCGGCCGCTGCAACCACAAGTGACGTTGTGGATGGCACTCGTGAGCCCCTGTCCTTCCAAATTACTGCAGTTTGGACTTGCCCCGAAGCTCGAGGTCGAGGGCTAGGTCGGACCGTCGTCAAGGCTGCTATTGCTCAGGCGGGTCAGGATGCGCGACAACGAGGCAGTTCCTATAGCCTCGGTGTCGACGTCTACGCAGTAAACACTGCTGCAATCTCGTTCTACGAAAAGTGCGGCTTTTCTGTAAGCGGACCGCGACCAGAGGATTCAGACACCGAAAGCTTACGACCTGAACTTCTCATGTATTACCGCCACTGACATGCAGCGATCCTGAAATGAAAGGAGTGGTATTGTGGCTGAGCCCTCCAGTCATCGCATCTCCCTCGCGTTGGTTTGCTACAAGTTGTCAAGGCAAATCATACCAGCCCTGCTACTGACGACATAGCCCACTGGTTCGCCGCCGTGGTTGGTTAAGATGCTAGAGGGTTGGTAGCATCGGCCTCCAATAGGCCTAGTTGGTTTACACAACCTGGCCCAACCATGTTTCATCTACTCGAACTAGGAAACGGCGTCCATCCTCTTCAGCCACAGCTGATCATAGTGCAACTTATATGATTACTGTCACAACGATCGGCTGGGCCACATTGATTTGTTGTTTCTTTGGGCTTTTTTTCCCTCTTCTTCTCATCCATATCACATGTCTCCAGACCGCCTGCCCATAGCATGCGCATGAGGCGTTGCTTTTAAACATTCAGTTTGAAGTCACGGCTGACGCTGTAAGCCCAACTTTAGCGCCGCCGGAATAGCTGCGAGACAACGGCACCCCCAGTATGCTGCTCACCTTCGTGGCGTTCTTGCTCCTCGGAGCTGAGGCCCGTAAAGGAGAGGGGCATACTGACCTCATGCTTCCTGATTGTGTATCAGGCTGTATCAAGGACTCTGGATGCGGCCCAGGCGATGTCAAGTGTATGTGTAAGGCGTCTCGGGGAAGCTTCTTAGTAGACGTCGTGGAGTGCATGCACAGCGATTGTACCACACGGGCGATACCTGTGGATGATTTGTTGAGCTCCTTGGAGAATGCGTGCAATGCCATAGGGAGAACCATTCCCGCGTCTGCGATATCAAGTGCAGAAGCGGCACAGAGCACCATCGATAATCCCAAGCCAACGAGCACGGTCCTATCTGAGACCATTACGACGGAAACCTCAAATGTTCAGACCACTTATCCGGCAACCTCAAAACCAGATTTATCACAAAGACCGTCGTCTACCACGGTAGCAGAATCAGCTACTAAGACTTCCATTTCAACCTCGACTTCAACTTCAGTCAAGAGCAGTGGCCAAGTCTCTGCTACTACCAGGCCGTCCACAGCAAAGGCTTCAACTACCGAGTTTGTTTCCGAATCAGCAACATCAACAGACACTGGAGGGCCGGTCGATCCCACGGACTCAAGCCCTTTCGCCGCTCCGATGGCCTCGGGCCGTAAAGAACAGGCGTCCGTGTTTGGTGCTGTCCTTGGCATGGCTACTATAATAGCTTTCGGCTGGTAAACGCAATGGAGCAATGGGATCGACGACTATCAGTGAGCATTAATGATAATGGCCAACGGCGGCAGCACCCCCTACTATGCACGTGTTTCAAAGGGATGATATGATTACAACAGTGGATACCTCAAATAACACAGAGAACAGTACGTGGGACGGTATGCGTGGAGATTGGAAACAGAATAGTGTATGATACCCTAACGAGGATTATGAACATGCCGTGGAATTTCTTCTGAAGGTAACCCAGGGCCCACGATTTGAAACGAATGCAACTATCACATGCTAAATCTATAACCTCTTATTATACCAAACATCAGATACCATAATCATGAAAAGAGTGTTAATCCGTAGGACACCGCTCATAGCATTTCTTAATTCAACCCTGATCACTCATCAGACCAGTCACCTTTACATGAACAGTGCAAAAGCGACACCAACGCCGGCGATCGTGACGAAGCCGCCAGCATTAGAGACCATGAGCGCCGCCCCAGGTGCACCGGCCTTAACAGGCGTGCTGCTACTCGATGCCGTTGCGCTACCGCCGCTGGCGCGTGTCGACGTCGCCGTGGTGCCCGCTTTGCCGGTTGCTGTCGCCGTCCCATTCTTTGAAACTTTGCCGCCCGACGATGACCCAGAACCTGAGCCGGTGCCGGTTGTGGAGTTTTTGCCAGACCCGGATCCACTGGAGGAGCCACCAGTTGAAGATGTCGAGTTGTCCTTGTTACCACCCTTTCTAGCGACGAGCTCGTCACGGGCAGCTAGTAGGGGTGCTGGAGGTTCGTACTGCTGCTATGAGTGTCAGTTACTTTCGACACCGGTGTCGAAGAAGGAGGGACACAATACCTGAGCAGAGGCGGCAACCGTGGCCACAGCAAGGATCATAAGTGTCGAGAAGTGCATTGTGTTGAAGTTATGTGAAGCGCGAATAAGTCGAGGAAATATGTAATTCAGATGGATATAAAGCGTTGGTTCGTTTCGTAATTTGATATGTGTGATTAATTCCTTTTGAAGCCTGTATAAGATGAAAATCGAATGCCAAGTCGAGGCTGTGTTGAAAGCCTGCGTCAGCCTCTTTATATACTGAGTCTCTAGCATAGTAACGTACGATGCTGCTTGACAGCATGCCAATACAGTAAACTCGCGCCTGTTTAGCTCCATGCTGGGATCTGTATTGTCGGAAGTCATGCTTCGAGCTGAAGTTGTCAACACAGCTAGTGGACCTGGGTGCCCACTTGATCGACAGTATCTCGACGATGGAAACACCATGATTAGAGCATTCGTATGTGCAAAGTGTTACAGAAGACCAGACGACAGGGAAGTCACCATGAAAGCGAGGCAGAATCCAGAAAAATTAGGATCGTCTGGTCTGATTCTATTTGCGGCTTGGCAAACCATGTCGGGCCGTTTCGATCTCATACAGGATTACGTGAGGGAGTTGGTTGACGATGCGCGTAAGTGAATCCATTGTGCTTGTCAGGCGAGCAAGGGTGTTGCTATGCATCAGGGGGCTGCGGCAAGACTCCACGTCGGTTTGGCTGGGGCGAGTGTCAAGACATGATAAATATAGTTTCTTTTGGGGGGAGAACATGATCCTAGCACCTATGCTTGCCAAGCATGCGGCTCTTCAAAGGGACGAATATATGCCGAAGCCATGGGCCCTTTCTGGAGCCAAGCTTGAAACATCTCGAGTGTGGTGGGCCCTTTCTGAGGCAAGTCGGAGAGAAAGCTATCTTGAAACACGAATGCAAGGATGGCCGGGCTTAACTTGCTGTCGCATAACTCCGTATCCAAGTAAGTCCTTTTGAAATAAGCCTTATTTTGACAGATCTCCAGCAGGTTGCGCGGCCTTTTTGATGATGTTCCCAAAGCAGCAGGACTGTGAAGAACCCGGCCTTGATACTGCCCAAAAAGATGCGGCGTTTGCGACAATTAAGATCATAACAGCCAATTGGCAACTTCGCAATTAATCCAATGCGATCTCATTATGTATACATCTTCGAAGGTGAGCAAAGTGTAGTTGCTGGCCTGTTTGTCGAGGTTTGGGGCATGGCTGACAGTAGCAAGACTACGAGGCGCACGCCTCGCAGTAGAATAACTTTGCCAGGTCTCGTGCTAAAGCGCTATTAAATTTCACTGCATTTTGTCAGCATCCTAGCTGATGTATCATAATCATATGACTAAACCCTAATATAGTCTGTGCATCGAGACCATAATAAATACACTTAGACCTATCCCAATCGCAAGACCAACAATTCCCCCACAAGCAGCAAGGAAATACCATCTCCTTTTCGTCGTCGCTATGCCCATCGCAAACCATGTACCTATTGTCCAAAAACTACAGCCCAGTAAAGAGGCGTCGCCCTGGAGAATACAAGTATCCAACCGCCTCTGAGGAATGTGATAAGCACGACCAGTGTGCCGAACCACCACTTTTCCTTCTTTACCCAATTCTTGAATGATGTGCGGAGACTGTATTTGATGGTCGGTGGTAAGGCAGAGGTCATCTCAACCCGCCCGCCTCTCAAACGCCGACGGATACGATTCTCAACCTGTCTACCTGTTAGTGTTTCGGGCTTCTCTGAGATCGTTGCAAAGTTCTGGTGGATGTTGTTTGCCAAATGAAGAACTGATTGGTAGTGTGTTGGAACCTCTACCCCACGGTCCTTCAAAGCGAGGTGAGCTTCGAGGTACAAGCAGACCCCAATTGTCCAAACTTGTATAAGTAGAAGCACTATGAAGAGCTGTAAGAATGAGAAGCCCCACTGATAGCTCTAAACTTCGTGTTAGCTGGACGGATTCAAACGGAGCATGGATGTCACAAACCCCGACCGGCTGGCAGTTCCCGTTGTTTGCCACGTAACTGAGTGAATGCGTCCTGTTGGCCTTCGTGAACGCTGTTGTGGAATGGTTCCGATACAGCGCGACGCCAGTTGTTTGGATCGCTCCATTCATTCCCAAACAACCCACCATAACGAGACAAATCTTCCAAGTAGTACCCTGATATATTCAATGCAGGCGCCAGTTCAGTCTTGTTGTTCCAAAGAGTACTGCCATTAAATTCGCCGAGAAATCCATACTTCGAAACATCTGGTACGCCAAGTCAGTTCCACAAGTGTTCGAATGCGATCACAAACATGAATGCCGATATACGTACAGTCAGACACGTTAAATTGGAGATAACAGTTTTCAGAATCTGCCTTCAATCTATAGGAGAAACTGCAGCTGGAAACTCTCCTATATGATGACGTGCCAGGTTGAATTACCGGGTCTCCTTTATAGGTCGTAAGGATTAGAAGCTCGTTCACAATTTCATCAGGAATATCAACATACTGCCAGTATCAATATCGTGTGTCACGGGTAATTCCCATCAAGGCCAATTCTCCAGCCATCGTGGATTATATAGGCCAATAGACCGAACTGCCAAAACTGGACGAAATTGCCGTCGGTGTCCTTGACGAATGCCGCGGACTTTAATGTATACCCAGTCATGGCACTTGCCAGCGTTGGAAAAGCTAGCACGAGAACCATTGTGAGAATAACGAATAGCATAGCTGTTTTGGACTGCAAGCCTCTCCTGGACCTAAAGTCGCGGATCATCCGCACCGTGGCTCGTAAGGATGCATCGTCTCGCATGAAAATGGTCCAGAACGTATTCTACATGACAGAACCGTTCTCAAGGCTGTTTCTCGCATAGGTGGTGAATGCCTTCCACGACACAATGGTCATGCAGGTTTGTCCCATTCAACCTACTGCCTGGACAGACTCAGAACCTGGCTTTCTGCACACTATATAGGACTAGGGGTAGCTTACGATATCCCAAACAATATCTATGGCTTTGGCCTGTGTGAAACTCAATGTTCCGAATGCAGCCGTGACTTGGAAAAAAAAAAAAAAACGCTGAAGTTCCACGGGTTGTAACCCAGGCCCCAGGTACGGAATGAGCCATCTGGCCGGCAAGCTGAATTCCGGTACTGCCACGGGTTATCGAGAACTAACGGCGTGAGCACCAGAGCCATGAGGAGACCACCTTGCCAGCAGGGTCTAGAGAACCAAAGCCCAATTCGCGACCATCTCTAGGTCCGCAAATCAGCCACAACCTCTGTACGGGTGATTGCCCACCACGTCCAGAACTCGCTCTGGTCTTGGCGAGCCTCAGTGACGAGGAAGTCTGGTTCTACGACGTAGGGCTGCATCAAGAGCGGATCCAGCGCCGCTGCCGATGTTGGATGAGATGTTGTCATGTCGTCACGTTATTCTCGTGAACGAAGACAGGAGTCCCTACGCTTCGCATCTCGCAATTAAAGGGGAAGTTTAGGTCAGCAGGGCTGCAACAGGATTCAAACAGCAAGCAGGGGATCGCCAGCGAGCTCAGGAAACTACGCCAAAATGCTGCAGTATTGGCGACATCACATCAATATACACCTCATATACATCTTCAGAAGCCGAGGGTTGCGCATCAAACGAGCAACGTCGATATGAATAAATGGAGTACAATTCAATACTCTCCCTTGATCATCGATTCGGTCTGACGGATTGCCAACTTGTTTGAATAGGGTGCAAGACGAGAGGTCAGTGCAGCCGGATTGGATCTGATGCATCCAGCAGCTGAATGGCGATGCTCTAGTTAGCTGCACTCCCCACCGGGAACCAGCCTTTCACTTTCAGCCGCAGCCTTGTTTCCGGCTGACCACTTCACAGCATCCCCGCCACATGACCACGGGATTTTAGCTCTTACATCGTCGCATCAATAGTGCCCATTGCGTACCGCATTTGTGTCACCAGTTGACGCCATGAGACTCCTCGATGTGACGACCCTCCAGATGGCGGACTTTTTCGGAGTCGATGTACCGAGATATGCCATCCTGTCTCATACTTGGGGTAGGGAGGAAGTCTCGTACCAGGATATGTTGCAGGGCCGCCACTCTCAAGTTCTCGGAAAGAAGGGCGCCAGCAAGATCCAGGCGGCGTGCCTACGTGCCAGGCGGGACGATCTGCATTACGTATGGATTGACACCTGCTGCATTGACAAAACAAGCAGTGCGGAGCTTTCAGAAGCTATCAACTCCATGTTCGCGTGGTACAAGCGAGCGACCGTCTGTTACGCCTACCTGGATGATGTCAATGCCGACCTCAATCAATACGCGCACATTCAAGTTGATACCGCGCCAACACCAAAAGAACTCGATCAGATCATTGAGTCTGATTTTGCCCGCAGTAGATGGTTCACTAGAGGGTGGACGCTGCAGGAATTAATTGCTCCCCAGAATTTGAAGTTTTATGGTGCAGATTGGAAGTACATTGGTGAAAAGAAGTCCATGGCAGGTATATTGAGTCATATAACAGGCGTCGAGGAAAGGATTCTCGCAGGACGCATGCAGTTAAACCGGGTCAGTGTGGCACAAAAACTTTCGTGGGCCTCGAGTAGAGTGACTACACGTGTGGAGGATATGTCCTATTGTTTGCTCGGCATCTTCGACATTAACATGCCTCTTCTCTATGGTGAGGGCAGCAGGGCGTTTGAGAGATTCCAAGAGGAAATTGCGCGTACGACGAATGACCAATCGCTATTCGCATGGGAGACAACCGGCTACGATCACGGAAGCCTGCTTGCGCCGGATATCAGCTGCTTTTCTCGAGCAGGCAAAATCATAACTTGGGACAGATTGGAAGATTCCGGGCCATTCGCTTTCACCAATTCTGGGCTCGAAATCCGTCTACCATCGCTTTCGGTTGGCACTGATCCCACCAAACGTTCGGCGATATTAGCCTGTCGTTATGAGGACAACTTCAAAGGCCCTATAAGTTTGACGCTGGAAACTCACAGCATCGGCCAGAATCTTCCGCATTGCCTCACAGTCACATCGCCTCGCCGTTGTCGATATCAAGGCTGCTGAGAAGGCAGAGTTAAGGGATGTTTTCATTTTACGGATGCCATCCTCTACCGTGGAAGAAGGCTTCTCAACATCACAAGAAAGTGTAAAGATTTGGGTTCGTCTCGAAGTTGATAATAACGCTACAACAGCCCCAGAATTTGAAGTTGTTGACTCATTCCCGCCTCAATTTTGGAATAGGGAAACGTTGACGTTTTGGATGCGGAAAGAAAACAGGGTTCAAGGCGCTGTTCATCTACTCAGCAAGGATGGCGATGAATTTGTCATCGCAGTTGGTTTCACACGAACCAAAACCAGGTTCTCCATCTCCTCATTTTCCTCCCAATGGGTCCATATCATGCCAGTAGACGAACGACTGACTTTGGAGCAATTATGTCATCAAGCCAGCATCGTTCAGTTTGGTGTGGATACAGCAACCACGTCTCATTTCGAGCAGGCACAGTGGACAGTGGAAGCGGCAATCAATCTGAGCACCATCATGGGCGAAGTGGTTTTTGTGGCCGATGTCAACGTTTCTCAGAGGTAATGGGTAAGGCCAGACTATTTACCAACCATTATCAGCTGTAGTTGGTATATCTGAAATTGATGGTCCCCCCACAAGTATCTTCCCAAGTGTGGCTCGATAGGTACCATCGACTTGCTTGCCTTTGGGCTTTGGAGCCTCGATATCATGCTCCAGGAACGCGCGAGCCACAGACTCGGCTTCTTCCAGTCTGGCCTCTTCGGTGACTGAAAGCTTTGAGCACACCGCCTCGAGATCCTCGCCGCGCACTAGCAACAGCATGATAGCTTCGGCTCGCTTTACCACAGCCCCATCTATGCCGTTCATGGCAGCGCATCTGCTTCCAAAGCTTGACACACTTCTTCCAGGCTTAAGCTTGAAGAGGTAGGTCAATTGATCTTCTGCGTTTGACGCATCAAAGTCTATGTGGACATCCATATGCGCAAAGGACAAATGAGGAGACTCTGAAAGGAAATTGCCTTCGAAAATCTCATGGTAATGCGTGGCTGCGAGCAACTTGGGTCTTTCAGAACCCAATACAGTAAAATGATGCAACAGGGCCGTAACCAGTCCTGCTCCATCGGCTGAATCTGTTCCTTTGCCAAACTCATCAATCAGAATGAGACTTCGACGTGTTGCAAAGTTAATGGCGAATGCTGCTTGACGCAAGTCGATAGCGAACGCGCTCTCCTGCCGTACAACGCTCTCGCGGGTAGCAATACGTGTGAGTATTCGATCTGTCAGGCCTATTGTCGCCCGCTCTGCAGGTATAAAGCAGCCGATATGTGCGAGATAGACAATAACAGCCACTTGTTTGAGGTACACACTCTTCCCTGAGTGGTTTGGTCCTGTAAGAACAAGTGTGCTCGGCGCATCTTTGGAATTCTGTGAGGCAGATGAGCCGTCGGAACGCGGATTCTCAACCTCAGCGCCGTCACCAGCCCTCAGATGGCAACCATTGGACACGAAAGAAGGTACAACAAGCTCTTGCAAAGGATGTCGACCACCTTGAATGTGCAAAACATTCTCCGTTGTCATTCTTGGGGCGACCCAGTTGTATTTCCTGGAGCCAATGGCCAAGGCGAGAATACTGTCCAACTCCCCGAGGACGTCAGAAGCGGCCAAGATGGCATCTTCGTGCTCTAATAGTCTCACGGAAAGTTCATGGAGAACTTCAATTTCTCGATCTGATGGTGCGGTCAACTCGCCTGTTTCAGTCCAAAGAGTAGTGCTTACCGATGATCATGCAGTACGCATCCCCAAAGCGCTCATCCATCTCTTTCATTCTGCGGTTTTTGCAGTATATTACACCATCGTTGGTGAACATATGATCCCACACATCGTTCAAGCCTTCTCCCTCGTAATTGGCCTTCCCAGTATCTGAGTTTAGAGACACTACCGTGAGGAACCCAAGTTGAGGGTAGAAGACACAACCCTGAACGTATTTCTGGGCCCACTCGGGTATATCACTCCGCAATCTGTTGTTGACTTCTGTCAAGAAATTGTCCATGCCTTCATAGCTTCGTTTCATTTCGTCGAGATTTGCATCAATGCCTTGTTTCACAGCGGTTCGTTGTCGCTCTCTAGACTGCTCAAAGTCTATAGTCCGACTGATGACCTCACCAACTAGTCGAAGTGTGGCGGGATAGATGGATTCTGTGACTTTTCTGACTATAGGAATTTTCTCTGCGCCTGACATTTGAGCAAGGGTCTCATGAATTTGCAAGGTATGAAGTGCAAAGCGCTGAATGGCAGCCCACACATTATTCGCTACAGTGGCCCGTTGACCGGGCGTATCGACACCCTTTTGGAGATGAGCGATAGAGGTTCGCATGTTTCTGATTTTTCGAAGATCTTTGGTTAGTGTTGCTAAAGCGTCAGAATGTTCCGGCCGGATGAAGAAGGATATCGTCCGTTGTCGAGCTGTAATCAGGTCTATATCTAGGCTCGGACGTAGGAAAACCTTTCGCAACTTTGACTTCCCCTGCGGCGTGCATGCAAGAAAGTGAAAAAGCCCGTATACTGAGAGGCTCTCCTTGGCTCCAGCATTCGATTTGTCGGGCCCACGCATCTGATTATTGGGGTGAAATTCTGACTGCAGGATCTGCAAGGAAACCAAGGTATCTGCGTTGACGAACATGGAGTCGAAAAGCGAGAACATCTCGACCGATCTTATTGCAAAGGCAACTAAGGCATCGGGGTCATTTGGCAGATACTGCGCGGTCCGCCTTCGTTGGATATCTCCAAGCACTGCACCAGCACACCCGATCTATGACGAGTCAGGGCATACTTTTACAACAATCTGGCGTCTTAACTCACGGTGAGTCGACTCTCAAGGTTCACAAAGGTGCCCAGCCTCAACAAGGAACCCTGCATCGAGCCTTGCTCTCTACCGTGTTCATCCCCAAGCTCGTCGGCTACAGAAACGAGCACTATGGCATGATCGCCCTGTTGGGTTCGAAGGTCCAATAACTTGTCCCTCGCAGACTCGTAGCGAAAGTCTGTGCTCTTAAGCGTACGCAGAATATATGCCGCTGGCCAGGTTCCTGGATCGCATTAGCGAAGCCCAGAAACTATTTCAGATGACTTACGATCGTGATCATCTCCATCTTCCGAGTCTGATCCCTTCGCCAGCAAACTCAGCAAAGCCTGTGAAGTCCGTGCTGGGGTAAGGACAGTCGTAGGCTTTGCATGGACCAGGAGGGTTTCCACAATCTCAACTCCAGCAGCTGCCACATCCTCGAGGAGGAATAGCGCCTCATCCGCAGCAATGTAGTAAGCGCACCCGAGATTGCCGTTTTCTTTCATATCAAGGGCCATGATAACCTCGTTCAACGCGTCTGCATCCAATGAATCATCGTTGAGGCCGTCGAGGCTGTCCTCTTCTACGGGATTCGGAGGAGCCGGAGTTGTCGATGTGCCTCGCAGCGAGGACGGGCGAAGTGACAGCCTCTGCCGTTGAGGATGGGCTGGTAGCTGGGGAGAATAGATGGCAGAGCGTGGCGTCATATTGCTAGAAGCCGAGCGTGGTGATATTCGGCCCATCCGGACATCAGGAGAGACCGAACACACGGATCCATCATGCTGTCGTCTAGGGGTTGAGAACGCTGGGCGAGCTATCCCGGAACGCGCTGGTGAGCTACTCACGGGTCTTCTCGAGGATCCGGGGTTGGAAGACGGGCCGCGCGAGGAGGCTGCCTGGCTCCTTGCGGCCATCTTGCTGTGCCTGTTCGTGCTTGTATGTCGCTCACCACCTGGCCGCTTCTGGTGAGGTATTGGACTTCACCGCTTTCCGGAGGCAAGCTCTACGAGGGCTTCCTAGATGATTTCAGTTCCCATGGCTGGGGTGCATCTGCCGAGACCGTGTGAGTCTTGTGACAAAGGGGGATGCCTAAGCGGAAGCTGGTCCGTCCTTCCTAGGGAAAGAGCTACTCCGATGGTGAAGTGGCAGGAACGGTTTCTTGGCCTCGTTTCCTCATACCCAAAAAATGACATCTTGTATTAAACCTGCAGTACCCGCAAGCACCAGTGTGCACTATCATCCCTAAGAACGTAGCATCCGCACCCATGTTTGTGCTGACCGCACGCTGAACCTTTCTGAGCCTCACGGCGCCTTTCTCGCCTGGTACAACAGCCTGTTTGGCGGAGCGGTTCGCACTATCTCCTCACTGACTCTTCACCCAGTCCGCGAACTCCTGTCTCTGTTTCCTGATATCCACGAAACCCGGCCGCGATTCCAACAACTTAAACGGGTTTCCGATGTAGTCCCTGGCGATCTCCCCGTCGGCATCCTTGAAGGCCTCCTCCCCTTCCCGCTCAATCTGGCCTGCCCACACGCGCCATCGGATCGGCCGAAGCTGTGCAGTCCCCAGCACAAGACCCAGAACTACGATGAAGGTTGCGACCACGGTCTCGATCGCGATGTCGATCGGGAGCGACGTGGCGACGCCGGCTTGCGATGCGGTCAGGGAGGCAAGGGAGGCCGCGCGGTGGGCTTGCAGGGCCGAGTGCTCGTGTGCCGAGTAGCAGCTAGATCAGAGGTCGGATTAGCCTCATGGTCGCGCTTCCTGTCTTTTGAGGTACCTGGAGGATAAGGACAAGTCTTACGCATGTGCGAGCAGTAGCAGCCCGAATGTTGTGGTGGCTTTTGAGATCCAAGTCATCTTGGCTTCACCTGTGATGACGTTCGGTACTGACCCAGCAAGGAATCGCTCTGGATTGAAGGTCGTGCTAAGATGGCCTCGCCTGGCTTGAGAGCTGCTGTCCGTGACGTTCTGTGGCTTATGTTGGCTTCGCCGACACACAGCTCCAGTGCTTAGCGTCTGACGGTAGTGCTGCCAGCTGACGCGCTTCTGACGGACCTGCCAGCTGGCAGTTAGAATTAGTATACTCCCCATCTAGCCGGTCACATTGTCACAACCCATTGTCGCTTGTGGTACTAATACCTAGCTAGATAGTAGATTTGCTAGGGTGAAATGATCAATCTAGAGACTTGGAGCGCGACCACAATGGAGATACAAAAGCAATAGTGTGGTCTTCCAAGTGTGCTATTAATGGTCTAAGTCCGATACTAAGGCTCACAAACGTATTACAGATCTTGCCCTTGCTGACTACTCTCACCATCATCACCATCTGTCTTGTCAAACCAGATCATAGTTCCTTGTGGAATCAACGCTGGCTCAAGGAATATTCCCACACTCTTCACCTCGCCGTCGTCTCCGATCTTGAATTCAGCCGGCACCGCAAACCCTAGAAGAGACCAAACCTCCGTGTTGCCCCACGCGAGATGTTGCTCTCCCGAAATCCACTCGAGCTCCAGTGTCATGTTGAGCCACCTCTGCCAGTCTGCCCGCAGGACAGGCTCAGTGCGGTTTCGAACAGGAGTATCGTTTCGGGGAGGGGCGAGCTTGAGCTCCATCTCCCGGAATCCATCATTCCAGTAACGACCCACGTATTTTTCGACTGGCAAGTTCCTGGGGACTGGCGGATCCGGTATGCTGGGGAAGAAGGTCTGCCGGCTCGCCTGCCACGCCACTAGTGCGAAATTGATCCTGTCAGTCGTGCTCTTTTCAATATCTTCCCTGTCACTCTGCTCGACTCCTAGAAAGTCGTCCATGAGCTTCAGAAATACGGCGTTCACGGCTATGCCTCCGGTCGCATCCGAATTCGTTAGGATAGAAATGCCCCATTGCCGGTCTGGCATGAACGCCATAATCGCGCTATAGCCCGCGACATCACCACCATGCAGGATAAGCCGTTCGCCTCGGTAAGTCAACGGCATCCAGCCCATGGCATAGAGCAATGGGCTCGTGTGCCCGAACGGCTGGCCTGCGTTCTGGACCATAATCGGAGTAGTGAGCGTGGCGAAGTCCTCTGGGCTGAAGGGGAGTGAGCTGCCTCCCTCCATGAAAGCCCGTACCCATTTCGCGAGATCTTTGACACTAGTGATAACGCCTCCAGGGCCGACAAGCTCGGAATCTGACCATGATTGACGTTCGAAACTCTCTGTCAGAGGGTTATATGAATAGCCGTAGGAGAACTTTGCTTTGCCGGCCCGGTCTAGCTCCAAGGCGTCCGTGAGGTTCACGACCGTAGATTCCATGCCCAAAGGTTCCCAGATCGCTTCCCGATGCACATCGCCAATCCACCGTCCACTGAGCGTTTGCACCACCTGCTGGAGAACCGTGTAACCGAGGTTCAAGTAGCTCCATCGATCACGGAACTCGGCCAACATGGGGAGGTGTCGGAGGCTCCTGACCGCATCCGCCGCCGTGAATCCCTTGCCACCATACGAGACATCGCACCGAGGAAGGCCTAACCTGTGTGACGCAGCATCTTTGATGGTGGCATGCGAAGTTGCATAATCGTCGGGCATCGCGAAATCTGCCCCCAAGATACTTTGTAAGCTACTTTCAACAGTCAACATAGCGTCGTGTGCTTTATTGTAGTTGTTGAGTGCATAGAGCACAGACGCAGCCGTGAAGGACTTAGAACAGGACCCAACATAGTACAGTGTGTCCGGAGTAGCCAGCGTATCGGGAAGAATAGCATGGCCGAATGCCTGATCAAATGGTCAGCCGTCTAGGGTTTCAATCATACGTAGCGGTAAGTGTCAAATATCACGCACGTCGAGATAGGTTTCATTGCCCTTCAGGACCGCGACCGATAGACTTGGCACGTGGGAACGCTCAAGCAAGGCCTCAATATATTGGCGCGTCTCATCGTCCAAGCCGGCCTTGGTGTCAGAGCGTATCTGGTCACCCGATGGCACGCACGTAGCGATCCTGTCAAACAGGACACAGAGGGCGACGAAAGAAGCCCACATCCTCAAAATGATTATCGGGAAAGCTGTCGTTTGGCACTGCTCAAGGTCCAATGGCTCCCAGTGGACTTCTCAGGAGTTCGACGTCAAGAAGGACGTCGCATGGTAAGGCTGTAGGCCATTATTTATACTAATGCAGTCAGTCTTACATGCAGCATGGTGCATCATACTGATGTGAAAGGGGGGTTGGCAGAAGGAACACCATCCTTGACTGGAAAGCCTTGGCAGGTACACATGAACTCCTCAGGTAGTTGTTCGTTTGTGAAAACGAATCGCAATCTAATGATTATCGTCATATTCTTCGTACAAAAGACGTATAATCATGACAATTCAAGTATCATCGGTCTCGCGAGTTAGGAGGTTTTAGGGGGTGCATTTCATCTATGGATCATACGTGGCGCGTCCAGTTACCCTGGGATATCGCTACTAGATAAGTTAGGAGACCTGAGGAGCGAAACCAAGCCGGCCATAGGCACAAGAGTTGATTAATTTGAAGGGAGCACAAAGACTTATATAACTATCGCCCTCGGCTTGGAACTATCTCAAAGGGGCCAGTATCTTTCATACAGTATGGTGTATATGAAGTTTAACTATACTTCATGTGGGAAACAGGAAGTTTTCTACGTGCAAAGAGGAGTTGTGAGTTGTCCTGTTCGACCAATAGAAGTGGAGCATAGACTATATCGACATACAATCGTCTCGTACCAGGCAGCAGCATTACTTTGGCCAATCTCTTGATCCGATCCAGCCAACCAGGGACCTAGCTTACGTACTGACTGAAAGTGTCGGAAGGGGGGGAATCGCCGACGCACTAGATGTGAAGAGAGCATTGATGGCCTCAGGCACGAGCTTTCATCTGATCAATAAGAAAGTTGAGACCTTAACTTGGCCCAGTTCGATTACAGTCGTACACACATGACGTGTCTACAGCAGAGCATCACAAGACGCGTGGGATGTTCACGACGCTGCACTGATCGTCCGGGTTTCCACAGTGTTGGTTGAGCTGCCTCAGAACTATGCTTACATCGCTAGTTAGTGCGGACGCTCTGGGAGCCGTTATCCGGTAACTGAATCCAAGTGCTTCTTTAGCGGGTCAAGAGAGGTCGAGAAGTCGAGACCAGTCGACCCACGCGAAGAAGATTCAAAGCCTCATAACCTTGATAGAAAAGAATGCTGACGCAGTGGGTTGCCACCTGGAGAGGTGAACACGAAGATGGTGGAGTTCCGGATGGCCACGCAGACTGGGCGGGACGGTCTTGGATCCTCCAACTCGCAGGATCGCCAGAGGGCGCCCTCGTATTCTGCTTTCCGCAACACCACCTTCCATGCACTCTGCATCGAGTCCCGCAAGCGCTACTGCGGCACAGTCGGGAGGCTGCAGAATATATGTGGCAACGAAAGACAAGAGAGGTGAGAATCATCGGTTTCGATTGCTCATGATGTGGACCAGCGACATGCACGAGGGCACGGCGAGCTGTTGACAGACAACGGAGGCGCACTGTGGACACGGGCGTCCTGAACTCTAGCCGCCGCCGCGGCCAACGCCGCCAACGCCAGCGTTTTGTTGTTCACAGTCCCGTCGTCACTGGCGCCCCAATCGGTGTTTCACAAGCTGTGAGAATACACGGCCACGAGAACTTAAGATACCCGGGAGGTCGTAGAGTTTGGTGGCAGCTGAGACACGCACGTCGCATCGAAAGCTACGTACTGGTTCTCGACATTTTCGACGTTCCGCGTCTCTCCCAGGTCTCCCATCGCGTCTGCCGGTCCCGGGATCAGCTTTGCAGAAAAACTGGCCCACCAAATCCACCAGTGGTGTGGGTAGTCCGCCCTCGAACAGTGCAGCCAAACAGCAGTAGCCCTGCACCCTTGGTACATCGAGCTAAACTCTGAATCGAGGCCGATCTGGGAACCACATCGCGTTTCCCCACACACACGGGGAATAGCCCAAGCTGTCCCTTGGGCTTGTTTGGGTCGAGACAGATGGTACAGAGACGTCCCAAACCACCATGGCGTCTCTGGCAGCCCTCTGCTTTTTCTAATCCAGTCTCTGCCCTGTCGGCACTTGCATCATAGCATGACATGTGAGGGAGCGTGCTGGTTAGAAATTGGCAGCTCTCCGAGTCGCGTGCAGTGACCATTGGTTGGGTCGTAATTTTAATTATACCTTAAGCACTGCAACTTAAGCCGCGTCCCCGTTATTAGTAGCTGGGCAGGCGCCGGGTTCCTGACCAGGCACACCAAGGCAGTCGGCTGATGAGCGAGCAGGGATTGGACGGGCAGGGCAAGACGCATGAACGCGCTGAGCCGGAGTGTGGAGGGCGTATCTGCTGAGACCTTGGCACCAGTCTAACAACCTAGCTCTGGTAGTATTGTTATTTTTTCTTTCTTTCCGCTCGTAATGAAGCTGGGGGCTGACACCCTGGTCGAATGACGGATGTTGCAGGCCTGGCTTCTCTAGCTTTCCCCAGGGGCGCCCTCAAGATGGGACTCTCCTAGCTCTAGTCCGTCCGTATTAATACGAAACCTCTCCCGCCGGCGCCGCTTAGATCTGCTCTTGCTCTTGTTTCCCTTGTCCTCCTTTCGTTGAAGTCCGTGAGCCTCTCGTTATAAGTAATTAAACAGCTTCTCTCACATTCGCTGCTTCCTGTCGCTATCCTCTTCCTTATACACTTATACAATTATACCCAGTATTCACTAATACCACCAACCAAACCGCCAACATGCGTTTCACTTCGATCATCGTCGCCGGCGTCTTCGCCCTGACTGCCACCGCCCAGTCCGTCACTGAGACTCCCAGTGAGACAGCTGCTACTACTGCCACCTCGACTGCCACCAGCGTTCAGGCCACCGACTCTGCTCAGGCCGCCATCACTGCCTGCCTGGATGCTTGTAAGTGTTTTGAACCTTGACAGCTTTGAACTTCCGAGCCAAGTGCTAATTCCAACTCACTAGGCGCCACCGGCGATGTCACCTGCCAGGCTCACTGCATCACTGTCCCCAGCCCCGACACCACTGCCGTGAACCAGACCACTGAGTGTGTTGCCGCCTGCCCCCAGGGCAACGGCACTGCTGCCGAGAACGACGCCTACGCCTCGTGTGTGAACGGCTGCATCAACCAGTTCTACTACAGCGCCTCCGTCGGCACTCCCACCGGCACCCAGGGCAGCGACTCCAACAAGGGCAGCGCCAGCGTCACTGCTGTTGTCTCTACCATCACCTCCGGCAGCTCGACCTTCACCACCACTTTCTCCTCGACCAAGGGCTCCAACACCGGCTCTGCCACTGGCTCTGCCGCCAGCACTTCCAGCACTGGAAACGCCGCCGACGCTGTCTTCCGCAACGGAGCTTCGTCTGTGGGTCTGCTCGGCTTCCTTGCCTTCCTGGCGCTATGAGGTGGTCGTTTAATTTTTGATTGGAGGATATAATGGGGAATTTTGCATGAGACCAGGAGCGTTATTGAAACCATGTACAACTGCATCTACGGCGGATATGGAAAATGTGTAAACTCATGGACATGGAACTTGCAATGATAATAAGGTGTATAGATGACAATTGCAAGCGATTTCTCGCGCATTGGCATGAGGATCTACCTCCCTGAAGAAGTGATAACCTTTGGCACGTTACTCAACCACGGCAGACCTAGCTGCTTCATCTCTACTGCCAATTGAAACAGGTAGTCAAGACTATTGTGTGTCAATGATTAGCACTTGAGAGCTTGGTGTATAAGGGACGGGGTTGGTGTCGTAGTATACCTTTCACACATGGTCTTTGCTTTGTGGACGTTGTCACCCCAGACGTAGACGCCATGTCGACGGACTAGGACAGCGTAGGTGTCAGGGTACTTATCCATAGCTTCCTCCAGGAATTCTGTAAGGTCCTCCTCATGGGAAGTATTCTCAATGACGGGGATGCGCAATGTATCGTGGTAATCGAGGTTGCCCTGCTTCTGGACACCTCGGCCGAAGCCCTTGATCTGCTCAATGTTGTTGATCTCGAAGACTTTGTCTTGGCCGGGGCCTTGGGCCTCAAGGAGCAATGTTACCAACACAGCCCAATGCGAATGGGTGTGGATACAGCAACCAGCGCCGCGCTTGGTGAAGGCCGCCAGGAAAAGAGGTGTGCATTGCGAAGGCCTACCTCCAGGCGGCGAACGAAGATATACACGGTTCTTTAGGTCAGTCTGTTGTGAAAGGGCCAGGACGTATAGATCTGAAGCCTTCATGAGTTCTTTCTGAACACCAGACGGCGCAATGTATACCAGGTCACTATGCGCAAGGTTCGGTCAGTCATGCGTTTGTTTCAGAAGTAAGGGGGCCATTTGGGATAGATAGTCTAGCTCCTCACAAAAACATAGAGGAAGTTTGCTGGGCAGAGGACGTAAAGCAATTATGCTCCTAGGAATGGCGATTGAGTGTACACTTACTCGTCGCGGATAGAGGCCCCTCCTCCAGTACCAGTCACCCAGCCCAAAGTCCAGAACTTTGCACACAAGGACGGAATGAGGTTGGCTGGGTGGTTCTGATCATCAGATGTAACAAGATGGTCGTTGCTGGTTGTGTCCTCAGCACCCTCGTCGCCCTTGCGCTTCTTCCCGTTTGGGCACATGATGCTAGAGAGAAAACGGCAGCACCAACCACCAATCAGTTGCTGTGAGCAGAGCCTGTTCCGGAAATGGCAGCCCGCGGGGGGGTCTATGAGACAGGTGGCCTTTGATCGGCGTCAGCGCAGAGAAACTCCCCGGGCGGAAGGTGAGTGCTGGGGGCGTCGTCGGGGAACAGAAGGAGGAATGGAAGGTATCAGGATTTTGGTGAGGCTAAATGCGAATACTCGGCATGGGATTCAATTCGCCGGCTCATGAAGGTGATCCATGGGGGTTGCGCTGGTGCAATTAATTTTTGTTCGGGGGCTCCACTTTGCATATCGCGCCCTGGGCTACTCCAACAACGGCAGCCATCCGCGGGCTGGCGGGCGGGCACGCTGATGCAAGAGGCCACAGTTTGCCGTTCTTGCGGCCACGTGCTGGGCTCGGAAATATACTGTATGTGGCCGTCGATTGGCGAGGCTGCACCGGCAGTGTGAACCTATTCTTCATCGTGCTTCACCTTCAACGATACTGGCCAGTGAGTGGTGAAGAACTGCTTGTGGAAGCACACGGGTGAGTCACACATGACTTATGCCAAGCTACTGTAAGTTATCGCTCTGCGTGAGGCGTGAGGCATGAGGCGTGAGGCAACAGAAGAAACCTGCTGCATAGTACCTAACTTAAGTCACTGATGCATCAGTCGGGTGTGGCATACGCTTGTGCAGGTAAAAGTGAATGCTGGGGTTATTAGCATTGACTCTATTGGGTCCTCCCGACTCCCGAGCCTTTCAGCAGCAAACCCGTCATTTCTGCATTGCACCACCAATGTTTCGGAGCGGCGGCTCTTCTTATCACAGAGCCACCGTGCCACCTGGCTCCATGGACGGCATCTGGGCTGGTGATTGCAGGGTGTAACTACATACCTAGGTAGGTGTCTTGTGCAGGACTACCAGTTCGATAGTCACCTGTTGTGCAGACATTCGACGGTGTCAACCAGCACAGCACTTCCAAGTCACGGTTCTGAGAAGCAATTGCAAAGTGCGGCTGACGGTTGTGAGCCAACTTTCGTACCTCATGGTCTAGTCTTGAATGAATGGAGCCTCTCTCCAAGACGTCCGTCTCTCACTGTCTGTCTCTTATGCTGCTGCACGACCCTTCGGCCCTGAGCAGCTTACCGTCATGAGAGCATTAACGGACAGAAGCCCCCAGTTCGGGCCCCGTCCCCGCACGAGCTCTCCAAGGGTCGCGGCCCCCAATTGAGCCAATCAGCGGCCGCCGAAGCTCGTCGAAGGCTCCAAAGGGGCCCCAACCAGCGGCACCAGGCTGTCTCCAACACAGGCGTGAGCTTCCCGGTCCCCGTCAAAAAAAGGACACGTTGAAGCACCTGGCCTCGACTTCAATTCACCCTCAAACTTCGGAGGCATAAATTCACTGAACACATCTTCGATTGTCTCTCCCGCCAACCTCGAATTTCTTTTCCTGGGCTCTGGGAGCAAATCGTTCCTTTCGCATTCCTCCTCACCCACCACATCGTCCACACCCCCAGGGTAGCTCGCTTTCACTAGTACAGCTTCCTGCCTCAACGGCGACATCCATCTGTTTGTGACCTTGCCGTCGCTTCCCGTGGCTGCCACCCAGCCTCCACCATGAAGTTCACCCAGGCTACCATTGTCTGGGCTGCGGCCGCTCTGGCTCGCGGTGCCTTTGCCGCCGACGATGCCGAGAGCTCGTCTTCTGCCGCCGAGGCCTCGACCTCGGTCGCCGCTGCGCTGCCTACCTTCACCGTGAGTCTCCCTATCCTACCCCTCTCCGCCTTGTGACGCCTACAATGCGCCGGCAGCACCCGCTTGCTTCTTGTATTCACGTCCGAAGTTGGAGAGAAAACATCAATGAAAGGTTCACAATGGCTGACTCCGTTTGCTCCAGCCCACTACCCTGAAGGCGCCCTTCCTCGAGCAGTTCACCGACGACTGGGAGTCTCGATGGAAGCCTTCCCACGCCAAGAAGGAGTCCAGCAACGAGGAGGAGTGGGCTTACGTCGGCGAGTGGTCCGTCGAGGAACCCACCGTCTACAAGGGAATGGAGGGTGATAAGGGTCTTGTTGTCAAGAACCCCGCCGCCCACCACGCCATCTCGGCCAAGTTCCCCAAGAAGATTGACAACAAGGGCAAGACCCTCGTCGTCCAGTACGAGGTCAAGCTTCAGAGTGAGTAGAAGATCCCGAGCCCCCCAGTCCGGCGCCAAGCTAACACACGTTTCTCAATAGACGGTCTTGAGTGCGGTGGTGCCTACCTCAAGCTTCTCCGTGACACCAAGTCCCTCCACCAGGACGAGTTCGCCAACACCACTCCCTACGTCATCATGTTCGGACCCGATAAGTGCGGCCACACCAACAAGGTCCACTTCATTTTCAACCACAAGAACCCCAAGTCTGGCGAGTACGAGGAGAAGCACCTCTCGAGCCCCCCTACCGCTCGCATTGTTAAGACCACCGAGCTCTACACCCTGATTGTCCACCCCAACAACACCTACGTCATCAAGCAGAACAACGAGCAGGTCAAGACCGGCAGCCTGCTCGAGGACTTCAGCCCCGCTGTCAACCCCGAGAAGGAGATTGACGACCCCAAAGACTCCAAGCCTGCTGACTGGGTTGACGAGTCCCGCATTCCCGACCCCGAGGCCAAGAAGCCCGAGGACTGGGATGAGGATGCCCCCTACGAGATTGTCGACGAGGAGGCCACCAAGCCCGAGGACTGGCTCGAGGACGAGCCCCTCACCATCCCCGACCCCGAGGCCCAGAAGCCCGAGGATTGGGATGACGAGGAGGATGGTGACTGGATCCCTCCCACCGTCCCCAACCCCAAGTGCGCTGATGCCTCTGGCTGCGGCGCCTGGACCAAGCCCATGAAGAAGAACCCCGACTACAAGGGCAAGTGGACCGCACCTTACATTGACAACCCCGCCTACAAGGGAGTTTGGGCTCCCCGCAAGATCAAGAACCCCAACTACTTCGAGGACAAGACCCCTGCCAACTTTGAACCCATGGGTGCTGTAAGTTAAACCTCTTGACACCAATACGAGCAGAATACACTGACCCGCAATAGATTGGTTTCGAGATCTGGACCATGCAGAACAACATCCTCTTCGACAACATCTACATCGGTCACTCTGTTGAGGAAGCCGACAAGCTCGCCCAGGAGACCTTCCACGAGAAGCACCCCCAGGAGCAGCTTCTCGAGCTGGCCGACAAGCCTAAGGTTGAGGACAAGCCCAAGTCGCCCTCTGACCTTAGCTTCACCGAGGACCCCGTCACTTATGTCAAGGAGAAGGTCGACCTCTTCTTGACCATTGCCAAGTCCAACCCTATCGAGGCCATCAAGTTCGTTCCCGAGGTTCCCACCGCCATTGGTGGTCTCATCGTCACCCTTGCTGCCCTCGTCGGTGTCTTCGCCATGGGCGGATCCGCCCCTGCGCCCGTCAAGAAGGCTGCTGGCGATGCCAAGGAGAAGGCCAAGGACGCCAAGGACAAGGCCGCTGAGGCTGTCGCAACTGGTGCTGAGAACGTCAAGGCTGAGGTGAACAAGCGCACTACCCGAAGCCAGTCGTAGATGTCTTGGACGCCTGACGGAACGGGGATATAAGAACGGGAAAAAAAGGGTCGTGGTATCAGCCCATTTTATGTGCTTGATAAATCACGATAACAGTCTATAGGACAGTTGATTTCATTAATGGCAATCATGATTCATTCGCATGGCGTAGAGGTGTATTCTAGGTAGCCCAATAAAACAGCAAGCTATGAATGAACTGCCGTTTTAATTATGAGAGTGTCCTACGCACGTCTATTGTGTATGGCTCCATGTAATTTGGTATAAACCTTTGATCTGCTTGCTCTAGGCAAGCGATATCTGACGTCCTGCGGAAACCTTGTTTCGTCCCATCTTGCTATCATGAATACTAGAAGCCTATGGATCATGGTATTGCAATGTAATCCTAGTGACGATGCATGGTTGACGAGTCCTGCAATATCTACCTTCTCGTGTTCTATCACCATCTTCAGTGCATAGTCTACTCATTTTTCTTCTTACGCTTATCCATTCCTTCGACGAGCACCGTCGCCATGTCCTCGACGGTGGTGCCTCTCTTCCTTTTCCCGATCTTCTCCTGACCGAGCTCGGACTCGGCCACGGCCTTATAGACCTTGGCGGCACCGCGAAACGAGTCCTGCGCGAACCCGCCGTCCTGCTCGAACATCAGCGCGATCTCCTCCATCTCGCGGACCCAACGGTACGCCTTGGGCGCCATGCCCACGACGCCGCGCTCCGCCTGCCTCAGCGCCGCCGGCGAGAAAGTCTCGAGCTCGTGCCGCAGCTCGCCCAGCACGCCCAGCCGCTGCGCCGTCGTGAACGACTGGATCGCGATCGACGTGAAGCCCTTGGTCGTGCTGGCGAAGCACATCTTCAGCCCGCTCGCCGCCCCGACGTCGGCCGAGATGTGCCGCACGTTGAGCGCCGCCGACAGCTGCTCCCCGAACCCGGGGATGTCGGACAGCTTGTGCGGCCCCGACGTCGGGATGCTGGGGCGGTCCCACCCGCCGTCGCCGCTGCCGCTGCCGCCTTCCTTGCGCGGCGACGGCGGGCCCCCGATGATGGCCCCGTCCACGAAACGGATCGGCGCGCGGGACTTCTCGATCAGCGCGGCCATGGTCCGGCACGTGGACGGCGCCACCGCGTTGAGGTCCGCAAAGTAGAGCGGCTGCGCCCGCTGCGTGGTGCCGACCAGGGCGTCGACGATCCGCTCGGCCGTGGCCGCGGCGTCCCGCGGCGGCACCACCGAGAGGATCACGGCGCACGAGTCCGCGAGCTCGACGTCCGTCTTGAGGACGTCGACGTTGGCCTGCTTGGCCCGCTCGATCGTGTCGTTACTAAGGTGGGCGGTCTTCAGCAAGGTTGTCCTGGTGTACGGGCACGTGGATCGCCCAGGAACAAGGTCACCACGGCAGGGGGTGAATATGATGGCCTTACCTGCGGCCTTTGCCACTCGTAGCCACGGTGAAGCCGTTCGCTATGAGCAGCTTGGCGATTCCTACGCCCATGTCGCCAATCGACAGAATCCCAATCTTGGCCAGTGAGGAAGCCATTTTGTCTTTTTGGTCAGCCGTCGTTGGAAGTTGCGATGGCTTGTTATCAAGAAAATCGGTGAGGTATAGTGTTCGTCAAAGGTCCCGCTCGCCTGCAGGGCCAGCCTCTTTCTATCGCATAACGCAACAGTGGATCTCTTGGCACGAGGGTTTGGGAGGCAGAGCCACCAATGACATGGGCCATCTCCAGTTGAATTATTCTATAGTATAATCGACGCAGTATTTTACTTGAGGCTATCACATCAGTTAAACTTGGTATGGCGCATTGTGCCACGGCCTTATAATTAAGCACCAGCATCAACCCCTCATGGTGTGAAATTCAATTTGAGAACGCGATTAAGAGCCAATTTGGCCTCCAAGGCCATGGAACAGTCAAGGGTAGTGTTCCGTAGATAAGGTTTGGACACACAACTGTTCCTGTCAGTGTCAGCCAAGTCCTTAATAACCAAGTTCTCAGTGTGAACACGTACTCCTCTGCTGGGATGTTGTATGACTTCAGGCATCTCGTCCTATTAGGACAGCTTCCGAACGGCGTCGTCAGCCACTCACCCAAAAATGTCTCCGAGTGCAGAGTCAGAAGGCGGTGCACGATGAGGGGTCGATGATACTGTCCTCTAATGGCGGGGGATCATTGGACCACCCCGGAAGTCGGGACCGTCGGCCTGCCGCTCTTTACTTGGCAATGGACGAAGCTATTAGCAAGCTCGCAATAGTGATACGTTTTGACGGGTGGATTGTTACCTAGAAAATGGAGAAGACTGACTAACACACGCGGAAATAACTCTGCAGAAAGGCACCTAGTACGGCTCTATACCGGAATACTGTGTTACCGGGCCACTGGTAATCTGAATAGACTAATTTGCTGCCTACTTATTCGTACGCCTACCTGTAAGAGGTATAGATTTCGCTAGCCCCCACAAACAAAGAAGCCAGCCAAGTCTCCTTAGGCCTGTGATAGCCCGCCCCCAGCGGAGCGGGATGCTCGCCAAATCTCCGACTCCATTCGCTACCCAACGGCCTACGGGAGCACTTTGTAAGAGTTCATGATTTGGCAAAAACGAACAACCAGGGATGTGGTGACGTGTGCAGATGGAGTGAAGGATCACCAGAGCGAGCAGCTTAAGGCAGCCGTCTCGGCATACGCGTGCCATGCGTCGCAGTCCTGAACGAACCACCATGATAGTAACAACTGATTCGGATTCGGATTCGCACATGCTAATCACAGCCTACTCGGTTTCGCAGGCTAATCCGCTTTGGGTTAACGACGCTTGGAACCCTGCATAAATATCGCGAGACAGCGGACTATTGAGCGAAACTTTGATGTGTAATAGAAGCATCATCGCCGGGTTACGGCCCAGTTCAATCTCGCAATTCCTTCAAAGACTGCACTTATAAAGAGCCAATCTACCTACTAGCCAGACGTGTATTGTACGCGGCAACTTTTCAACGACTTATACACTAGAGTGAGCAGATTGGGCCAGAAACTAGTCTGAAACAGGCGACCTCAGCGACCACCCGAACCGCCTTAGCGAGCTAAGATAAAACTATCCGATCCCGAGTACTTAAAACAAACCCAGTCGACTGGATTGGATTGGGCTTCGCAACACATTGTCTTTATTTCGGCGAAACCTGAGCATCACCACTCATCGTCTACATTTCGCCATTACGTAGCAGACACAAAAGATGTCTATGCCACCGTGGAAAGCTATCTCACTCACGTCTCTCGTCTCATCATACCTGCTGGTCTCCCGCCAAGCAGAATGGTCGACTGCACAGCTCGTCCGCGCCTTTGCCGGGCTCTGGCTCCTCCAGGCGCTCGCATTTGGTGCATGGGCGGTCGTGATCTACCCAAAGCTCTTCTCACCGCTGCGCGGCCTTCCCCAGCCCAAGGGTAATTCGTTCTTCATGGGTCAACTCGCGAGAATTAGAGACGAACCGACTGGATACCCTCAGCGAGAATGGTAAGTGTTTCGCCCTATCGAGTGTACTGGGTGTCGTGTCAGAAGATCTCTGCTGATGTTCCGCAAAAGGGCTCGTACCGTGCCTAATGACGGCGTCATCCGCTACCTTGGGGCTTTCAACCAAGAGCGCTTGTTCGTCACGTCCCCCAAGGGGCTGTCTGAAGTCCTGGTCACCAAGAACTATGACTTTGAGAAGCCTTCGGATGTCAGAGTCTTTCTCGGCCAGATCCTGGGAGTTGGCGTCTTGATAGCTGAGGGCGATGAGCATAAGCTGCAGCGCCGGAACCTCCTACCCGCCTTCGCTTTCAGGCATATCAAAGACCTATACCCAGTGTTCTGGCAGGTCAGCCGCGATGCAGTGCAGGCGATGACTGAGTCGATCAAAGCCGATGCCGCTCAGAGAACCGAGTCAGAAGACGCTGAGAAGGCACTTTCGGGCCGTAAGGACACGTCGGTCATCGAAGTTGGCTCTTGGGCATCCCGAGCGACTCTGGATATCATCGGCATTGCTGGTCTTGGCCGAAACTTTGACTCCATCAGGTCCCCGAGAAACGAGCTCGCTGATGCTTATCGGGCCGTTTTTACACCTTCGCGGCAAGCCCAGCTACTTGGTGTTCTAGGTATGGTGTTGCCCCCCTGGCTGGTTCGTGCCTTGCCAGTCAAGCGTAATAACGATATCGCCGCCTCGTCGAGGACCATCAAATCAGTCTGTTACGACCTCGTCCGCGAGAAAAAGGAGAAGCTGGCGCGCAAGGAGCTCTCAGATGTTGATATTCTCTCCGTGGCTATCGAATCCGGTGGCTTCACCGATGAAGGCCTGGTGAACCAGATGATGACGTTCCTAGCAGCGGGTCATGAAACCACAGCTTCGGCCATGACATGGGCCATTTACATGTTGGCCAGGTATCCGGACGTGCAGAAGCGCTTGCGAGAAGAAATCCGGGCGAACCTGCCATCCATGGACTCGACTGAAGACGTGTCGAGTCTTCAGATCGACCATTTAAGCTACCTGAATGCGGTCTGCAATGAAGTCCTACGGTACTATTCCCCAGTCCCTTTGACGGTCCGTGTGGCTGCAGTGGACACGACGATCATGGGGCATCACGTACCCAAGGGAACGCGCATCATCCTTGTGGCGGCGGCCACCAATGTCGACCAGGAGTACTGGGGCCCTGACGCAGCTGAGTTCAACCCAGATAGATGGCTTCCTAAGCACGAGGCGGACAAGGCGGCAGCCAGCGGCGGAGCGTCGAGTAACTACGCCTTTATGACTTTCATCCATGGGCCGAGGAGCTGTATAGGGCAGAGTTTCGCGAAGGCCGAGTTCGCCTGTCTGCTAGCGGCGTGGATAGGACGCTTCAACTTTGAGCTGCATAATAAGGAAGAGCTTGATGAGAAGAACATGGTCATCAAAGGAGGTGTGACAGCGAGGCCGGCTAAGGGCCTGCATGTGTATGCTACTGTTGTCGATGGGTGGTAGCTACTGAAGTAGTTCAATTGCCGCATTCTTCATTTTGATCCCACTTATCTGATTGATGAGGACTTTCAAGTTTGATTGGACACGGTATTTAGCTAATGACCAAACATTCCCAAAGAAATCGATGAGCGTTCATGAAAGCGGCGTGATGCATTAATGCGACTGGTGCTGAGCAGAAACGGGCGATTTTCTACTACCTGGGGTGCTTGGGATATTCCAATGGCATCTTTGAGAGGATAGTTCTAGGTTCACTTCCGAACGGACGGTCATTGGCCACAAACGATTGTGGTGCTTCGAAAGAAAAGATATCAGTGTACGTATCTCATCAGTTGGTGTCCCAAGTCAAATGGGTGCATGCAATTACGGTCCTTTCATCTTTCATCTTCCCTCTGACCCGACGCGAACTGTCGCTGTTAAAAAATCCGAAATGGTCCTAAGTAGCTCATTGTTTATAAGCAGCAGTTGTCTTGTAGACTCGATCGCGTTGGAAACATGGCTCCGGTTCAAGCCACTACCGAGGACCGCATGGCCCTACAGGTCCATCATTCGGGTCCCTAATACATCCACATTCGTGAGCATCATTGCAGTCGCGCTCAGGGCGTGCGGCCTCGCCAGCATCCTTGACGCTGACGACGACCCAGGGGTCTGAACATTTTTGTTAGTATGAAAAGTCGGCTTGTAACCGAGGGAACACTCACGATCGTAGTCCTCACACATCTTCATGGCAAGAATATCCCACCTTCGGGAGGCAATTTGATCAATTCGATGGAAATTGCTAGAGTTGGTGTGACAATCCCGAAGAATCATCGCATCCCAAGGGTGATCAGGGCAAGTATTAGGCGGGCCTCTGAAGATGCGAATGTTTGAGGGATGCGTGGAGAGGTAGCCCCAGGAGGTACCGGCATCTTTGGCGCACTTGATGTTGGTGTTGACTGCCGCAAAATACTGTCAATTCTTAGCTCTCGTGGTGCACCTTGAGTACTTACCTGTCATCGAGACCCAGGGAATAGAGGAGTCAGGGAAGGGTCCGTATCCAACGATAGCACCTCCAGCTTGAGCCACCTTCTTCTTGCAGTCATCGTCCGCCTCGACTGTCCAATCAGTCTACAGAGAGTCTGAGCCTGGATCTCAGGAGGAGAACAGGAATTGTCTTACCTCACCAAATTGTTCGCCTCGCTTCATGTGAAACTGTCCAAGTGTCAGCGGTGGAGGTTAGCAGGTGGTAAAATGGATAATAACCGACAAGTTTTCGAACATAGTTGCCTGCTGTGTAGTCAACGAAGGAGACATTGTCAGCGTCAAGAAGAGCGCGATCGCGCTCGTCGATTGTGTACCCTCGGAACCAGGACTCTGTCTCTAGACGAAGGAGACGGCGAGCCCGGTCTCCCTTTGACATGGTGCACTGGGTTTGCATGATGGTCTGTGAGTCTTTGGATGGTCGATTTATTGGTGAACTGGTTTGGCGACGAAGAAGGTTGATCGACCACTGTTTTGTGCAGGGAAGGGAAAAAAACCGGCCGCAGAATGTTAGTGCAGAGTTGAAGACCAGGAGTCTAGATACCTGCCTGAAGAGCATTTAGATCCTGGTGGAAATTGTGTGAAGAGCAGGGAAATTCTGAAAATCCAGGCAGCAACCCAATACTTGCCTGAGTCCTACCTATCCAATGGCTCAGTGGATGCTTCGAATTGGCAAGCGCTGGACAGACAGTTCATACATCCATCGTAGAATCTACGCTCCTAGTCATAATGGAGGATCTTGTGGAAGACACGAGATTCCACTACCCTCTGCCTGCCACCACCAAAGAACCTAGATGGTGATGATCGGAGATTCTACACCCCCCAAGTAATCGCTTCTCACTCTTCCCTTAAATGCTGCCACAAGCTACTGTGTCATGACACTTCCCGACCTAACAATATTACACACGCAGTGCATCTGCTCCCAGGCGGTGCGAGGGTTGAATATTACGGCTGGGGAATTTCTTGTTACGGCTTCCGATGATATTGAACATGTTGGAGTTATTACTTATCAGTCTAAGCCGAGTGTAGCAGTGTATCAGGCACAAAAATACAGTCTTTGGGATGCACAGGGTTTTGTTCGTTTTGGCTACAACACAGTGGAAAAGCTTCTTAAGCAATTAGTCTTGTATGAATACCTACAGTTTCCTCTAGATATCCATAATAACATCCATGTGTCAAAATACATAGGATGTGGCCAACCCCGCGAGTTTAAGAGGCTCTCTCTATGGATCCTCCAAGGTTCGATTTGATGCGGAAAGAGTGCAGTTCATAAGCGCAAATTCAATTTTCTTCCTCTTGTGCTGGCGTTCCTGGCTAAAACCTCTGGATAATTCTTGTCTCCCTTACCATCTTCCGACATATTCTTAGCCGAACCATCAGCATCGTCGTCAGAGTCAGTTATGGTCCGACGCTCCATTAGCCGACCCGTTCTCTTCTTCGGCTAGCTGATCGCCTCCATTACCAGACCGCTCGCTGCTGATGTCTTCTAGCAGAAAAACGTGCCGGCCTTACCCATCATGGAGCTTCTCTAAGGTGGGTAGATTCAAATCTGCTTTTAAGGTGCTCAGCCCAACGTGGTGTTAGATGGGGTGTTAATGTTGTAGCCAGTGAATGCCTCTTGTCCACTCAGCCGACCATGTCAAGAACGAGATACGTCTGCACATATATGACGACTATAGACCTTGCTATGTATCGTTGACTTGTCCAGACCACGAATCCATTCTCACCAAGGACTGCGGCCAAACATTACAACGTCAACTATTTGACCCTTGAACGGTAGTGCAATAAATGACATCCGAACATGCCCATTGTTTTAAAGATGACGGCTGTTTCATTATGCATTGTGTCCTCAAAGGCAGACAGGCAACTGCTGTACTTGAGAGGGTGGTCGACTGAAGTCACTTCAGGTGCAGTGCTCAATGCCGAAATTCTGAGGCGCAATTACACGCCATGGTATATTGGACAACTGCAAGTATACTGCCCACTACGCCAACGATTGTTACAAGCTAGCTTTTACATCTCCTGGGTACAACACTCTCCTCAAGTTCGCTTTGCTCAGTTCTGACACGCTCTTGACCCCAGCAAGTCCCAATGTCTGGTCAAGGTCCGCCAGTATCGACGCCAGAACGTGCTGCGCGCCCTCTTTACCTCCGATGCCCAGTCCGTACATGACAGGCCGCGACACCAGCACGCCCTTGGCGCCGAGGCTCAGGGCCTTGACGATGTCAGCACCCGTCCGGATACCCGAGTCGAACAGGACCGTCATCTTGTCTCCGACGGCCTCAACGATCTCGGGCAGCATGTCGAGCGATCCCACGGCGCCGTCGCACTGCCGGCCGCCATGGTTACTGACGACGATGCCCGACATACCCGCCTGCAGCGCCAGCACGGCGTCGCGCGGGTCCTGAATGCCCTTCAGCACGATCGGCCCGTCCCAGTGCCGCTTGAGCAGCTCGAGGTCCTTCCACGGGTGGCTGTCGCCCGAGAAGGCCTCGCGGATCCAGTACCGCGACGCCAGCGTGACACTGTCCTCGGGCGTGTCACCGTCGTTCTGCTCGGCGAACTTGCGTCGGAACACGGGGTCCGTGAAGCCGACTGTGTTGCCCTGGCCAGCAACGAAGGGCAGGAACGTCAGGTCCAGGTCCGCGGGGCGCCACGCCATCGTGGCCGTGTCGAGCGTGACGACGAGCACCGTGAACCCGGCCGCCCGGGCGCTGCGCAGGATCGAGCCCGTGATCTCGTCGTCCATTGGCCAGTACAGCTGGAACCAGCGCGGGTTGTCACCCGAGGCCTCTGCGACCTCCTCGAACGTGCTCGACGAGGCTGTGCTCATGATGAACGGGACCTTGAGTTCGGCGCACGCGGACGCCGTGCCGATCTCCCGGTCCTTGTGGTACACCGACTGGACGCCGACAGGGGCCAGCAAAACAGGGGATTCTGCAGAATGAGCTTTTGGCTGCTGAGGGGGTTTACAAAGCAACTCACCGTACGTTTCCCCGAACAGCTCAACCTTCAGATCCCTGGGTGCTGTGGGCTGCAGCATCCGGGGTAGGATCTTCCAATGGCGGAAGGCGAGGCGGTTCGCGTCCATGGTAGCGCCCTCGCCGGCACCTCCAGCGATGTAGTTGAAGGCCTCGGGTGTCATCGCCTTTTGGGCTTGCTCCCTCAGCTTGTTGGGATCCGTTGTGATCTCGGGCTTGACGCCCCCAAAGATGCCCTGCGCATAGATGCTGAGCTGGTAATCGCCGTAGGTCGACGGACCATCATCGCCGCCGCCCAAGCCCATTGCTACACAGATATCGTAGCTATATCGCGGGCAAATTAATTTTAATGGCACGAAGCAGAGGAGGTATGAGCCGTGTGTGGATGTTACTCGAATTGAAAGGATGTTGGATGAGTTTGAGTGTCAAGGTCTGCAATGGTTCTGTTATATCCCTCCCAGAGATCCCGAAACGATGAGCCTCGGCTGCATCTGCAACAAAGCTTACTACGGAATCAGGCAAGGCGAGTTGATGAGTGCTAACTTACAGTGCAAGCGTCACCTGGAAGACTGCGGGGAGCGACCAGGATTCGTCACCCAATCAAGCATTGTGTAGCAAGAGTGCGAGCTGGTGAGACAATTTCTTTTCAACAGTATACCCAGTCACTATACAAAGATACAAATGTGCAGCTGAATATGCGGGACCCTCTTGTACTTGTGGTAGCATTGGCTCAGTCGCCCGGGGGTCTTGCAACCGACCGCATCTTTGGAGATCGAGAGTAAGCTCGTGTCTTGACAGGTATGATGGTCGAAGCTCTCGAACTACTGAAAACATGGCATAGTTGTGAGAGACGGGACAATTAAACATTCAAGGGATATTCACTCGCCCATGTACACAACACGTTGGAGCTTTGTCCGACCAGAAAAAAGCAAACTCGGAAAGTATAACATGACAGTCCGTAGTGTACGAGCTGCTACAGCGCACCTGAGCAGCGTTCAACGGCGGTGGAGCGCCGGCAGCGGCCCGGTGGAGTAAGCCCAAGCCCGCTGGCTAGCCCGAGATGCCAGTGCCCCGCCCCCACTATCATGGCATTTACGCGACGCGGATTACGGAGCAGCTGCTTAGGAGTTGCTCCGGTATATCCCAAAGATAGCCACGCGACTGTGGATTCAATTGGAGCAGTCGGCGAGTTGTATATACGTAGCACCTGTCTCTGACTCGGACCGCCAAGGTCGGGGCCCAAGGGAACATGGATATCGACGACATTCTGCGTGAGGTCGACCCAACCTACGATGCCCTCCCAGAGGAGACGCGAGACCTCCAGATGTTAACGCGCGCCTGGGTGGCCGAGCGATCAGCCCCGGAACTCCTCGAGTATGCTGCCCCTGCCCCTCCTCTTCGCGCATACTTCCAATCCAATGGTGAGCTGACCGAGACACCCCCCGCTTGCGCAGTTGGCCAGCCGACGGGCTCTTCGAGCGCATCAACGCGCGCGTCAAGGCGCAGATCGAGAAGGTCGAGGAGATGACGGGCGTCATGGACCCCAAGACCAACTTTGCGCTCATCGTGATCCAGACCGAGCTGGAGCGCTTCAAGTTCCTGGTGCGATCGTACCTGCGCGCCCGCATCGCCAAGGTCGACCGCCACGCGCTGCACTACCTCTCGACGCCGGGCCTGCGCGCCCGCCTGTCGCCGACCGAGCTCGCCTACGCGACCCGCCACCAGGCCCTGCTGCACAATCACTACCTCGGCAGCTTCCTGTCCAGCTTCCCAGCCAACCTGCAGAACCTCAACGACACCAGCGGCAACGTCACCATGATCGACACACCCGACGTCGAGTCGGCCGTCTTTGTGCGCCTACTCCGGGATACCATGGTGGAGGGGAAAGGCGTCGATGCTGATGGGAGACTTGAAGGGAAGACTGGGGATGTTGTGATCCTGAGGTGGTCAGACGCGAAGCCTCTTGTCGACTCCACCAAAGCTGAACTCGTCTGATGCTCGATAACTTTGGACTTCAGGTCCGAGACAAGCCAGTCTAGAAGAATTGGGGGCTATGTTCGACTTAGGAATGAATCGGGTTACTTCAAGGAGTTTTGGCATTCGCGAGGCAGAAGCAGCATCTCGGAGCTGCGGGGCCGTTCGGGCTGCTGAGTCGCTCAGGGCGATATCGAAAGCATGCCTCATACGCCGTAAATGCCGATGGCATTTTAACACGGTCGTGGTCCCAGCATCTCTCGCGGTCTGCAAGGGCATCCTTGAGCTCACCCGACCCAAAGATAGCACGGCAACCGAACACACAACACACCCTCCATATTGTATGAGAACGGGCGTTATAGAGGCGCTGTAACATCTACAACGTTGAGACAGGCCGATCACATCAGGAGCTATTAGAGGCTCCTCTGCCCTGAATTATAGGCAGAGACCGCGAGTGCCCAGAGGCGACCCGTAGATATTCTTTCAAAGAAGTCTATAATGGGCTACACTCTCTTCCCCTGCTTCAGTAGATCAGATACCTTAGGCGGCAACACCAATGCACTTCTATCGTTCCGCTTGTGAAAATCTACCAGAGAGATTGCGGTCTTTTCAGGCAAATCCTCATGAATGAAATGGCCTGCCTCAGGGAACACCTGCAAATTATATTTTCCTAGCAAGAACATTAGCATCAGGGAGTGGCCATTTAGTGACATCATCTTCTCAATACCTTGCATTTGACCAATTGTCAATTCAGTGTCCAGTCTGTCGGTACCAGCTAAGAGCAACAGCTTCCCGCCTCTTGCTCCCAAAAATTTCTTGCTGAGACCGACAAACCAGTTCTCCCAGAAAGGCTGTGTACTTGCGAGGTCTGTCCTCCATCTCCATGGCCTGGGATCCCCTTCTTTGTCTGAACGACGTAGAAGGGCCGGAACACTCGTACGAGCCGAGACTGCATTGCGGACAGTCCTGGATCTGACATGCCATTCGATACCAGCCTCTAGCGTTGCGAATCCCGTGGGTCTAGTCGACAGGTAGGTCTGCATACTCTGCAGCGCATCCATGGCAGAACCCTCAACGACGTCGAGCACCGCATATCCGAGTAAGGAGGTCCCCAGTTCCCCTGACTTGGCGAGTTCAGTGACCACAGCACCCCCTAGCGAATGGCCCACCAAGATAATAGGAGGGAGCTCCGGCCATTTCATCTCTGCCTTTGTCTTCGTGATCACCGTGAGAAGGTCGTTCGATAGGGTGGCCAGACTGAGGTCCAGGTGGTCGCCGTCCGGGTTCCAGGTCTCACCATGGCCTCGCGCATCATGCGAGAGGATACCAGCTGCGGGCAAGCGCTTCCGGATCTCGGAGCCGACAACAGCAAATGACAACGCCGACGATCCCGCTCCATGATGCATGACGAATAACGGGCCCTTACCGACAGGCGAGGTAAGATACGCGTGCAGCGTAGGGTTCGAGGTGCCATCCTCGGACTTAAGGAACAGCTCCCGCTCAAAGTACGTCGTCCATGGAATTTGTGCAAGCGATCTTCCTCTCGGCACACTGGACTTATATTAGCATGTGAAACGGCTCCTGGGGGGTCTCGAATGGGTCCTGAATATACCCTTCTGGTCTCGCAAAGAGGTTGCGGCTGGGCGACGGAATGATAGTTCCCGTCGACGAGGCAGATGATGCGGACGACGAGTCGTCCTCGATGGGGATCTCTGGCAATTCCGAAATGTAGCTGTCTTGCTCCTCCCGCTCGTCAAAGGCGTCAGGGCTCACGCCCACACTGAGCCTGGATTTTGCCCAGGCTTTCTGGAGATCACTCATTTCAAATGAAATCCGGCTCAAGCCTCAATTTTGAGCTGCCTCCCAGTAGATCGAGCCGGTGGTGCAACTGTCGCTCGGTGAGTCCAATCAGCGATGGTGGGGCCGGACCGACGTGAACAACGGCACCGGGCTAGGTTTCCGAATCCTGGAAGCGGCACGAGAGAAATCTAACGACGGCAAGGAACTGATATAGGAAGCCGGCTATGCATTGTCATCAGGGCTCAGAAGACTGCAACTTTGCGGTTGGCTGTTCCAACAGAGCAAGCTAATCTGCGAGTCGAGGCCACAACGTCTATTGTGGGGTTGACATCATCCCACTTGGACCCTGAATTCTTGGCACACAGGGGAGTCCTTACCAAATCACCTTCGTGCTTTCTTTCCTATAGACACTTCTAGTAAAAGCACCATTTCCCCTAACGGATGACGAAGGTGCAGCTTAAGTCTTTTGTCCATTCCACATCACGAGGCTAGTGTAGGTAGACTTTGTCGCTCACTCAGAAGCGAAGTCATCAAATCCTGCTATGTCAGAACTCGGCTACGACGTCACATTATTCTGAGAAAATAACACCGCCTTGTCCAATCCAAGCACGCCAGTCCTGACTCCGGTTTCCGTTGAAGTGAACTCTTTGCGCTCTCCCCATGAATAGGCCCACAGTAGAGAGATCTGCGCCTTACGGCGTACTTCAAAACTCGAGATCTGGGAGGCTGAGTTCTAACTCATCGCTGGTATGACTGGGCTTCCCTCCCTCGTACAGCGAAATAAGAGACCAAGGGAATATCTGAGTCTTCGCGCCCGGACTAACCCGTATACCAACACCAATATTTATTGGTTTCAACCTCTCAGGCGTCTTCTTACAAAATGGGCCGAAAATTAGTCACAGTTCGCCGAATAGGCGCGATCAAGCCAATTGAAGGCGCTGACAGAATCGAGATTGCAGTGATCGATGGTTGGACTTGTATCGTGAAGAAGGGCCAATTCGTCGTTGATGGCCTTGCGGTCTTCTTTGAGATCGATAGCTTTCTACCCGGCACCGATGCACGATGGGCGTTTCTGGAGAAGAACTTCATCGACTGGAACGGACAGAGAGGCTTCCGGATCAAGAGCATGAAAATGAGAGGCCACATGTCCCAGGGTCTGCTTGAGCCGCTCGAAGACTTTCCAGAGATCATAGGGGTGATCAAGGATCTTGAGGCCGCTCACGGTAGAAGCGAGGCCGAGAAGATCGTCAGGGGCTTGTCGTTCGAGGAGCCTCTGGGAGTCCAGAAGTGGGAGAAGATGTATAACACGTGGGACGGCGGCGAAAAGAAGGAAAACGTACCCTTGCCAGCTTTCATCCAGAGAACAGACCAGGAGCGGTGCCAGAACCTGCCCGATCTCTTTGACGAGTGGAAGGACGAGGTGTTCCAAGAGACCACCAAGATGGACGGCTCCTCCATGACGGCTTACTTCCTGCGAAGTGACAGCGACAAGACCGCGTCTCTGCCCGAACTAGACAGCTCGGTTCCGCAGACTGCCCTCCTACACAACGGACGGTTTGGCGTCTGCTCTCGACAGGTGGACTTGGGGGAGCAGGACAAAAACGGCCGCTATTTTTGGGAAGTTGCAAAGCAGCTGGATCTGGCAAACAAACTGTCCAGGCTGGATCGTAACATCGCCATCCAAGGCGAACTTTGTGGCAGTTCCATCCAGAGCAACTTTGAGGGGTTCCCGGTCGGAATCCACGACTTCTTCTTGTTCTCGGTCTACGACATCGACAAGCAAAAGTACACACGGCCGAAGGAAGCTGAAGCCATGGCCAGGAAATTGGGCATCAAACATGTCCACGTCGAGGGGTACTTCAGGCTCGGAGACATCGCCACGGACATCCACGGGCTACTCGAGCGCGCGGAGGGCAAGGGGCTGCATGGTAAGAAGAGGGAGGGCATTGTGTTGAAGCACGTTGATGGCGGATTCACATTCAAGGCAATATCGAACTCGTACCTCTTGAAGCATGGGGAATAACTGGGTCTTCGTTGATGTAGCTCTAAATACGCGAAGATGAGATGATGCGTGTTGTCTAGATACCATCGATCACTCTTGTCATTGCTACTTTTGTTTATCTTCAATTAAGCATTGCAGTGTCTTGCTGCAACATCCTTTATCAGGATAGGGTATTGTTCTAAGATGTTATGCAGAAGCTGTGATGCAGAAAAAGGTTGGAGCGTCCTCAAGATTTTCCGAGCATCCGCATGTAAATCGTTTCTACCACCCGACGATCGCTCGGGTGTATGTCCACCAACGCCTCCAAAATGCAGCAAATATAGACGCCTTCCATGCATATCCCTCAGGGCCTTTCTCATGCCGGTATCGCCAGACCTTCTGGCAGCTGAGACTGCGCTTTGTCTTCGGTCTGCACAGTGACGCCACGTTCGGACAGAGGCCGTTTGGCCTGCTGCCTGTATTCGGCCTTCTTCCCTCCTGCAGCCAGAGCGGTCATGTTGGCCTTCTTCTGTGCGTCCTTGTTCTTCTTGGGACCAGTTTCGGGATCAATATCCAGACTCTCGTCGACTTTGCGGGCTTGGTCCACCAGATGAGGGAAGTCAAGCAACTCGCAGACCTTGGTGTAGCTCTTACAGGGGCTGATATTCTTGTAAGCCGGCTGCTTACCAGGGATGAGTTGGCAGAGCAGAAACTTGGTGTTTCCAAACTTGTTCTCGACCTCCATGGCGTACCGCAAGTACTGCTCCACGACCTCTCGCCAGGGTGCCAATCCTCCGTCGGCTTGGCTTCTAAAGCAGCTCGAGTTCTTCTCCGCGCAGGTCGCAATCATGGCACCGTCAACTCCAAACTCTTCCATAAGTTGTGACGCCTGTTCACGATCTTCTACGTCCCCGTTCATGACACAGGCCACGCCGGCCTCGTGGCAAATATCCGCAACCATACGTAGCTGTCCTCGGATGGCACGTTCTCTGGGTCGCATGGGCGTTGTCCGGCAGTGGACCGTCAGACCCGTGATGCCAGTGGCGACGAGTCTCCGAACAAGCGCCTCGGTCTGGGCAGGCGTGTCCAGGATTCGGATCTTGACGCTGATTCCAATCTCGTACTCGGATGCGATGTTCTTGACCAGAGCCTCGAGTATGGAGCACAGAAGGTCTGGAGTCTGGAGCAGTGCGGCTCCCATTCCACAGTGGACGCTGAATGGCTTGGGGCACCCTGCGTTTACATCGATGCCGGCTACGTCGGCTGCGACCAGCTTTGCAGCTTCCACGGCCAGTTCGGGGTTCGCAGTTCCCATCTGGAAGATGAGCTGCCGGCCTTCTTTCTCAGGGTGTATCTGGAAGATGATGTTCTCGGGCGCATCGGGAGGTGGCTGCTTCGCGCCCTGCGACGGCTTGCGCGTCCAGACAATGGTGTTCGTGGCATCGTGGACTTTACGGGTGGTGCCGATCATGGCCTTGTCGATGGTTTCGGGACCTGTTCTCATGGTGTTAGCCCGGCCAGGCCGACTGAGAGGGCGAGAGGGCTTGCCATACCCCATACCAGGTCTGCGCCGTAGTGGAGAGCCAGAAGTCGCGATGGCAATTCGCCGGAGCGCACCATGGGCGCAAGCACGACCTTGCCTCTGTAGTCGACGCCGCGACGGGGGATGGGGACCTTCTTGATTTCGGTCGTCATGGCGCTTCTGATGAGACGACCCAAAAGTGACATGACACGGAAGAGGTTGCGCAAAGCAGAGCTTGGTTGCCACGTTTGTCGAGGCTCATAACAAATAGTAACAGTAGAAAACTTTGAGTTCGCGGCCGACTCCGGTGCTATGCTTCAGAGGGCACTTCGGAACGGCTAGCCATATCTTATCTAATATACTGTACGGTACATACTGTACAGTACCGTTGAAAGCTCCTGCTGGCCCGCTCTGCCATCATTCTTCCCGTACTTTGCGATCATCAGAACCGAAAGATCGCGCTATCCCTACCAAGGCCTGTGGATTGAAAGGCTCTGAGAAATACCGTCGGGGAGCAGTCAATGTACTGCATTGGACTGGGAGTAATTCCTAGGACTTGCAGCGTGGCTGACTGAATCCCCATGGCAAATTGCACTTTTCAGGTGCCTAAAGCAGACGGTAGCATTGCACCCTCGACCCTCAACCTAAGTTAAGCACATCCAGTGGTACTCAGATTGGTATACTACGAGCGCCATTCCAGTGCAAACAGAAGCAACTATCGCTCGTGGAACAGATATCAAGACTCAAGATATACCTTTGTTACCAGCCAGGATGGCCGAGGAGTGCACAGGCCGTGCAGGAACTATCCCTACCTGGCACCTGGGTGCTGTAGGTAGAAACGGCCGATGGCCAGGGCGCCCAAACACCACAAGGCTGGCAGCGCCACGGGGTGTCTGGGTGGCCCGTAGTTCGTGGTTTATTTCCATGTGCCCGCCAGACTTTTTGCTCCACTTCTTGGGTGCTTGACTTGCACAGGACACTCGTGACAGCCTCCCTATCCCCTATTACCTAGGTAAAGAGCAGACCTGTTGCCGGCAACTTCCTAACTGCCACCAGGCCAGCCCCGTTCCGGAGTCCTAGCCGTGGGAACCTTGGAAGTGCGCGATACGATATAACCGGCTGGCGTGCCCCCCCCTCTCCTCTTGTGACCTTCGCGTGTCTTGGCCCCTATCCAATGCTGTCCCAACGAGCGGCGAGGCAAATTCTGCACCTGCGCCGACCGACGCCTGCAGCCTTCCACTTGCAGCAGCTGCCGCTATCGCCCGCCCCGCCGCATGCACCGCTGGGCCACGCCCACGTCCCTCTGGCACCTCTCCTGCCCGTCGCAGCAGCTAAGGGCCGGCCAGGCGTCGCCTTCGCTCGCCCACCTCGCCCACCTCGCCCACTAACAATTTCGTGCTCGCGGGCCAATCACACCGCCCCCCTGCCCAACCTGGCGGACCAATCTGGCAACCAGGCCCACGGCCAGGGCCAGGGCCAGGGACAGGCACGCCGCACCCGCGCCCGTACCCCTCCCCCTCCTTCCTCCCCTCCGGCCAAATTTCGTCACAACAATTCGATACCGCTCTCGCAATCTTCGTCTTCTCCCTCCTCCTTCTCCTCCTCTCCCGGTCGAGTCTCGCTTCCGTCCGGCACAATTGCGTCCCAGCGTTCTGCACAAATAGCTCGGCACCTCTCGAGCTCTGCTTCCCGCCCCATTGATTCACAGACTCACGTCACCCCCGAATCCATAGCAACCATGGCCTCTGGCTACTCGGTCCGCAATGTTGCAGCTCCCAACACCCTGGAGCACCGCGTCTTCATCGAGAAGGATGGCGTCCCCATCTCCGCCTTCCACGATGTCCCTCTCTACGCCGATGCTGACAAGACCATCCTCAACATGATCGTCGAGATCCCCCGCTGGAGCAACGCAAAGCTCGAGGTCAGTCTGCACCCATCGCCCCGATAGAGTAGCGTACTTGGAAGAGAACGGAAGCTCACAATACCCCACCGTCAGATCTCCAAGGACGAGGAGCTCAACCCCATCAAGCAGGACACCAAGAACGGCAAGCTTCGTTTCGTCCGCAACTGCTTCCCCCACAAGGGCTACATCTGGAACTACGGTGCCTTCCCTCAGGTGAGACAGCATCGGTGCCCGTCCCCCCCAAGTGCTGTGCTAAATAGCTATCCCCACAGACCTGGGAGGACCCCAACTTCACCCACCCCGAGACCAAGGCCAACGGTGACAACGACCCTCTCGATGTCTGCGAGATCGGTGAGCTCGTGGGCCACATTGGCCAGATCAAGCAGGTCAAGGTCCTGGGTGTCATGGCCCTGATTGATGACGGCGAGACCGACTGGAAGGTCATTGTCGTCGACATCAACGACCCCTTGGCCCACAAGCTCAACGACGTTGAGGATGTCGAGCGCCACCTGCCTGGTCTCCTCCGTGCGACCAACGAGTGGTTCCGTATCTACAAGATCCCCGATGGCAAGCCCGAGAACCAGTTTGCCTTCACTGGCGAGTGCAAGAACAAGGCGTAGGTTTCCAACGAAAAACACTTGCCATAGGCTCACCGCTAACACTTCACAGCTACGCCATGGATGTCATTCGCGAGTGCGCCGAGGCCTGGGACAAGCTCATCAGCGGTACCACCAAGGTCCCTACCAAGGGTGACAAGCCCCTCATCTCCGTGTAAGACGACCCTCTGGTATCAGGCCCCAGACACATGCTGACGTTTCTATCCTAGCAACAACTTGACTGTCGGCAGCTCTCCCTACCGTGTTGCCCAGCCCGAGACTCCTATCCCCGCTCACCAGAATGTTGCCCCTGCCAAGATCGACAGCTCGATAGACAAGTGGTTCTTCATCAGCGGTGCCGCTGCCTAAGCGCACAGAGTCTTGCTAGCACATATGTCACAACCCGCTCAGGAGAAAACCAAAAGTCTAATGACGCCGGCTACGTGTTGGGACGACTCCAGGGGGCTTCGAGCGCCATGTTTGCCTTCTACGTAAAATCATGAGAACTCAAAAGAAAGACAAAATGAAACAGAACGTCAACTGATGCAATCAACTTCTACCGCAGTGTGTGTTTAGTCAATGCATCACACCATGGGATTTGAATGACAAAATGTTGCTGGAGCGAGAGTGCTCATTCCTGACATCACGTCGTTAGTCAATCCATGTTGACCGTGGTGTTGCCAAGTCCGCTTTCGCATCAGTATACCTACATGCAGCTGTACAGCTATCGGTTAAGGCCGGTCATATTTCCTGGAGACCGGAGAAAGAATTGGTATGAAATACGAAAATACGCTTAAGATGTTGTATGAACAGAGCCCATGCCCTCTCTATTCGCCAATTGAGTGAGGAGGCCGAATCCCCGCGGTGAGATCGGTTCTTCCATCTATCTATGGTACACATAATGCCATATAATACAGTGTACATGTTGAATCCATTGCGAAAAGCCCCAAACGCCTGCCCAGTATGCTCTGTGGTCCCTCCTCTTGTTGGAGGTCTACTCGTTCAGGTCGGCCTGCTTCTGCAGCGTTCTCGAATGCCGGTCGCACTCCTCGACAATCCCCTTGATGCCCAGCTTCTCCCCGTCAAGCGACATCTCCTTGCCATCCTCTATTATGATCGCCATGGTCAGCCTTACATGCCACAGCCGATCAGCTCTGGGGTAGCAAGTGTGTGTACGTACTGAACTTGATCAGAAGCATGGGCGGCTCGGTCGACGTCCGCGGCAGCAGGCTCGTGGTGACCTTCATGGCGCCATTGGCACGGGCGTTGGCGGGTAGGTTCGCGAGGAACAGGCGCGTGGAGCGCGAGGCCGCCGAGAAGGGGTTGAACTTGGTGTTCACCTCGGTGATGAACCTGGTGAGCATGGCGGCGGCTTCTTGTGAAAGACCGGGGAGTCAGTCTCTGGCTCGCACTTGTTACGCGTGTCGGGTGCCGTAGTTCGGGCGCAGAAGGTGGGCTTACAAGACGGTCCTCAAAGGCCCAATTGGCAGTTCTGGGCGCGGTTAGGGCGGTGCTGCAGACAGATCGCTTCGACAGACGATTCCCGCGATGGACCGGAAATTCGCAGCTTTCGACTTTCCATTGATCCCTGTCGTCCTCGACTCTAAGTCAGTGTGGCGCGCCGCGAAAAAGCTGTGTGGCGGTGCAGACCCTGAGCCAAGGTCCAAGGAGCATGGGAGCAGGGAGCTGGCGCCGACTCCAAGTCAACGTCACCGGCCGATCGCCAATCAAATGTCAGGACAGATCTGGCTTCAAGACCCGGCTTCGGTGCCATGGTGCTGGTAAACTGGTTTCGCCGACGATCTACGACGCGATAGGGTTGCTCTTAACCGTGCTATTTCATGGAGACCTTGTTCTGAAAGTACACAACGTCGGTCCAGGTTCATTTCGCGAGCTGCAGTCTGCCAGCGTTCCCTGCCAACCTAAACCTCGACCTCCGACGACCGTTTTACTTTGCTGCAACCTGCACCGCTAGCCCGCCATGGAGCGCGCAGTCGAACGCCTTTCCGAGCTGCAGGACAAGCTCGCCTCCCTCCAGGACGCGGTCAAGCAGCTGAAGGAACACATCAATCGATTGGCCAACTTCGACTTCCAGCCCGGCGATCTAGACCCCACGGCCAGCGATGAGCTCAGCACCGAGATCATACAGCTGATACAGGAGCAGGAGGAGGACCTTGAGCTTCTTCAGGAGGAGGTCGTCGACGTCCGACCCTTCAAGGCCCTCAAGCATGACAAGGACCGGCTCCAGGATGGGGCAGAGCGCCTGAAGGAGGAGCTTAACAGGTGAGCGCCAACATACACAGCATCATGACGGCTGTTCTAAACTAATACTCTATGCAGCTGTCGGCCGCTGCTGCGCAAAGCCCAGGTATCAGCCAAAGATAATCTGAAGCAGGCGCAGAAGAAAGAACGAGAGCTACTATGGGCCTCCTTCTCGCAGCCAAAATCCTCCAGGGAATCGGGCGCATCCTCGCCGCACCCGACGGTGGAAAGGCCGAGGAGGAAAGCCCGGTCCGAGATGACCAAAGATGAGCAGGCCGTGGCATCCAGCGGCGACGTAACACAGGCTCTCCGCCGAACGCACGACATGATGGCCGCCGAGCTGTCGCGGAGCGAATTCGCCCGAAAGACGCTTCAGGAGAGCACCGCGGCGCTCGCGCAGCTCGGCGAGTCGTATTCGTCCCTGGACACCATGCTCTCCAGTAGTCGCGACCTCCTGGCCACCCTCATGACCAGCCAGAAGAGCGACACCTGGTATCTCGAGACGTCCTTCTACATGCTCGCCATCACGAACTGTTGGCTCGTCTTCCGTCGATTCCTGTATGGGCCGCTCTGGTGGCTTGTATGGCTGCCCCTGAGGCTCATCTTCCGGGGCGCGGTCACCGTCACGAGCATCGGACAACACGGTGGCCACGAGGGGTTAGTAGTGGACACGTCGGCCGGCAAGCCGGCAGAACCGCAAATGAATAACGAGGACGTGCCCACGATCCAGGTGGGGCAACCCCAGGAGACAGCAGACCCAGCAACGGCGGACGCTGGTGATGAGACCCTAACAGAGGAGTTGGGTAGGATGATTGATGAGGCAAGAGAAGGCACAGTTGAGTTTGAGGAGTCACAGCAAGACCCTGAGCAGAATGTGTACAAGGAGTTTCTGGATCGAGAAGAAGAGATCTCTCGTCAAGAGAGGGAAAGAGTAAGAGTCGAGCTCTAATGAGAAATAAAGAGGCACAAGTATCACTTTGCTACAAATTATTTCCCGTCGCTGAAGAATGCTTACGTGTCACCATGCTGAAGGCGGGCCCATGAAGGCGATGCGAGCACATTGTCACTTACACGATGCAGTCGACTGCGAGGGCTACGTTCTGTCAGATGCTGTACAAGGGCAAAGACGCCTCTATTGTGAGTCTAATATCTCTACAGACAAAGGGGTGGGAAATCAGTATGCGTGTGTGCGGGGTTGATATCCGATCTGTTGACAGCTCCTCCCGCCCTTTGTCCTTGGCGCCTGTCGAGAAGCTCGAACACTCAGATATGAACAATGAACCACGAAAGATCCAATGCTCAAAAGTCCATGATGCAATTCCAGCTTCATGTAAGTCTCCCTTCCATATGTTCTCTTGTCCCCGTTTCCCTGCTGCTTTGCTGCCCTGATGTTGTTACCAGGACCATTGAGTTGGAAAGCCCCATATGAGTCAAAAGGGGATGCCCCTATTCCTATTATCTCCAACTGGAAATGAAAACGCCACCAAACCCCTCACAAGGCCACCTCTTGAACTCCATGAAGCATATCTTTTTAGGTCTATGTCTTTCGTTCACATGCTTATTCTTCTCCCTGCCTTGTTCAGAGATACTCTTTTCTTTTCTCAAGTATCGGGGATATCAACTCTTGATTTGCAGGCCAAAGATCCTTCCGGCCTGCCCCCCCAATGCGCCCCTTTCCCCCTCTCTCGACAAAAACGCCTCGGAACGCCGCAAGGATCCAATGCGCAATAGGTTGGGTTATTAATTACAGCCAAATTTCCACCGTCTCCATCTCACACTCCCGTTTGGCTCGCTCCACTCCCCTCCGGACCCCGCAGTCCTCCAACACGACCTCAGCCGCAACCGCCGGCCAGGGCCCCCGCGCCCGCACCCTATGCGGCCTCGGGGGTCTGGTTCTCGGCCGCCGATGCCGTCGTCGCCGTGCCTAAGAGGCTGTCGACGCTCGCGTCACCGGCTACGTCCAACACCTCCCACGACTCGTCGCTAGCGCCGGGAACCCCCGGCTGGCCGGCGCCGCCGGCGTTTGTCGTGTCCGGCTCCAGCAGACTGGGGTCCAGCAGGTTGTCCTCGAAGTGGGTGTTGAAGCCATCGACGAGCGTGTCCTCGGCCGTGAGGAACTGGTCGTACCCCCCGCTCGGGTCCCCGTACCCGCCATCCAGCGCCTGCAGCGCCGAGTCGAAGTTGTCGGCCCCGCCGTTGCCGCTGAGGTCAAACGGCTCGTCCACCGGGCCGAACCCCTGCGTGCTATACGACGGCTGCTGGAGGAGCTGCTGCTGCGGATACGAAGGTGGGGGTGCCATCTGGTAGTGCTGCTGCTGCTGCTGATGTACCGGCATGTGTCGTTGTTGCTGGTGATGTTGCGGCGGCGGCGGCGTTGGCGACAGATCGTACAGGGGCTCGTTGGCGGGCGAGCCGTAGTGCGACCCCGGCAGCGACATGTTGTGTTGCTGCTGCCCCGGCACCGGCGCATAATGGTGATGTGACGACGGCGTCGACGTCTCGTGGTAGTAGACGTTCTCCGTGTGCGACAGCGGCGGCGGGCCCACGGTGTAGGCGTTGCCGCGCGGCGCCGGGATCGAGTACTGCGACACGTCGACCCGCTGCGAGGCGTAGTGGCCCTGCTCCAATCCCGGATACGGCCGCGGCAGGGGCTTGCCCGGGTTCGCGTACGCGTAGTGCGACATATTGGGCATATGCTGCTGTTGCGGCAGCTGATGCGGATGAAGATGCTGTGGCGGCGGCGGCGAGTGCTGGTACGGCGACTGTGACATGGCACGCGAGACGGACTGGTAGTGGTGATGGGGCGTGTAGGCGCGACCGGGCGGCAGGTAGTCCGGGTCGTTCGGGTCCTCGAAGGCCGAGTAGGCGCGCTGGGTGCCGGCGGGAATGCCGGACCAGTTGTCCTCGAGCTCCGAGTCGTCACCGTCCTCGCTGTAGACGGGCGGCTTGGGGCGGCCCTTGCGGGTCTTGGCCGGCATGAACTTGTAGTCCGGGAAGGCCTTGGAGTGCATGTCGCGCTCCTGGGTGGCCCAGTCGGTGTACTGCTGGCGCAGCTCATCCGACTCGAGCGGCCACCCGTCGCCCGCCACCTTGGACACGCCTTGGTGGTTGTCGTTGGTCTGCCACGCCTTGATCCGGTTCTGCCACGCCTTGCGGTACAGCATGAAAGCGTTCATCGGTCGCTTGATCTTGTGGTTCTTGTCGTCCGCCACCTCCTTGCGCCGCACCTCGATGGACCGGCCCACGTACGCCGCGATGTCCGTCTCGGCGACCTTGCCTTTCAGATACGCTAGGAGCTCCGTCAGCGGCCGCGTCACGCTCGGCTCCGACACTTTGCCGTTTGCCTTCTTCTTTTTCCGCGGTTTCGGTGCCGCCTTGCCCGCCGGCTTGCTGGACGAGGCCTTCTGGACGCCGGCAGGCTGTGGTCGGAGGGGGTCGGAAGCGATAGCGCGGCCGGACCGCGTAGTCCTTGATGTCGTCAAGGAGTTGTGTGGGCTTGACGGAGTGGTACCGGGCGTGCTGGTGTACTGATGGGAGTTCTGACGAAACACATTAGCATATACTGCGTCGTCTGGAATAGGCATGGCGTAATAAGGAGATGGGGCCATTGCGAAGCCAGGAGGACCGGAGGCAGTAACTCTACCCCTATTCTGAGAGCCAATCGCATGATTGCGTTCGCCGACCTCGAAAACAGCTCCCCCAGAGAAATTTCTACGTACCATCTGCGCAGGGTCGGGATATGCCGACTCTCCCGGGCCTGTGTAATACGGAGACAATCCCGGCGTTGGGCTGCCATATTGCGAATTCGGCTGCGGCGAGCTGTACTGGAGATGTGTGTCGGTAGGATAGGTGAACTGAGCGACCACCTCGAGCCCATGTTGGAGCTCTGGCGTCTCGGATTCTGGCGTTGGTGTCGCCATGTCTGCCGTTGTGGTTGATACCAGATCGACGGCTATACTTGATTCCTTGCTTGATTGATGCCCAGTGATTCAGATTGAGACGTGAGGTCGACAAGGCCGGCTATTAAATGGTAGAAGGTCTCCGTGATTCCAAAGGGGAGGTGAACTAAGGGCGTGTTGCCTGGACAATGGCGGTGATGGCCGGCGTCAAAGACGATGTTCATCCGTACAATGACAACAATGGGCAGTGTTAAGGAACAGCGCAATTCTTCGAGAGTACAGCACTGGCCCTGTTCATCCCGTGAACCCCAGAACCGGGGAATCAGGACTGCCCAGCGGTCGTTATACGCCGCGCTCGTCAACCCGCGCAGGTCAGTCGGTCAATCCGGGTAAGACGGTTGTTCGACTTGATACTGGCGTCTGTCCGCTTCTCGGCCCAAGCTCTGCGGGATCGCCAGCAGCGTCGCTGTGACAGCCGTTGTCAGGACGTCGATGGACCGGACCAGGAGCCTCAACACGAGCGCAACCCTGGAGAGATCCGGATTTGAGGCTCTGTAAAAAAGGCTCGACAGCTTGACAGAATATGACAGGAAACAGTGGATTATGGGGGTGCAAAGTGATCCAATCACTACTAACACGTCTGAGATGCACAGAGGTGTAGTCAACCGACGGCGACGTGGGCTGCGTGTGTGGGCGCGCTGTTGCAGGACTGGGATTGCTAGAGTTAGCCAGACGTGAGCTCTGTGCAATGCCCGCATGGGGAGAGCCAGTCGCAGCGCAGAGCACTCCCGGATGTATCTTTCTACCAGTACTGGCGCCTCAATAATGCCAAATAGAACCTGGCCGCAGCAGCGAGGCGGTGGGTGGTGGAATAGACAGGTCAGAAACACACAGGTGTGAGTTCATGTCTTGTCTGGGAATCAACCTCACCGCGCTGCAGGGACCAGGATATGGGGAGCGCGCGTGCAGAGCCCAGAAGAGCGAAAGAAATAGAGACAGAGGAAACATCTGTAACTGACCTATGGAAGCTTGATCGAGCGACCTGCCGCCGCGTTGGGTGGCCGAACACTGGCAACTGAGAAGCCCGGATCCCGGAGCGTCTCTTGCATACGATATATGTACCGAATGTGATGTCAAGAGCTGATGACGGCAGCAGCGCCAGATAGACTCAACATGTAGCAAGGTATCAGAGGCAGCACCTGAATTCGCGAACACACTGCCGTAGAGTTGACACCACTATCCTGCACAATCGCTGCGGTTCGTGCAGCCTATTCTGCAGCAGAAGCCTGCACGGAGCTTTTCCGCCGTTTTCTTTGTCACTCTGCTCGTTTCCCCTTCCAAAGCCCCTTATCCCGAACGTTGCAAGTGTGGTTGTGTGTGCGCTGTGAAAAAGCTGGCATATGCGAGGTGTTGGTTTGCTATTCAACTGATTATGGGATATTCTCGTCACGGAGTTCTCCGTCTAAATTATTTGATATAACCGATCGGTGTGTAAAAGAGTGATCGGTGTTAGATAGTAGACTATGTTGGTGCTTGATGTTGGCAGTCGTATACGATATGACCCTCTTCTGGTAAGCGATGGGTAGGGGTTGCTCGGATCAAAGGCAGTATCAATAGGTACACGACCGTCCGCTTTGTCGGGCTTCGCACTTCTCTCCCCTTTTTCTTTCTTTCATGAGGGTGTGCTTTTCCTAATCCAACGACACCTTGAAGTGCCGAACCAACAGCTACCAACAGGTTGGGAAAAAAGAAACATGCCCGGATTCTTGGGTTAGTAAAGGTTTTGTATTGTCATGTGCTTTATTCGGGTGCACACTTGCCACTATCCGGTCGCTGCTTTGTAGACGCAAATGGAGTGGCCTGGCTCTCCTACCGCATTCGGAGATGTAAGTCAAAGAAAGTGCATGGGGGATTGCGGACGACTCAAGCGCACGCAGTGGCCAGGGCCAACAAGCGACATAGGCCCACCGGAGCACTACTAGCAGAGAAGAAGACACTACGGCTAGTCGGACATTTCTGCTACCGGGTTCGGATATAGGTTTCTAATCTCGACCTGGGGAGCTCGGTACATTCCGAGGCGTGTGGTTTGCTAGCCTAGCATCACAGCGACAGAGCCGCATGAGGGCCAGCCGTAGTTTGCCAGGAGGGGCGTGGTTCATATGCACTTGATGCCCATGCCGTGGGCGAGAAAGTTGCCCTATCTATCCAGCTCTCCCGTGCAGCGTCCAGGCGAGACATTCGAGAGCCTTGCAAACATGTCTCCCACAAGCATGGAACTATCCGGCTTGGGGGCAACGGGAGAAGCAGGAACCCATGGAATTAGTTTGGTACTGTTGCGAAGAGGTTCGCGTAGCAACCCGATCATGCGCCATCCATCTCCACCCTTCATCTAAAACATGGGAAATCTGGGGTTAGATCTTCTAGATCTCCCTCGATAAGCCCGCCAAACGTGCCAACAGGAGGATGCATGGTGGGTGTTACGCCATCACTAGCCCCTCGTGTTCTGGGCTGGCTGCTGAGTTCCGGAGGGACCAGACACTTCTAATTCCTGATTCTTCAATCAGTCGCGTGCGGTGTTGGCCAGGTACCGGTGCGTTCGTAGTTAGACCGTTGGAATGCTGCGTGCCTGAAAACGTTCAATCGAGCAGCGGCGTTTCCTGGTTACGCCCCTCCCGCGTTCCTTCGACCACCGAGTGTCGGGGACCAAGTTTTTGAGATGTGCGAGTCCAGAAAAGAATAAATTGGCTTCATTACCCTCCTTGAGTCCCAAGAATCTGCTAGATCGACGTCTGCTGTCTTTTGAAAGAGCCGCATACAATGCTACGATGGATGGCCAACTCTGGATGGCCTTCTCATTGGACACACCGATGATTGGATCATTTCTGAATAGCGGGTGAGTCTTCACAGCTTCAGACTGCGTATGCAAAGCAACAGGGTTGGCTAGTTTCCAGCAATAGATGCCGTTGAAGGACGGACTTCTAAGCCAGCCTTCGCTTATACGTGTTTGAGTGGAGATACCCCTGCACGAACGACGGGTAGCTGCATTAGCGCGACGACAGGGGGTGGCTGTTTGAACGTTCAGGGACAGAAAGGCAACGAACGTGCCTGTGAATTGTACCATGTCGACATGGCGTTTCCTCAGATATCTCCGAAGTCTGATCGAAATTCATATCGTAGCAGCTGAGGAGCTGTTTTTTTTTTGTTGCGCAGTCCTGCTGATGGCTCTCTGTTGCCAGACGATGCGGAAGTGGCTTACACACTGCCTGAGTTGCTGGTGGAACGGAATAGCAGAGATGGCTTCACTATGACATCCCTAAGCTAGGCGAGTAAGTATATAAATACGGGTAGGTGTAAAAGAACGGACTGAGATGCATTTTTTGTCTGATTTCTTTACTTCTGGGGTCCTTTGAAGATGTTACGCATACTCGTTCCAAAGGCTCCTTCTTTTCCGAGACGTTTCTATTGTACGAAGCAGCCCTGTTGAGACTTCAACTTGGACAGGAAAGAACAAAAACGATAGAAAACGCTATTGCTACTTCGAGTGTACTTTTAGATCAATGGGCTAGCCTAGGCTCGAGAGGCTTCGTTGATCTGCCCGAAAAGCCAAACACCGGTGAACTCTCGTTGAGGATGGAATCCATGGCACCGGTGACAGACACGGCCATTCAAATAAACACTTCTTCCAAGGGCGTGGTAATGAGAGCAACTTGCGCCTACCTGATTTGTCTGGCAGGAACTCAGCCTTTCGGCTGCAGGTTCGTCCACGGCGTGCCCTGCCCACTGGGCAGTTCTGGTTGTAACCCCTGGCATGTCTTGGAGCTCAGACCAACAGTTCGTGACGCCCAGTCGGGTTTGCAGCAACTCGGTTCGGGCAAACTGCCATCCCAGTCACTAAATTGCAAATATCAGCGAATCGGGATGCGGATTACTATGATTTGACCACCCACGATAAAGAGCCGCTTGCTCATGCGGATGGACGCATGCTGGTCTCCTTATCCACCAGCGCCGAAAGGGAACACGAGTCGGTGTGTTGGCAACGGGTGGCGCGCCGCGACGGAGAACCTCGAGGGGGTCTGTGTCAAGTTCTTTGCCGGATAAGCTTTTTAGGATAGTCCCGGTCTAGGTACCTCTCACATGGACTGTGCAAGTGCCAAATTGAAAATGAAATAAGACCCGTAGCTTTGCACATAAGACGTTTCAACAATAGCTCGTTGCCACGTGGAGTGGTAAGCATGGGAGCAGGGGAGCAGGCTCAAAATCGATTGATCACTACATTCACGATGCCCATCATGCCCGACGGAGGAGATTCACTGGTATATCCAACCCTGCCTTGCGCGGTGTCGGACATCTGGTTGATACTAGGCACATTTGCGTTCTCCGCTTGATCATTCGGGAAAATTCTTGAGGCCAGAAAGGCCATGCTTGCCATGCTTGCCAATGCATGCGTATTACCGTCTATCTTTTATGGTTCTAGTCCAATCCTGCGCCGCGATATGCAACATTCATCATACAACTGTCTACTTAAGTAGGTATAATATCAAGTGGGGAGACCCATACGTGGATAGCAGCTACCACTAGGCAATATGGGCATCTGAGACAGCCAGGAGCTTGAACAGAGCGAATGATCGGTAAGCCGAGCAACCCATATAGTCCTTGTCAGAGGTCCCCGAACGGACTCGCCGATAGGTTCGACGAATGAAAGTGACTGCTCGTCCTGCGCACCCTAGTCCAAACCATCTCATCCTGAGGTCCGCTAGCCCCGTCTTCTACGAGAAACCTTTCTATTGCTGGTTCATTGCTAGGAAGACGCAGATAGTTTCACAAATTTCCAGTAGACCCATTGGAATGCTGGGACCCGGGCCGTACAGGATCAACAGGCTTGACCGGCGGAGTCAGGATTTGTTGTGAGGGAGTTGGTGAGAGTGCCGCAACAGGGGGGAGAACAGACGGGGCAGGTGTTGAATGCGACCCGCTGCTCGACTTTTGCGGCGGGGGCGGTGAGCGCTTTAGTGGTGAGAGACCATTCTGTATCGGGGGTAAAGTCGGGGTTTTAATGTCCGAAGCTGGTACAGGTTGACCGTGTGTCAGTTTGGGTGTGGTGAGGCCAGCGGGTGTAGCGCTACTACTGGGTGGTCGGTTTGAGGAGGAGAACGAGACTGAAGGTGGTGAAAGGTCTGGTAGGTTGCTGACTGCGTTTTCCAGGGGCTGTTTCAACGGAGAATCGGACCTGGCTGCGATCGGGGGCACCGACACATCAGCGTGTGGAGGCAGGATGCTGTTGGGGAGCTTTTGTTGTGGCAGTGAGCCGTTCATCTTTGGTGAGATGTGGAATACGCCCTTTGGGGGGAGACTCCTGTGCTCGCCGGCTTCAGATGGCGCCGAGGGAGATGACGGATTGATAGTAGAATATGCCCGGGACTTGTTGGGCGATTGCTGTGGAGGCGACAGGGTCGGATGTGGTGATGAGAATGGGTTTGGCCCCTCACCATTGGTGTAGGGTGAAGGAGGAGGCAGAATGCTTGGCGGACCGGATGCCTTGACGGGGATGACTGGTGGCCTAGATGCCTGGTGTTGACTAATTTGTTGCGATTGAGACTCGATAAGCGGCCGGCCTATAACATCCGACCCCTCTGCACGAGGGGACAGCGCTGGCTTTAGAGGCAGCTTTGTGGGAATTCCAACAACCAAGTCAGACTGTTGCGCCTCTAGGCGTTGCCTTTGAGGTGTAGTGCCCGCAGATTGGGCCGCAGGTGGTGACGACGGAACGTCATCAGGGTTCTTAACCTTGAGTTTGATGACAGTCGGTTTCGGTTTTGCATCTTTCCGCTTGCAGGTGCTGCAGATGAAATGGAAATCATCCCGGTCGGCCTCATCCTCACTTACTCCCACGCATTTGCTGTGTTGCCATACGCTGCACTTCTCACATGCAATGCTGTGGGTTCCATCATCAACTTGGCCATGAACGCCACACACACAATCGAAGACCCAGTCTTCCTCCTCGTCTTCCAGCTCTTGTAGAGCTTGCTTATTCTTGGCAATTTCAGCTTGTAACCGGCGACCCGAGAGTCTGCTTGTACCATCTGAATCAACATTCCTGCTGTCTTCAGAGAGGTGTGCCAGTTCTTCCTGATGCTTCAGGCGACGGGTCTCTCGTTCCTTGAGCCGGTTCTGACGCGACATTAGCCTGTTGTCTCGCTCGACCTCCCGCTTGATGCGCAACTGCTCTTCCTTTCTCGCGGCAGCTTCTTCCTTGCGACGTCTGTCCTCTTCCAGCTTAACCTCCTCATCCTGCTTCTGGCGCTCTGCTTTGCCAGCTAGACGACTGGATCTCTTGGCATGTGCCATCTTCTCCAAGCTGAGAAGCTCCTTTTCCCTTGCCAATGCCTTCCTCTTGCGAGACTCTTCGTGCTTCTGCAGGATCGGTAGCAGGCCTTCCTCGATCCGGTCCCTCAAGATTTTCTCATTCTCATCGCGAGTCTTGCGAATTGTCTGCAGGAACGCCTGAACCTCGAGCAATGTAACAGCGATGCATTCCCAATGAGCACCGCCGAAGCCATCATCTTCGGGTGGGGATACTTCTTCGTTTCCGGAGGCCTGTTCGTTGTCGCCATCGTCAGCATCTTCGGCATCTGCTGCTGCAGAGCGTGAGACGCGACGGCGCTTTGCGGCCCTCGCTGCTGCCTTTGCCTTCTTTGTGTTCTTCTTGGGCTTCCACGCAGCTGAAGTAGGCGCCGGGGCCTCTGTCCGACGATACAGGCGATCGTCATCTAGAACATAGTACTCGCGGTCCTTGCTGTCCCAGCCGTATGGCTCTATTCTCCATTCTGTCTGATCTGAAGGCCGCTGCTCATCCATCCTGTCCCGGATACGGTCGGGGTAGTGCAGCATGATCCATTGTGTTAGCTGGTGGAGGACCCGAAGCTGTAGCTCTGTCAGTAAGCAGGACCGGCATGTCAATGGATGATACGATGTGCCCACGGACCTTGGTAAATATATCGAAGCTGTTGAACTTGGCCGGCTCCTCATCCGTGCCGAAAGGGTTGCGGTCGGGGTTTTTGGCCACGTATTGCCGCCTCGTATATTCGTCGAAAAGCTCTGGTGTTAGTCCTCGATGCGACGAGACGAATTTGAGCAAGGCAAGGCCAATCTCGACGAGAATGGTGGAGTCGGGCTTTAGACATTCAGTCTCGAGGACCTGGGGCGGCAAAAGAAGGTCAGCAAGCAAGGACTACGTGGCGGGCAGGGAGGCAGGCTGCAGCATGGAAGCAACAGCTGGGATGGCCGTACATCGATATCTATGCTCTCGTCGATCTTGACGACCTTGCCAAAGAGGAATATCCATTGGAATAGATTGGCAAACTGCCACGTATTTCTGATGCGATGCAGCAATGTAGTGGGCTCCTTTGGCAGTTGCGGTGCCGCAGCAGGTGTCTCGGCCTCGGGCTCGACGTCGCGCAGGGTGCGCTTCCTCGTTGCCGGCATCTCGGGCGACTTGATTGCGATGATGATGGATACCCAGGATGGGGATAGGCGGACGGAAGCGGATGGGGATGGGAATGGGGATGGTACGCGCAGGTACTTTGACGATGCGATGTGCAGGGCCACTGACTTAGCACGCAGCTGCGACCAGGGTGGTTCTTATGAGACGGCGGCGACAGCAGAAACAGGGTCGAAAAGTCTTTTGCAAGTCCATCAGCATCTGATAGAGCAGCTGCCTCTGCAGACGGAGCGGGCGAGTCGCGTCGGGTCTGCTGGAGCTGGTGCGGGTGCTGGCTCGTTGCGGCGGAAATGGTCGCTGGAAGCTTTGGATGAGGTCAAGACGGGCCCGCGCGAGGTACCCCGAACCAAATTTCCAAAGTGGGATGCCCTTTACTACGCGACTTGCGGGAGTCGCGCGCTGGGGGGGACACGCGTGGCATGCCTGACGGGCTGACGGGATGGAATTGGCTGCCCATGAGGGCCCCCCTTGTCCAGATAGCACGTGATCTTCTTCCCCGTCTACATCTGCGTCTGGTCTACTCCGTACGTCTACCCCGTACGTCTACCCCGTCACCACTGCTGCTGCTGGGCTCTCGCAGAACTGAGGTTGCCGGCGTCATTGAGTTACGTGACACCTTGGGTATCTAGGTCCCAGGTCAAGGCAGGTGGGTACTGTAGCTGCTTCCCTCTTGACATTTGCATCTCTTCCACATGTACTCTGCGTCCGCGACTTGGAGAGCATACCGTGTTTTGAGTTGGTCTTTGGTCATGGCACGCTATGCTGTGCATAACCGTGGGACGATACAAATCCGTGCGCCCGCCAGTCTGGATGAAATCTATCCGCGATAGTGAAGTGAATCTCCAGTCAAGGGAGGCCACAAAGGTAGCAGGGCTCGCTCGACACGCATGAGGCTCGGCTCGGCTCCATCGCGACGCTACCTGGATGCTCATGAATCCACAGGCCGACGTGTGCTGAACCAATCTGTGACGTGCAATAGGTACGGGCCCGGAGCAGATATGCATCAACGACGACCAAGACATCAAGACATATATATATTTGACTTTTGGCTCACCGCGCGGCCATTTGCAGCAATCGATTTCTCAGACCATGAACGGCTGGCCACCTTGGGTAACCCAGGCGGCCCAATGCAAAAGGTACTGAACCGGACGGCACCCATATATCTTTGGGACTCTACTACGCGGTCAGCGTCTACAGTACATACATGCTCAATCGTCCAAGGACAACCGTGCAAACCGGCGCCACACAGCTTGAGGCGTGAGCATCAAGCGTGATAAGCTCCATTCATGATTGCCGTTGGCTCCTGTGAAGTCGGAGCTTCATCCTTCGTACCTTGATGACCATTGGGCACCATGCAAGGTACTAAGCCTAGCCAAGCCGAGGCCGCCAACGCATTTGCCGACTGGGAGGATCGTGTTGTGGCAGTGTTTCAGACCCCATACAAGTTTGGTGCCATTTTGAACAGGGACAACTGAAAACGCGACAACCCCACAACGTGCGGAACCATGTGTAGTGAACTCAGGGAGAAAAGCAAAGGCCGGACCTGAGTCTTCGCAACGTGTTCCTCCAGAAGGTAACTCATTGCAAGCAAGCACAGGAAGCTGCTCCATCATGGAAGCAGGACCACAATCAGGTCTTTATGTTGCAGTTGGCGCTACGTAGATCATCGTGAATCCTCCGATGTCCCCCGTCATGTTGGTGCCAGCAATGCCAAGCTTTGCTGCCAGGGGCCGGTTTATTCATGCATCAGCGCATGCGTTATCTCTTAGCGCAGGCCCTGGAAATCGAGCCAACGAGGGCGTCTCGGGCATATGAAGTACTACAGTACCTATGTGTGGTAGCCATGTACCTATTCTTAGGGCCGCCAGCGTTGGCCTGTCCCTTTTTCCTGCTGGAAATGATGCAACGCGGCATGTCCACATCGCCGGCTCGCTACCTACCGCTACATCGTCCTGGCGGCGGACTGCTGGACCCCCCTTGGACCCTTCACCTTCAGCTCTGAGCGGGCCCCCCCCAATTCCCAATTGCGCAAAGCCTGGGGGACAAGTTGACAAGGGGAGTCTGGAGGCTGAGCTGCAAGAACCCGGCCTAATACCAACTGGTTCAAGTGCAGGCTGGCTGGCTGGATTATCCACAGCATTGGCGTCTCCCGTCTCCGTGCTCCTCGTGTTGTATGGGATGGATGGAGACCCTCGAACGCTGGTGCTGTCGCTGGTCCCTCTGGCTGGCTCATTCGTAACAACGTCGCCCGTAGTGCACATACAATTGTGGGAACATAGCTCACACCCATTATTCATCTGACATCACAGCACGAGAGGCAGGCATCTGTTACCTTTGCTCTTCTCGTTTCGTTTTTCCTCGTTTCGCTACCTACTGTACTGTCTTGGTGGTCCGTGACAAAGATTGTACAGCAAGAGTCGGAAGTGTGTGTCTGCTGTGTACCCGTGTACTCCGCGGCGCCGTCGTCTCCCGCGAAATTGTCCCTAGCCTGCAATCTGACAACCCCTCGACCTCACTTCTCCTACGCCACGAAACGCGCGACAAAAGGACGCAGCACGCCTGTGTTGCTGAACCCGAGTGAATTGACCGACGGAGCACTGATCATCAGACGTTGTGATGCCAGCGACTCCGCCTCAAGCTTGAAGCTGGGTGCGCCCGCGCATCGCGCTCGCCTCGTTCGCTACCAATTTCTCTTTCCCTCACTCTCGCTGCGAACTGGAACCCAGTGTCATCTGGATGACACGAGGACACAATGAATAGACCTCCAAATTCACCACCACATGCGCAACAGGACCCCTCGTCCCCCCCTCCGCAATCGATACCACTGCAGAATCTCGCCCGGCCGCCAGGTGAATACGACTATGGGAATGGCTATCGTGGAGGGGTGGCCGCGGGAGAAGCGTCGAGTGCGCGCAACACTCAACGACTGTCGCCCTCGGCGAATGCCAACTTGCCGGGCATATCGACTTACTGGGAGCAACCGCAGGGCTTTCACCACCAACACGATCTAGGGGAGATGAGCCCAGGCTCGCCTATAGACCCGGCCGCTTTGCAGTTTGCGCTCCCCCCAGAAATACATCCTCCCGCGCCAGAACTACCTCGGGCAAGTTCATCATCCTCGAACCCGTACGCCTCGCCGACCCCATACTATGACGAGCCAACGAATCAGGACTATTTCGAGTCGGATAGGGCTCCTCTGACGTCGGCAGCCCAGCCAATCTCGGGTGCCCTTGCAACTCCGAGCGCCGAGCCGCCGTCGAGGAATAGCTTCCAAACTGTATCCGACATTGATGACGTGCGGTCGTCAAGGCCTCGCGACACAAAGATGCTCGGGTTCGATCTAGGCCCGGATCACGAGGCGGACAAGCATCGTAGTTATGGCCACTCTCTTACGCCCAGGGACCACCGTGTCTCACGCTCCCCAGGGACGGCGCTATACAGAGCTGGGTCCATTGTTAGAGCCATGTCCCAGCGTGTTGTAAACATTAGCGGTGAAGCAGATACGTTAGAGCAGCAACAGCGTCGTGCGCGCTCAAGGTCACCGAGTGTCGACGGACGGATACCTTTGGAAAATGCACGCCTGTCTGCTGATACGTCGTATCAGTCGCAGGTCTACCCCCCCGAAAAGACGGGCGATCCCCGGCTGGCCTTCGTGGAGGAGTCCCAGTATCAGGAGCCTCGGGTACCGATGGCAAACCCGCTCAAAGGTCGTTCTCTAGGCATCTTCGGCCCGGACAATCCCATCAGGACTAGGCTCTGCGACTTACTTGTCAATCCCTGGTTAGAACCGATCGTTCTAGTCTTGATCGTTCTGCAGGTCATCCTCTTGGCTGTTGAGGCCGCTCCAAATGTTTTCGATGATGGGAACCAGAGGCCTCCGAAATGGGCTGGCACGAAGACGGAGTGGACGATGTTGATACTTTTTGGGATTTTCTCCCTGGAGATCGTTGCACGCATCATCGTCTCTGGGTTCATCTTGAATGCTAGCGAGTACAGTACTATCGACAGGAAGAAAGGCATCCGAGCAGTGGTGACAGACCAGTACCAGGCTGTCTTTGGGCCGCAGCGGCAGAAGTCCGTCAAAACACCTCAAAGAGAGAACTTTGGACCTTCAACATTTGCCCGCTCGTTCACGGTGATGCACGGCCAAAGGTTGCCAGAGACGGTCGAGGAATCCATGCGGATGCAGCTTGCTCGTAGAGCTTTTCTACGGCATGGGTTCAACCGACTTGATTTTGTGGCGATCGTGTCGTTTTGGATAACCTTTGTGCTCAGTATCACTGGGCTTGAAATGCAGTACCACCTCTTCATTTTCCGCATGATGAGCTGCCTCCGTATTGTCAGGCTTCTTGCGTTGACCAATGGCACAGCGGTAAGTATACAAAAGGCGCTTATGCAAAACTGACGGGCTTTGTCTAACTGTGTTCCTAGATCATCTTGCGAAGTCTAAAAAAAGCGGCCCCTTTACTGATTAGGGTATCATTCTTGATTTGTTTCTTCTGGGTGCTTTTCGCGATTATTGGCATCCAAAGCTTTAAATCAAGCTTGAGTCGCCAATGCGTCTGGGTAGATCCCCTCGATCCGACAAACATTACTGCAGCGTACCCCTACAACCTACAATTTTGCGGAGGCCACTTAGACAATACCACCGGTGCGGAGCGCCCATGGGTATATAGCAGGGACGAGCCCGGGTCACTTCAGGATCTAGTGGACAACGATGCAGCCCCCAAGGGATTTTTATGTCCCAAAGGTTCACTGTGTCTGCAGTCAACGGGTCCATTCAACAATACGGTGAACTTCGACAATATTATACACTCTCTTGAACTGGTGTTTGTCATCATGAGCGCCAATACCTGGTCGGACCTGATGTATTATACGACCAACTCGGACTACCTTCCGGCGGCCCTCTTCTTCGCGGCTGGCATCATGATAATGATGCTTTGGATGACCAATCTCTTGATTGCTGTCATTACATCATCGTTTCAAGTTATTCGTGAAGAAAGCAAATCAAGTGCTTTCACAGCGGCAGCTCAAGAGCCTCTCATGCCGGTTCAAGCGGATACAGATCGACTTCGGCGAATCTCGACCTTGCAGAAGATATACGACAAAAGCCAACTTTTTTGGGTCTTGCTCATCACGTTTGATCTAATCATCATGGCTTTCCGTAGCTCCAGAAACAGCCGCGAGACGTTGATCAGCGTGACGGAGGTTGTCGTCACACTACTACTTGACATTGAAATAGTCATTCGGTTCGCAGCCGACTGGCGAGCGTTCCACCGAAGCTATCGGAATCTCTTCGATCTCTTCTTGGCTGTGGCGACTTCAATCATCATTATCCCGCCGATCAAACAACAAGAGCAGGTGTACGTCTGGCTCACAGTATTCCAAATCCTAAGGATCTATCGTGTGGTCCTAGCGGTCCCGGTCACCCGCAAGCTCATCCTACTTGTGCTTGGTAACGCTGCCGGTATCGGTAATCTAATGCTCTTCGTGTTCCTGATAACCTTCCTCATGGCAATTCTTGCTGTCCAGCTCTTCCGTGGCGAAATCCCCATGTATGACGACGACAACAACCTGAACGAAATATCATTTAACACGATATACAACGCTTTCTTGGGCATGTATCAGATTCTCTCGAGTGAGAATTGGACCAGCATCCTCTACGACGTAACGTCATACACTACTCACCTGGGAACCTCTTTTTACGGTGCTATCTTCTTGATAGGATGGTTCGTATTGGCGTTCTTCATCATCGTCAACATGTTTATTGCAGTCATTCAAGAAAACTTTGACGTTTCGGAGGACGAAAAGCGACTGGAGCAAGTTAAGGCGTTTCTTCAGAGAAAGGAGTTGGGAAGCAACTCTAGTAACTTAGCACTTTCCGCGATCTTCACTTTTGGCAAGAATCGAAAGAAGAAAGATCCTCTCGACTACGGGCCCGCCACGATGGAAATGTTACTTAAAGATGCCGTCGTCCGGGAATTCTTAGACGACAGCATGGATCCACTACAGCAGTCAGCCTCAGGCACCGAGTCACCTCAACAAGGAAAGTCGGGGGATGTCCGCCCCGGTATGCTTTCATCGGCATGGGGAAGATTTAAATCCAACTTCACGAGCAAAGAGCCTAATCCGTTCTACAACAACCTGAAGTTTGATGGTCCAAACGATACCCTGGATCCTCGGGCCATGGCGAGGCAAGCTGTCACCCTCACCTCCGCGCGCCGGAAGGCTCAGCGCGAATATTTGGCACGACATCCAACGTACAACAACGCGCTCTACCTATTCAAACCACAAAACAAACTGCGCCGCTTGTGCCAAAGGCTGGTCGGACCTGGTCGGGGCTTCGAACGCTTCGATGGTGTGGAACCTAACAAGATTGCGTGGTACGCCTTCTCAGCATTCATCTACGCAGCAATTGTTGCCATGGTGATACTGGCTTGCGTGACTACGCCGTTATACCAGAAGGAGTACTTTCAGATCAATGACCCCAAAAAGACGAATTGGTTTGTCTGGGTTGATATGGGGTTTGCCATCGTATTTACGGTTGAGGCTGTCATCAAGGTCGTGGCTGATGGCCTTTTCTTCACGCCCAATGCCTACTTCAGAAGTTCTTGGGGTTTCATTGACGGCGTGGTGCTCATTACGCTCTGGATCAATGTTATAACACTCCTGGCTAACGATGGGGCCGTCTCTAGAGCTGTTGGCGCCTTCAAGGCTCTCAGAGCTCTACGCCTGCTCAACGTCAGTGACAGTGCAAGGCAAACGTTTCATTCCTTGATCATCGTTGCTGGCGGGAAGCTTCTTGGAGTAAGTGACACCCTTCTTCCCAAACATGATAGGGCGAGGTAATTAACCAAAACTTTAGGCTGCCTTTGTCTCAATGTCTCTCTTGATCCCGTTTGCTATCTATGCTCTGAATCTGTTCAACGGAAAACTGGTTTCCTGCAACGATGAAAACGTCTTCAATTTGACTGACTGCTTCGGCGAGTACGAGACTTCGCCCTTAAGGGACGATTGGACATTTCTAGCACCTCGCGTGGCAGCAAATCCATACTACACTTTCGATGATTTTGGGTCCTCGCTTTTTATCCTTTTCCAGATCGTTTCACAAGAAGGATGGGTGGATGTCTCTTTCTCGGCACAATCGATCACACAACGAGGGCTCCAACCATCAGCAGGTGCATCCCCAGGGAACGGGCTTTTCTTCGTCATCTTCAACATCTTGGCGACGGTCTTTGTGCTCACTCTGTTCATTTCTGTCTTTATGCGCAACTATACCGAGTTGACAGGAGTGGCTTTTCTTACAACTGAGCAACGATCCTGGCTCGAGCTGCGCAAGTTGCTCCGCCAGATATCTCCGTCCAAGAGCTCTTACGATGACTCGGAGAACAAATGGAAGAAATGGTGTCACAAGAGGGCCATCGAAAAACGCGGCAAATGGTATACTGCGGTCACCTTTATTCTTGTTTTCCATTTCATCCTGCTCATGCTCGAGTTTTATCCCGAGCCCGAATGGTGGACACGAACAAGAGACGTGCTTTTCCTTTTGTTCGCGCTCATTTACATCGCCAACATCGTCATTCGGATTGTCGGTCTCGGCTGGACACGATTCCGAAGAAGCTCATGGGATGTCTTTTCCCTCGTTTCTGTCGCGGGTGCTTTTGGGACCTCGGCACTACTGTTCAGCAATGAGAGAGACTCGGTCTACATTCGACTGCACAAGACGTTCTTGGTTGCAATCGTTCTCCTCTTGATCCCGAGAAACGACGCTCTGGACCAGCTTTTCAAAACGGCAGCTGCCAGTCTGACAACAATTATCAATCTTCTGGCTACGTGGTTTGTCTTCTTCCTGGTGTTTGCTATTGCATTCACTCAAACGTTCAGCCTCACGCGTTTCGGGGGCGACGAAGAAGCCAACATTAATTTCAGGACCGTGCCGAAAGCCCTTATCCTTCTCTTCAGGATGAGCTGTGGCGAGGGCTGGAATCAAGTGATGGAAGACTACGCAAATATCGAACCACCGTTCTGTGTTGAGAACGAAGAGTTCTTCGACAGTGATTGCGGTAGTTTGGCTTGGGCCAGAGGGCTGTTCATTGCATGGAACTTGATCAGCATGTACATCTTCGTGAATTTGTTCATCTCTCTTATCTATGAGAGTTTCTCCTACGTCTACCAGCGGTCCAGCGGGCTGGCCAGCCTTGACCGTCACGAGATCCGACGGTTCAAGGAGGCATGGCGCAGCGTTGATCCAGCAGGCACCGGGTTCATCAGCAAGGAAGCATTCCCGAAATTACTGGCAGAGCTCTCTGGGGTTTTTGAGATGCGGATCTACAACTCGGAAGACTCTGTTCGCCAGATTCTAGAAGACGTTCGCGCCGAAGCCCCGCGAGCAAGACATGCCTCGATAGCTTCGACAAGTGCGCTGTCGACAGGCGTTGATATTAAGAGGCTGAATGAACGGCTGAATATGATCGATATACAGGGCGTCCGCCAGCGTCGCCGACGATTCAATATCTTTTTCGAGGAGGTGATGGTGTCGGCGGACCCAGATAAGGGGATTTCATTTACGACCGTCTTGATGATTTTAGCTCATTACAATATCATCAGTGACAGTAAGAGTCTGAGACTGGAGGAGTTCTTGCGACGTCGTGCGCGTCTGCAACGCGTGGAGGAGGAAGTCCGAAGAAGAGTCGTCCTAGGCTTCTTCGATACATTGTAAGCCGCTGCACTCACCGAGTCAATCAACCAGCTTGCTAACATGTCTACAGGTTCTGGGTGAGGAAGTTCAAGCGCCATCTTGATAAGAAGAGAGCCGGACGTATGACCGCTATTCCGCAACTCGACGTGCCCGACATCTTCGTTGAGGATGATGATGCACATCAGCGGACGCCGCAGCGTGCTACAATCGCCACAACTCCTCGCTCGCGGGCTGCTACAACATCTGTAGATTTCCTGGCTGCACCAGATGCAATGCGACCACAGCACCACAGCTGGAACTCGAGCACCGACATCGCAAGCTTCGATGATGGTTACACTCATCCTTTGAGTCTTCCCAGGACTTCACCTTCTATGCCCGGGCACCGCTCAGGGGAATCTGCCTTCAGCTTTGAGCTACAAGACCCCGGGCCATCATCCGGCCAGAGCAGTCGGCGAGGCAGCTCAGTCAGCCCAGCCCAAGTTGGAGAACTACTCGACGACTCGGTCTGGGTTGAGAGTATCCGTCGCAGTGCCACCATCCGCAAATCTGTCAGAAAATCCGATTGGACGCAGTAGAGTTGATCGGACTGCGGCGCCACTGGATACGCGCCACCAAACAAAAAAAAAATTTCATTCATTGTCCAAAAAAGCTAACGCGATGATGAGGAGGGTTACGACCAACGACCTCGAATGGTCTTATGTACGAGGTGTCTCATGACATTTTAGATGTTGCGCCGACAGTGATGAGGTTGGCAAGTCGAGAAGCATCGCAGGAAAAGGCTTCAACGACATTAGATGAACGGGGTCTGAGAAAGGGGGCGGTGGCCCAACGGCGTTTCCGGCATTGAGCGGCGCATATGCTTTTATTTTTGGCCTGCAACAAGAGTTTCTTCCAGCGATCAATCATGTTATTCTATTCTAGATCTGTTGTTGGATGATGAGGAGCGAGCAGGCGAGTACCAGCGAATACCAGCGACGGCGTGTGAAGATTTCAGCTAGAGAGGAGGCGAGAAGCTCTTTGTGCATATAGATATATCCCTACGAATGATGCATATAGCCTACCCTTAATCCCGATACACCAAATACAAGCAAGTTTTAAGATCGACTGAGGGATGCAAGGCTTTGACAGGTGCTTAATAAGGGTTCAATGGTCAGTTGCCGGCCGGTACGCATGAAATGCACCCGCTCTCGGCAACTATATGGACCCGACTTGAGCATAGCCCCAGGGGTATAACGATACCGTGGAGCCTCCGCACCAATGCCCATGCCAATGCACTGGGGACCGGACGCGCAAGCTCCACGAAGCATTGGACGCGGCAGTCTGGCGGCTTCGTCAAGCTGGCAAACGATGACAGGACCTTCCTGTCTAGGGGTATGTCATGGACGAAGCGGAGAGCAATGAGACACAGGATGTAAGTTAAATCGTCTGCATGGCACTATCGACGCGGCGAAGCCCGTCAAGCAGCACTTGGGAACCATCTGCTGCTTTCTCTGGAACACCGGGCCCTAGACAGGGTGGCGATTCCTAAAGATACATACATAGGACGAATCAAGGGCTGGGGGAGCAACGGTGATCATGTTTGATCGACTACCGCAAGGCAGAAAAGGGGTCTCCCGCTTTTGCAAGCATCTCTGAACATGTACTGTGGATGCATTGTTTTGGCCGCTTGAGACGGCCGGCCTGGTTCGACTGCGAAATGTGGCATCACACTTTTTTTTTGCCCCCAGGAGGCTTGACTCGGTTTCTGTTCCTGCGTCTCTGGCGTTCACGATGATGTAGATGATCGATTTAACTAGCCAGGCCAGGTAGACGGCAGGCCGGCAGCGCTAATCAGGTGGATTCGCAAAAATAGCGCCTTTGTCCCTTTCCTATCCCCTCGCACTATATTCGGGACGGTGGGCTGTGGCTTGTCAGATAACGACAGCGTTGACGAGTCGGCCTTTTTAATGTCTGCAAGCGTAACCGAGATTTCCCAAGCAATTGCGTGAGCAACGATGGATGATCGCTCCTCTCGGTATGCACAACGTCGTGGCTTTACTTATCAATCATGCACACAGAAGTCGACAACCCCTTTGCCAAAAGCCAAGGGGGCTTCTCAACCTTGAAAGCTCTGCCTCGCGGGATGCAGATACAGCGGCAACCAACTGTGTAGAACGTAGCCTTGCAGGGGGCCACGACGCCTCGCCTGCAGATGCGAGAATGTCATACTATGGTATTGCTGAATTGCGTCAATAGTGCTATGCAGACAAATTTTGCGGCGCTGTTGCTTTTCACGTGCTGGCTTTGGCGACTAATACACCAACTACCGGTAGCTAACACAGCCAGTCGGACGCTGGCAGGCATTTCAAGTGAATCTGTACTCTACAGTATGGTTCTGAAAGGGCTTGCTCGGCTGAAGTATTGGACATCAGGAGCCAAGCAGCGAGAAACAAATTGAAAGATTTCAGGTCCTGCTCAATCCTGTTCTTCCAGAAGCATTCCACCGCCGACGCGACCTCGATCGAGGCCGTCGCCTCCAGTATATTGGGGAGGCCCTGAAACGATGCGGATGGGCTGTGCGGGTCTCGCGTTACCCCTGCGCATCCCAGTCTTCTGACAGTTTCTGACTTGAAATCACCCCCGGCAACACACCCGAAATCCCTGATCCCGGCCGGCGATCACACAGCAGCCCACGCCGCCTTGCCCCTTCGGGTCACTCTCGTCGACAGCACACCACGAACTGCTGACTTGCTGAGGATTTTCTCAAACGCGAACCCCATCGACGTCCTGCGTTCGACCTCGTCCGTACCGTGGCAGCACTTGCAGCTGCTGCTGCAGCTCTCACACGTCCCCTCCGTGACTGTGTCCTCGTTCTCAGGTGCCACGACGGCCAAGGTCTCTTTGCTACAGGTTTGATGCGAGACACCACTGGTGCTGCTGGGGATGAGCCTGTTTCACAACCTCATTGATGACCCGAAACATTCCCATTCTGTCCGACTCGTGAGTTCACAGAGGCTTGTGATCATCTCCACAGCGTCGTCGTCTCTACTCCCGGGGGCTTTGCGCTACTGCACGTTCGTTGCTTTGGGGATTGCTCACCACCGGCAACCCGTCCTTCCATTGAGCTAGCCACCGTACTCTGTGTAATGTGTGTTCCATGCCTGCAGCAGTAGAGCCCTGCTTGGCAAAACTCTGCTGCAGCCTGCGCCAGAGCTTCTCCTGTCACGGTCAAAGAGCCCGTCAGCCACAGCTGGCATTGATGAACGATATGCTGTACGTATGCGCATGAACCCGTGTATGATCCACACCCCTGGAGCCGGAGATCTGTCTGCTTTTACCTCAGTATCAGCCATCCCCTGCTCCCTTGGATGCGACTATCGCCCCGTACAGCCCCAGCACATTCTTTGATCTGGCACTATCGGTCCATGGTTCTATTTCCAGTGAACTAGTCCCTGTCCCTGTCATCTGCTTCGAGATACTTAAGTGTTCGGGTCTCGGTCACACTCAGATGTTTCTTCTCCTCAGACTCTCTGTGTAGCGTCCAGCTCCCAACGCCCTCTCACACTCTCTCTCTTCCAGCCGACCATCTTCAAGGTGTCTTTGACGACCTGTCGATCGTGCTTCCTGTGATCTTACTTTGATAGATCCGTCCTATCTTTTGCAAGACCAACTCGAATCCTCGCCATTCGCTTCGTTCAATTCGTGCAATACAGGCTGAGCCTTTTTACCACTTTAATTATACCCATTCCTCTGGTATCAGGACTGTCTGTCACCCGGCACCCTCCCCGACAACCAGCTTCTTGGCGATCAATTTCTCGATCACAGCTCAAGTCTTTTGACCCTTAACGACCATCTCGTCTGCACATCTTTGAAGCCTCATCTACCGTCAACTCAGCCAAGATGCAGAACTCTCGATTCCACGCTATCCGCTCCCGCTTCTCGCCTACCGGCATCCGCACATCCTTCCGCCGGGCATCCTCAGCCTCGTCAAGGAGCACCACCTCGCGGAACTCATTTGCATCCAACGGCTCGTCGCCTGTAGAGACTATCAACAGCGTCCTCTCGCGCCAGCCGTCGTTCATGGAGATGCAGGAGGAGAAGAGGAGTTTCGGACCGGAGCTCAACATCCTCGAGCCCAGGCCCGTTGTCTACTGGGGCGGTCTTGAGGAGCGCATCGGATCTTTCTAAGCCCGGGTCGCATCAACAACGGAAAAGGCACAGCAGTATACGCTGTCCCATATTCCGACCTTCAGTCCCACCTTGACTTCCCCAAGGTACGGGGCGTTGATATATTATATTCGACCCATGCCATCCGGCATGGACAGCCCAATGGGCTATTTATACCTGCGCTTAGATTGACACGGAGGGCCCTGGACTGGTTCACTCACGACTGGATGCGGGCAACGACGTGACGGGATGTATTGGGACATTTTCTGAACGGCCCTGGCATTTGCTAGGCTGGTATTGAAGGCTTTCGACATGTGTATGACAGGACGGAATACGACATAGGCTCGGAACGGTCTTTGGCGCTACAGGGAGTTCTCGCTGCTGAAAGATGCAGGCTCGGGACTGACTTTTTAGATATCACTTGGGTTCGTTGCGGACAAAAATGAAAAACCATCGAATGGCTGCCAACAGCGCTGTTCACCTCTACACCTTTTTCTCCCCAAACCAGTCTTCGCTCTGCTGCGACACTGTCTCGTTCGCCATGTCAAATCGTGCGTCCTCGTTGCTTGCCCGGCCAGTCCTGTGATGGTTCTTAGCCCGGATAGTGCCGCCCCTCGCGCGGCCCGCTCACTATCACGCCGGCCGAACTCTGTCAAACATGAAACACAGCCAGCTAGTGTTAGTCAGTTCCTTCGAGGCTCCCTTAGCACCCGATCTCAAGTGGGTCGGCCGGCATTGAGTCGTGCCCATTCAATGTTCATCCCCAAGTTGACTTGGTCGACCTACGACTCGGTTCTAGAACATGTGGATTGTAAACGTCCACGTGATTGTTAAAGGGCGTGTAACGTATCCTCGTGGGGCATGATGAGCCCAAGACGTGCTGGATTCGACCTCTACGGTCGAGACTGGGTCGGCCGTTCAAGCGCTGAATCCTGCGAGTGTGCTTGTGCGACAATTATACAGTATGACTAGCTGTCAGGGGGACGCTGTATTCTTGATTGATCGTACAACAGCGATGAGAGTAGCTCGGGGTCCGAATACCTTCTTGCTGTGACTCACGTATTGGGCTTCTTGTATAACGTCTCTGGAGCAAAAATATGGTATACCTACAGGCGGAGGCTTTGATGTCTGGAAACTTTTGGTCGTTAATATCGACATTTTTATCTGACCTAGGGTGTCTTCTTGACTCTGTATACATGTCTTCTCTCTTTACTCGTTCAGAGCACTCCTTGTGTGGGTCATACTAGGTTGTCACAGTGTACATATAGGACACTGACCTTTCAATATGTAACCCTTGAATGCTGTTCGCTTGATAATAGTCTGCTATCACCTAAGTACCTGCACGATCAGATAAAAGTTCGTTCGTTTCACATCACAGGAAAGCATATCTAATGGCGGCCGAGCTCACCGTGCGGCGACTGGGCTCGAACTGACAAACCCAGAAGATAGATGAATTTAGAAAGATGAACATAAAGAATGCCGACAATAGACGTTTCTCGGTAGCGGAAGTCGGTACACTCTTTCGTAGTAGCTCTGGCCAACTCTGAACTAACGGAACTCAGTCCGTAACAAGGTCTTGCGGGAATCGAGCGGGTGGTATCAGAGAGCAAAAGGAGCAATCCAATATAGAAAATCGAGCTGGAGAGTAGCAGGCTCATATTGTACATAATTCAATGTCTCTTGTGGTACGGGTAGCAGAAGGCTCATATTACGTGGTATATACCTGTTAGGATTGTTAACCTCGCTCGGATTACCAGACTCTTCACAGGGGCATGGGGATGGATGATGGGTATGCCTGAAACAGATGGCAGACTACGACAAAGCGAAAATAATAGTGTGTAACGGCCAGTGGCGACGAGTAATATAGATGCAAAAAACCAAGACAAAGACTCACGATGATTTAATGTTCAGATAGACAATAGGGCTGTCTCCATGCAACGAATCACCCCAGCACTGCACCAGAGGGTCTGGAAACACATAAATAGATGGCCTGAGTCCCTTTTAAAGATTTGGGGCATCTCTTCTCGGCCTCTCTTACTCGCAATAGCACCGTAACTGGCATCTCATCACATTACGCACAGGAAATAGCCACAATGCAGAACTCCACCACACATCAGATGACTTCATACCTGAAGCCTCTATGTGAGGCTCAAGACACTCCCAGCCATCTCGAGTATCCAACTCATTCTGATCCGGGTCGCCGCCATCGCCAACGTGGCTCGCAGACATCTTGCGGTGAGTTATCAACCTCATCAACCGAACAAGAGGACTATGAACAGGGCCAAGAGCAAGAAAACGACGGAGACGAGGTTATTTCGTCTATGCCAGATGACATCCCCCCTGAGGATGCCGACATATTTGAGGATCCTCCGAATTGGTACGGTCCTCCGGCGGACTGGGTGCCGTTCGAGGAGGACGAGCTGCAGAGCCGCTCGTATGCCTAACTCTGAACCAGGTTGACCCTCCTCCCCTAGTCTTGCTCTCTATGAGTCTGCATAGTTCGATGCAAGCTTGATTACAGGCTTATTTTGTGCAAATAGCCTCTCCGAAACTAAGGATGATCTAACGATGGGCTGCATCGCCTGCGGAATGGTATTAGAATTGACTAAGGACGGATTCGGGGGCCTCCCGGATAGATAGTTAAGCACATTACGTTAATAATGAGACGCCTTGCTGTTTTGACGGACAAGATCTTGTAATCTGGAAGACACTTTCTTTTCAAGACACATTTGCTTTGGTAATGATCGTGGTTGATTAGGGACACGTGTATACATGTTAAACAAGTGGTTTCCGTAACTTAAGTATCTGCCATGTTAGATTCCCTGTATAGAATTACCATTGCCAGTAAGGCAGTGGTAGCAGTTCAACCCTTCATTGCGCGCATTCCAAACAAGCCTCCGAGGAATGCGGGACACCGGCCACCTTGGATATCCGAAATCCAGCGCCTTCTTGGGTTGGCTATCGCTCCGTTAACCACCGGTGTTACGGCACCACGGGTGGGATTGAGACTGTTGCAAATCTTGTAGTATTGCAAGAAGACTACAGCTGGGAGAGAGAGGAAAGAAGAGCTCCCTCCACAACTATGGCGTTTAGGGTGGACCATCCCTGGCCCCCCACCACAGCAACCACCTGCACTAGCCAGTCCGCAACACAAAGCCTATGTTATTTAACAAAGGCTTAATAGTACAAAGAGTGGTCCTGACTGTCTTTATTAGCTATATTAGCATCAAAGGCATGGTTACTTCAGTTACAAAGACTAAAAAAGTATATAAGCAGCTCCCATATCGAGTTGACATCAAGCGGTCAAACGTGCGTCGACAACGTAAACCAAACCCTCATCAACATCCAATCTTACTCTTAAAAGTCGGTTCAAAGATACTAAGAAAGCATTCGTCCTTTGCAACGCGAATCTTAGTGATTCATTACAAGAACCCGATTACCACGAAAAATTGAACTCATGTCGTCAGAAAGCTTAATTGGTGTAAGCCAAAAGAGGGATATACGAAATACGACTTTAGCGTCTTCCTCGTATACAGACACAAGTGAGATTCAAAGTAGAGCTGAATGTTATCCCACCATATGCGGCCCTGGTGCCGTCAACGATGACCAAACTGGTGTCCATATTAAGGAACCGGATCAGCCAATAACGCAATTAGCGCAAGACCAGAAGTCACTCGAGGAGCTTTCAAAAGACGACTTCGTCAGCCCTTTAATGGGGACACTGACAGAGAGTGAGGATGAATCTCATACCCATCGCCACCAACTACCTGAGGAACGCAAACCCAACCGTTGTCACCGGCGCGCGAAAGGGTCCAGTTCAGGGCGCTCTGAGATGCTAGACATCATCAAGGGCCCCCCGCAAGGCGTCTAAAGGGTGAGATAAGATACGGGTGTATTCAGGCCCTAATATTGGAGTGAGAGTCTCGGAATGCAATTACTACCATCGCCTGGGTAACTACAAAGCCGATTAAGGTGCTTTGGTTTTTAGGGGGAGATTGATGTGGAAGAGGTTGGTGGATGGCAAAATAGGGTAGACCACGTATAATTGAGTTACACTCGCTCCAAAGCTGTGCTCTCTTGTGTTATAAATCTGGTCCGTGTCATTCCTTATTTTTTCACCTAGCTACATGCTCCTATAAAGTTAAAGTGACATGCTCATCCTCCGGTATCTAGCTATATAGGCGTGTAGTATTAATGCCGATTTGTGTCAGCTGATTGCCATCGAGCCCTCCGCCTCCACAGTAGCAGACACGAAAACGAAATCTTTGTTCAATTATAAGCCCGCGTTCTTCTCGAATGAATGTAACATGCAGTTATGTGTCAGCCTCACCTGAATCCCGGCATCAGCCCACACCATGAACAGTCATTATTGGATTATGCGTACACTTGTGCAAGAGCTGGAACATGAAGTAGAAATCTTGGATGTTGTGGCCAACTTGGACTTTGTCTCTTTTTCGTGGCTCTATTCTATGGTTGGTTGATGACGTATCATCACATGTTTTTGTTTTGTGTCAACCAGACATCACATCACGGTCATTCCCCCCTCCCATCATGGTCATCAAATCAGGTTTCGTATCTCTCGGATCGTTCATCATGCAATGAGTGAGATATCACGCCTCACCAATACCCCATCGAATCGCGCCAACACCTTACAACTTCTGCATGGCAACAATATCGGTGGACTGGACGTAGTCCTCGAAGTCCTGGATCTGCTCCTGGAGCTCGTCGGTGGAGACCTTCTCGTCCTCGACGACCAAGTTGATCTGGAGCTTCTTGATACCGAAACCGACGGCGACCAGCTTGGAGCCACCCCAGACCAAACCCTCCTTCTCAATACCGCGCACAGCGGCCTCAAGGGCCACCATGTCAGTCTCGTCATCTATTCAAGTCTGTTAGTTCTGGAGCCTGTGAAGTCGCAAGTGGTGAGCAATAAATGAACCTACCCCAGGGCTTGACGTCCATGGTGACAATGGACTTGGCAACGGGCTTGGGCTTGGCGGCCTTCTTGTCCCTGTATGCCTTCAGGCGCTCCTCACGGGCCTTGACGGCCTCGGCGTCCTCCTCCTCGGAGTCGCTGTCGAAGAGACCCTCGGCATCGTCCTCGTCCTCGTCCTTGGCCGGTGCCTTGGCGGGGTTCAGGGTAGCCTCAGCCTTGTCAGGGCCGTAGGCGGTGTAGGGCTTAGAGGCATCGCCGGAGAGAGTGGCGAACTCATCCTCGAAGGTGGCAATGTGCTTGTACCATCTTGCGGCGTGGGGGTACTTGGCGGCGTCAGGGGACGACTTGAGGGCCTTGAAAGTAGCAACGTCGGCCTGGGTGGGAGCGTAGCTAGATGAAACGGTCAGCGCAAAGTCGCGAGAGAGAGAGAGAGACTGAGCAGGCAAGACGGTTTGAAGGGGGGTTTTTGAATCAGAGTTGCACAGAGTGCTATTGTACTGTCGCCATGTGCAGGGTCTTAAGCTGCTCGGAAACACGGACCAATTGTTCTCATCATGGAAAGAAACCAGTAGAAGGTTGGGCTTTGTATGGGGTTGGGGCAGGGGGCGTAGGCACGAAGATTGCACCGCGGCACCAAGAGCAGATGGCAAGTCATACTCGAGAAGGGTGACGGCGCCCGTGTTCCTACTATCATGGAGGAGGAGGAGACGAGAGGAGGTAGAGGCAGAGGCAGAGGCACTTACGCAGGCGCGGCGATGATGTAGGAGCGAGTCTCGAGCCAGCTGTTCAGCACGGCGAGGCCCTTGAGAGGAGTCAGTCGAGGATTGCCCAAGGAAAGGAAGAGAAAGCAAGGCGTTGCGGGCGAGGCAGGGCCTTTCTTAAGTACGTACGCCGTCAGTGAGGACATCGAGGAAACCCATGGCTGCGGTGAGGATGTGGGAAATGAGGAAGAAAAGTTTTTGGGCAGGGTATCGAGATTAGCAGGTATGAATGGGAAGAAGAGAGTCCGTGGGACACGGTGTTGACGGTCGACCTTTTCTGTTGGCGGGGTATTTTTCAAATGAGGACGGCCCAGGTTCAAATTTTTGAGCACAGAGCGGCCAAAGAGACCCTAGGAAAATGAAAATGGAAATGGAAATGGGGGGGGCGCGACGGCGCCTTGGGCCGCTCGAGCCATTTCAGGCCAGTCAGAGGGGGGGAGAGTCACGCCGAAGGGGTGGTACCGCCTCCGCTGGAGCTGGCGGGCGGGCTGGCTAGCTGGCTGGCTGGCTGGATGGGGCCCAGAGAGGAGGGGGGAAAGGTGAAGAGAGTGTGAAGAAAATTAAACAGGTGATTGGGCGATTGGGCACCATTCTCTCGCTGAGGTCGGGCTTCCGTCTCTGCTCTCCTGCTCTCCTGCTCTCAGCGGGTCCCTCAAGTGGCGTCCGCTGCTGGCTCCAACAAGCCACGGCTAAGTCAAGCTACCAGCCACACCACCTCTAGCTGCTTTGGGGCTACGGGCTGCATACAGCACACTGGAGCTTGCCCGATAAGATAAGACCTTCCTTTCTGGCGATGACCTCAGTCGCGTATTCTGGAAGAGGCTCGAAGCATCACTAGACTGCTCGAACCCGGTAGGATCCCCGCGACCTCCCATTAGTCTCTGGCCGTGGATACTTGAAACCCCTAGGTTTGAACACTCTCCTATTTCTCCTCTCTCTCCTTTTGCGATGCTTCGCAGACCCCAGAGAAGTCTCCAAGTAACTTCTGATTGATTCATCGCTCCATCCCGTCCTACATCATGTTCACCCGGAGGCAACTCCTCGCCTCTTCGCGCCGGGTCGCCGATGCTTCCTCTCGAAGCATTGCGCGTTTGAATACCCGGCCCTCCACATTCTCCAGAGCAGCGTTGCTCGGTTCGACAAAGCTTGTGTCACAAACAACCCTACCGACAACTCCGACAAGGTCGTATGCGAACGGTAGACCACATCCTCCCGGAGGCACCCACCGCATGAACCTCGGCGGCGAGCCTGAGAAGCCGGCTTTGGAACAGTTCGGTATCGACCTCACCGCCAAAGCCAAGGACGGCAAGCTTGATCCCGTCATTGGCCGAGACGCCGAGATCCAGCGCACAATCCAGGTCTTGTCGCGGAGGACCAAGAACAACCCCGTCCTGATCGGAAATGCTGGCACCGGCAAGACTGCCGTCCTCGAGGGCCTGGCATTGCGCATCGTGCGAGGCGACGTTCCGGAGAGCATCAAGAACAAGAGGGTCGTCTCCCTCGACCTCGGCTCGCTGATTGCTGGCGCAAAGTTCAGGGGGGATTTCGAAGAACGCCTAAAGAAGGTCTTGACCGAGGTGCAGCAAGCTCATGGCGAGGTCATCCTCTTCATCGACGAGCTGCATACCCTGCTGGGCTTGGGCAAGGCCGAAGGCTCCATCGACGCGTCCAATCTTCTCAAGCCTGCCTTGTCCAGAGGAGAGCTCCAGTGCTGTGGTGCCACGACCCTTGCCGAATACCGCCTGATTGAGAAGGATGTTGCCCTGGCGAGGCGTTTCCAGCCCATCCTGGTCAACGAGCCCACGGTCGAGGACACCATCAGTATCCTCCGAGGTATCAAGGACAAGTATGAGGTCCACCATGGAGTCCGCATCACCGACGGCGCGCTTGTGGCTGCTGCGACCTACTCAAACAGGTACATCACCGACCGCTTTCTCCCCGACAAGGCCATCGACCTGATGGATGAGGCTGCAAGCTCTCTTAGGCTGCAGCAAGAAAGCAAACCCGAGGACATCATGCGGCTGGATCAGAAGATCATGACCATCCAGATTGAGCTGGAGAGTTTAAGAAAAGAGAAGGACGTGGCCAGTCGCGAGCGTCGCGAGAAGCTCGAGGCGGACCTGAAGAGATTGGAAGACGAGCAAAAGACCCTCTCGGAGCGATGGGAGAAGGAACGGGGGGAAATCGACGCCCTCAAGAAGGTCCAGGAGGATCTTGACAAGGCACGTGTTGAGCTCGACCAAGCACAGAGAGAGGGCAACTTTGGCCGCGCTTCCGAGCTGCGGTTTGGCGTCATTCCCGGCTTGGAACAGAAACTACCCAAAGAGGGAGAGGAAACCACGGCTACCAACGGCGAAGGGACCTTGATTCACGACTCCGTCACGGCCGATGACATCGCCAATGTCGTTTCGAGAATTACCGGCATTCCTGTCACAAAACTTACATCGGGCCATATTGAGAAACTGATCCATATGGAAGACAAGCTGCGCGAATCTGTCCGAGGCCAGGATGAAGCCCTGAAGGCTGTTGCCGATGCTGTCCGCATGCAGCGAGCTGGGTTGAGCGGTGACAATCGCCCTCTCGCATCATTCTTCTTCCTTGGCCCCACGGGTGTCGGTAAGACTGAACTTTGTAAGAAGCTGGCCAACTTCCTTTTCTCGACCGAGCAAGCTGTGGTTCGTTTCGACATGAGTGAGTTTCAAGAGAAGCACACCATATCAAGACTCATCGGCGCGCCTTCTGGCTACGTCGGCTATGACGATGCAGGCCAACTCACGGAAGCCGTCAGGCGAAAGCCTTACGCCGTCCTTCTCTTTGACGAGTTCGAGAAGGCACACCGAGATATCTCAGCCCTGCTTCTACAGGTACTTGACGAAGGTTACCTTACCGATGCGCAAGGCCACAAGGTGGACTTCCGCAACACCATAATCGTGCTCACGTCCAACCTGGGTGCCGACATTCTGGTGGGCGCCAATCCCTCCATCCCGTACACAGAGACACCAGACGGCGAGATCGATCCCGACGTGCGCAAAGCCGTCATGGACGTCGTTGCGGCAAACTACCCTCCAGAGTTCTTGAACCGCATCGATTCCTTCATCGTCTTCAAGCGGCTCGCGTTGTCGGCCCTGAGGGACATCGTGGATATCAGGCTGAAGGAGCTCCAAGCCCGGCTCGATGACCGTCGCATCACGCTTGATGTCGATGGCAAAGTGCGCGACTGGCTTGCGGAGCGCGGGTACGACCCCAAGTTCGGCGCGAGGCCCCTGAACCGTCTGATCACGACCGAGATCGGTAACGGGCTTGCGGACAAGATCATTCGTGGGCAGATCAAGCGTGGTGATAAAGCCGGTGTGAGGATCAAGGAAGACAACTCGGGACTTGAAGTGTTTTTGGAAGAGTCTGCGTCTGCATAAAATGAATTCACTAACGGGCGTTTTGTATCAAAAAGTATACTGCATTGGGGGAGTTTTCAAAGAACGGACTTAGGCTTGGGCCGTGGGTGAAAGGCGTTCATCGGATACGAAATGTATGACAATGTATAAAAGTGCGTTAAATTGTATATAAGAGACGCCGCTCACTTAGATATCAGCCGAAGGCGTTAAAACTGTATATCATAATCTCCACCCTGCCTAGAGTATCCTATGATCACACACATAGATAGCTAGTGAAAACATGGTCTGAAATTCGATGTCTTGCATGTTGATGCATGATATCTGTTTTACTGTTGGTACGATGACTTATTACCAGAGTTGGCAATGCTTCTCACATACTACTAGCCTAGAAGTGAGGCAATGTTCGCAGACCCTGACTCTTACTGGGTCGTTTTGGTCTCGTTACCGTATTGACAAGTATGGAACTCAACTTGTTCACACTACCAAGCTAGGTTATATAGCCTAGACTCAAGCTCCTCTTTACAGTAGCCCTCAACTTTGCCTCCTCAGAGAAAGAGTTTCCATGTGCGTACAAGCCTAGAGACCCCGCCTTTATTGTCCCTGGCCCTCTGAGCATCAAGAAGCCCTTATGGTATGACACCATAGTCATTTCCCACCACAGAACACTCGCTACAGGAGAAGTGAAAGGAAAGGAATAGTGCTGATCAAAATATGAAGGCTTCCGTTTCGCAGATAGTGAATCAGCACCGCATTCCACGCCGAAAGGAGTAGCCACACCCGAGCCAGCATAAACGCATAGGCGGCAGACCGGCTCCTCCTCGTCAAGGGACGAACCAATCTACCCACAGGCCCTCGGAAGCTCGAACGGCTTTCTGTGTGGACTAGATATGGCACTAGCGCCAGCAGTACCAAAGCCGACAGCCTACAGGTACGCCCTTCCTCTGCGAGAAAGTAGCGGCAGCCAGGAAGGACTGTTTCGTTGGGGAAGGTGGGAAAAATGCGAAAAGTGGTCGTACTGGAACATCCGAATGTCCAGAGTAGGAGTGATTCGATATCGGTACATGCCGCACCGACCATGTCCAGGACATAGATGCTCGCGTTCAGAAGACTGACGCCGAGTGTTAGGAACGCCTTTTCCTGGTTGTTTGGTAGGAGAAGAGAGAACGGCTTCTACTGGCGGATCAAAGGGCAAGGTCTTGATTTAACGCGTTGTGTGGCGGGCGCTAGGTTTGCGGTTGGTTGTGAGCGGATTAAAATCCGCTATATGGTTGCTGCGTTGGGGGCTCTTGTACCAGTCTCACCGCAGAACCGACCCTAGGGCAGGCGTTGCGATACTGGAATGACTTTCTACTCCGTGGGTGACTTGAGTCGTCGAGAACTTTACGCCAGAAGCAACACTGTAGCTGTTGAGGTTGGGTTAGGTTAGGCTGGCGTCTACTCCGTGGTGTAGTCCGGTTGTACAAGACTTTGAAGCTAAATAGAACAAGCGAACTCTGCAAGTCAAGACCTGGTAAAAAGATAGGAACACTTTCCCCAGCGAGATCCCTCACGGCAGCCGTCCACGGATGCAATCGATCGTGGTCGGACACTGGTGGTTGCCGGTTGGGATCATCGGGAGCAATATCTGGACAACGGAAGAACGTACGCGCTCAAACAAGCTGGATACAGGGCGAGCATTTATGTTTAGTTTTGCTTTGTTTTTGGTTCTTCCCGTACTAGTCAAGCAACTTCTTGGATCGGAATTGCCAGAAAGTCGCTTTCATGGGCGCAAACGCTACCGCCCTATTAGGGAAGCTTATTATGGGTATCCGGATGCGGGTTTTGGAAGGTTACTGTCCCCGGAGGCCAGCACTGCACGGAGGAATATCTATCGCATAGTGATGTGTCAAGGCCTATATAAAGGACAAAGCTGCACCTCGCCCGATTAGGTGGTCAAGCAATTATAACTGGAAGACATGTCATACGTTGCCAAGGCAGCCCGCTCTTGTTACCCAGAAACCTGCTTGGCTTGCTCGAAACCATCTCTCCTGTATCTCACTCTCTCTCTTCTTTGTAGTGTGACGAGCTCAGACCTTCTAGATGTTCAAAGGCATTTGAATTATTACCACCGTCACATTGTGGTTCTGGGACAGCGTCTGGAGTGCATCCGGCTGTCGGGCCTCTGTTATATGCTTTCGATCATTGGCAATAAAAGTAAAATCCACTGGTGGCGGTGTTTCTTCACATATGTACCGGAATGAATCCCGTGGATTGGCAGCATATTTGGTCTTGCAACGCCAGCTTTAGAAGAACATGTTCGCTGCAAGAAAAGAACTGTTGAAAGAAATCAGCAGAAGGGACTCATTGAAACAAATACAACTTGCATACAATTAGCTGTCATACTTTTATCCTCACGTGAGATCTAACTACACCAAGCTGCTCAATCTATTGAATCAAACTCACCGTTGCGCATACTTACTCTGTAGATCTTGCTTTATTCCTCTTGCCTGACCGGTAAACGGCACCGGCGAACCCAATCGGATCATATCTGAGAATATCCGCAACCCCGCTTACTTACCGCTTTTTTTTGTACCCTTCCTCCCTCGTCGAGGCTTACCTTTCCGTGATGCGCCAGAGTAGGACATTACATCCCGTTCATCCTTGGGGGACGTCTTCGTGAGGACGTGGGCACGTGTAGCCCCCGAGGCCATGAGGGTGCACGAGCCGATGCGTTGGAGGACGACGGGGGCTTGTTTTTCCTCAGCTTCGAGCTTCGCCTTGAGGCGGGTCTGGGCAATGGTGCTGAACTTCTTCTTGCTGGTGGCGGGCGACATGGTTTCTGGTGATCTACCTAGGCGTTGGACATATCTGGAAGGAAGTCAGTCACGGGTTGTGGGACTTGGATGTAGAGTCAGTATAATGTCCGTCGCGGGGGAAGGCAAGCCCCTATAAAGACCGATGCTTGACGCGCGTGCTCAACCAGCTTGACATTCAACAAGGACGTTGTTTTCTGTACGGCCTTGTCTCTTGGCTTGGACTCTACAATGCCAATTTAGGGTGTATAAAGGACCTGTAACGAAGTCGCAAACCTGACTTTGCCATGATGGTCTTTGTTGCACGACATGATACCATTAAACCCGATTGCCACACTCACACCCCATAATCCAATGTGTGACAACGGCATCTACTCTCTCCCTTTTTTCACATATCACGCTGTGGTGTGGTTGTGTGGTTTGTCAAGTGATCAGTCTGCCCGAATAAAGGATCCAAGTCTACTAGTAGTATTACCGTATAGGCTGCCAAGCCTGGCATGAAGATCCATGTTCTTTTAGTGCCTTTTGAGGACCCTTGTCTCAGATGAAACGGCTAACCAACGATACCCTGATGCTGTGCATGGGCTGCTGGGCCATTCTGGGGTTAGTGGCTGCGACGGCGCCCGCTAAGGCTGTCAGGGCCAGCCTTTCAATTCCGGACAGAACGAACATGTGCGCCGTCGAAGGGTGCCCAGAAGGGACCCTGGGGACCTGGCAAGACTGGTCCAAGATTGTCCAGGTGCAATTGCTGGAGAAGTCTCCGGGGACGAAGCCTCCAAAGTCTGGCAGTCTTTGCTGTCCCTATTCCGATGGTGTCCTGGACGAAACGCACATGGAGGACAGTGAAGAGCTATGACACGCCGCGGATCTTGGGATCAGCGCCACGATAGCGTTGATTGGAACCATCGCGGGGCAGCGAACCCCTCATATCTTGTCGCATTCTTGGGTACATTCCTTAGTCATACTGTAGAGCGGTCGACAATCTGGACCGTCGAGCAGTCTTGTTGATGGGAGATGTAACTGCATGAGGATTTCATCCGAAGTCACTCTGTACCTAGTTATGTAGGCCTCCTCCGCGTGAGAGCTGCAGGTCGATTGGGGAGGTGGAGCAGCCGGGCGTCCCCAGTCGTCGGCGCATGTGCTATGGTACATAGTTCGCTGCAGGTTCGATGCATGAATTGCAATCTGCACTCTCACACCCATCCACAGTAGCTTCGTGGTCGAACGCGTCCCGGCGCGTCGCTGTTTGACCACCAGAGGATGCAGCCATTCGCTGGGGGGACACAACGCGGAGGATGACTGTCGGGGCTGGGTCGAATCATGACGGCCTGCATCTTGATGCAGATATGAAATAGCCGTCCATGGCATGGCTGATGTTTATTATTGTTATTATGGGAGAAGACCCCGGACTTCCCGACCGGTGCCAACGCCCACCCCCCATCCATGCCACGACCCCAGCATCCATGATCCAGGTCCCGGAGCGATCCTCTCGTGCATGGGTCCCGCCGTCTGAACAGAAAACAAAAGGCGTCCACCTCCTCCTGCCTGGTACAGGTGCTTCATTTTTTTCCCTCCCCAGGCCAGATTACCCGACGACCGTAACGTCCACGGCAGCTTCCCCTTCAATCTGCCTTCTCCCTCCGAGCCGACCTTGTCTGTCCGGGCTTCATTCACTCAGTATCTGATTTCCCTCTCTCCTCTCCCACACGCTTCCTCTACATAGGTAGTTCCGCCGCGCTGAACCGACTCGTCAATCCCGTTTGCGCTCGCCCACACCAAAAAGCCCACGCGCGCCGCGCCAACTCAAAAACCTACCTGGTCACCGCGGCTCTGTACGATCCCAGTCCCTGAGACGCTACTGTCTCCCGTGTCACCAGCATGGCCCTTCCCGACGTTTACAAGCAGTTCCTGGCTGCTCCCAACCCTTCGCTCCTCGCGAGCGACGCCGCGCTTCACTATGTCACCACCACCACGACCTTCCGAGGCGCTGCCGACATCATCAAGCACCTGAACACTCAGCAGAACCAGATCAAGAAGAAGAAGCAGGAGTTCTTGACCGTGATCGAGGGCCAGAATGCTGTCGCGATTGAAGTCCATACCGTGCTGGAGTTTGTGACCAGCGGCGGCTCCTACCTGCCCGGCCTGGACGACAACTTCTTGGCTGACCACACCGTCGACCTGCCCGTTGTAAGTCCGATCTAGCTCTTATTGTCTGTAATACACCCCTGCTCATACTGCCGTTGCATAGACGCACATCGTCACCTTCAATGCCGAAGGCAAGATCTCGCAGATGCGCCAGACCTGGGATCAGGGTTCGCTTCTCAAGCAGCTCGACATCATCGGCAAATCCGGCCGCAACTGGCCCATCCGCGACGCCAAGGACCAGATCAAGATGATCGAATCCAGCCTCAAGGCTGGCGACAATATCATCCCTGCCAAGGATGACGGAAACTCGGCTCGCGTTCGGGCCAACACGAACAATGCTATGCGCGACCCCCACGCCTCTCTGTCTCTCTTCGCTCCCCGGGAGGAAACCGAACAGCAGGCTATGGCGTCCGTGATCTCCCCCAAGGCCGGAGGAGCGCGACCGAGACAGCGGGACTTTGCCGAGATCTTGGGTGATGAGCCTGTTGGCGAGGCAGGTTCTCCAAGCGCCGGCCGTCATCGATCCGACTCCCCCAGCAAGGCAATTGCTCCGAAGATTGGTGCTGGCAAGAACTACCAGCCAAGCCGCCTGTTTGATAGGGAAGAAGATGTCCCCGATGAGCCGGAATCGCCTGGCAATGGCAACTCTCAAAAGTTCTATCGGCCAAACCCCAAGAAGTACAACCACTTCGACTTCGCAGACGGATCCGACCCACAAGATGCCCCGAGGGCAGCCGATCCGACCCCCAAGAAGACCAAGCACAGCAGCCAGTGGAACTTTGAGGACTTCACAACTCCCGCCAAGGCTCGCCCGGGCAAGACGCTCCAGAAGAGCCATCAGGATGTGCGACATTGGGGCAACGAGGACGACGTGGTGGAAGATGGGCCCAATGGCAAGCCCGCTGCCGTCAAGCCTCGCCGCGATGCCGAGGCACACTTTGAGTTCGTGGATGACGGCGAACCCCAGGTTGACCCGCGCCCAAGCCGGCCCCGGGGCGCAACCCACAACACTGGCCTCGGTCTGTACAAGAACAACGTCTACCGCGAGGAAGGCGAGGCTTCTGAGGATGCCGCCGACCAGCAAGCTCTCGGCAACATCACCAACCTGAAGAACCGCGGCAAGACCTTCGGGGCCCAGTTTGCCATGACGGACGAGTCCCCATCCCAGATGCCAGAGAGGGGACAAGTCGCCCAGGATCGTATGAAGGCTGTCAAGATGATGGATGCCAACTGGGCCGCCACCGATGAGTCTCCATCCCAGAAGGAGAACCTGCCAACGAGACCCAAGGAAACGGCGGCCAAGGGCGGCGGCGAACGTGGCATTCACATTGGTGGCGACGGGATGGGCGGGTCCCGAGGAACCGTCAGAGACTGGCTTTATGGCGATGATGACGACCAGCCGGCGAAGCCTGCTCCGGGCCGGAAGCAAGGCGCTTCCAAGACGGGAGGCTTCAACTGGGATTTCTAGGTGGATTCGCACAAGCCCTCTACGCTCCGTTGAGGTTCACTGCATCTACTAGACTTCTTTGCACTTTTTACGACTACTCGACCATCTGTAATGCCGCCTACGATTAACGAGCTCCGAGTCACACTCCAAGGCTAGCCCAGGACGACCAGCATATTTCTTCGAATTCGAGATCAAATGTGCGGGACAGTGTCAACATCCTTTGAAATGCCGTTCTGTGTTGTGTGTTGCGTGTTCTCCTCTGTGAGCGCCTGCGAGGGGGGAAAGTGTCTGTGTTGAAGCATGCGATCAGATATCCGCTGACTTGTTTGGCCTGTGTTGGAGTATGGATATACCAAGGCTGTCACTGAACGGGCTCTTGTTTGTTGTCAATGAGTTAAACTGTCTCCTGACGAGTTTTACTCGCTTGTTGTTCTGTGAATAGCCCCTGTCTCGACTGGAAGTGCAACAGTATGCTACTCTACTGATCCTTTCATTGTATGCAATAATAGAGTTACTTTGACAAACATGCCTCGCCACGAACATTGTAAGAAATTGGCACTTGCTATAGTTCCTAGCATTGTATGGTCTTACGGATTGCTATTGGAGCTTAATGATTCCTACCGGAGGTCGCTCGTATAACCCTGGCTAGGTATATAATCCCCTTCAGCAGGGAGACTGAGCGCCTTCCAGCACAGCTTCTAGCACCAAACTGTAGAGGATCTCAAGTCTGGGCATGCGGTCAAGAGAGTTTCCACGAACTGCAAGTTTGTTTCTTGACCAAACTATGATTGCTGTTGCTGGTATACAATTTCTCAAGTCTAAAGATATAGTCACCTGTGGACACGATCGAGCTTGGGTCCACCTCCCCCCACCTTTCCAGCAGCTCGTTGTCGCATCCCTGACTGTGAACGGCATCCATACTGACCCCCGTGAGCCTTGGGCCAGGCAGGCCAGGGTTCCGGTAGGGCTCTGGGATAATAAACCAGGTCGAGCGTGGATGACGTCGCCCCAAGGAGTGAGTGAGTTATTGGCAAACTATGGCGAGTTGCAGCACCGCCGCCGAGGATGGAGGGCGGGGTACTGGGAGAAGACGGCAGCAGCTAGCTACCCCTCATCAAGGACCCCTATTCATCGTGCAGGTGGGCAGCCGAGTCACCTGGCGTCGTAAACAGCCTCTTAGTCCCAGGTGAATGTTTCGAGAATATTAATTTGTGACATTCCGTAGAGCGGCGCCCGCGAACCTGATCTGGACCTGGAACGGCTTAGGCATAGGTGTGGCCTTTTCTGCTTCATACCTGGGGAGTGGGCTGGCGCTAAAGCGAGGCCTTGACGTGGTTCCATCCCCCATCCCCCATCCCCCATCCCCATCCGCTTCGCTACTCCCCTTAGCACATGAAACAGACTGTAGATCCGGGGGGGTTTGTCTCGCTCATCCGCAGCCTCGAATCCTTTGTCCCAACCAAACCCTCGACCCGCGCCGGAGAGGAGATGAGAGAGGTCTCGAATACCATTTCTCGAAAGTTAGCCTTGTGATTTGCGCGCGACGCCCTCTACCTACACAATCCGTTACCAAATCATGGCGGAAGCAAAAGCTCCTGCGAAGCAGTCGTACTCGACCGACCCGGCGCTGTACATATACACGTCGCTTACAGCCGGCTCTTCCCACATCGTCACTGCCACCTCGCGGCTGGAGACCATCCTCAAGGCCAACCGCGTGCCCTTCAAGGCCCTCGACATCGCCACCGATGAGAAGGCGCGCATGCTCTGGGGTCGGCGCGCCGGTAAGGACGAGAATGGCCGCATGAGGAAGCTCCCTGGCCTGGTCCAGATGGGCATGGTGCTCGGTGTAAGTCGTCTTGCGAACCCCTCGGCCGTGGTCTCACGACGACGGTGCCACCGCGTCCTCGGGGGCCTGCGCTAACGCTCGAGTCCCAGGATATTGTCGAGATCGAGGAGTGGAACGAGTACGGCGAGCTCAAGCAGCACGTCAAGATCTACTACGACGAGTTCACCATCCCGGCCAAGGGTGCGCCCCAGCTCCCGAACCCCCTGAGACGAGTCCAGCACTCCAAAGCCTCGCCGGCGGCAGCATCCTCTTCGGGCGCACCCAAGCCCATCCCCGCGGCACCACCCATGCCGGAGAAGAAGGAGTCCGCAGCCAAATCCGCCGACGAGCCCAAGAAGGCCGGCACCGCCTCGGCCGCTGCCGCCGCCGCGGCCCCTATTAAGAGCATCGCCGAGGAGGCGGCACAGAAGGCCAAGCAGGTCCGCCTGGACAGTCTTAGAGCGAAGGTCCACGGGACAAAGGGCAAGGAGGACGCCAAGGAGGACGATAGCGAGAAGAAGCAGCCCGCGGTCGAGGCTGAGAAGAAGGAGGCCGACGCAGACGCTACACCGGCGCCGCTCAAGACAGCAGAGTCCAGCGCCAGCTCCACGGGCCCGGCGATATCTCCTCCCGAGCCTGGCAAGGTGGCCGGGTCGGCGGGCTTGCAGTCGCCCACTTCGGGCGCGTGGAACACGAGCTCGCAGGAGGACCACCTCCGCAACGTACTGCAGAGCCCCACGTCTAGCACCTGGAAGCCGGGCGAGGGCACCGTGGACCTGCCCATCCGGGAGCACCGCGGGTCGAGCATATCGCTTGCCTCGGCCGAGGAGATTGCCGCCATTGAGAAGGCCGAGACTATCCCGGAGGAGACTATCGAAGAGGATGAAGATGATGAGAACGATGAGGACGAGGACGATGATGAGGATGAGGACGACGATGAGGATGAGGACGACGATGAGGAGGAAGACGAAGAGGAAGACAAGGACAAGACTAAGGCAGAGAAGAAAGCCTAGACGACGTGAAACACAGACACAGAGAAGCTTCCCTTGACTTAAACGAGATGCCCCCGGCGCTGTTTGGAGATGATATCCAGCCAAAGTAGTGCTCTAAACCTAAAGAATCGGTTCCAGTCCTATAACACATTCACGTGCTGCATCACCTTGTGAGTTTTGCGTTGATGAGATCTAATGTCACTGTATATTCCCTAAGCCAGAGCAAAAATGACATCTAATCCCAGAAACGCCGCTGTCTATGGTAAGCCCGTATGAATTATGTCGCAGACTTCTTAGCACCGTTGTCCTGCAGATCTGCTAGCTCATCCTCGTCTCTGTACCCGTCGTCAATGCCATCTGTTTCCCACAGCGATATGTCATCATCATCCATCAACGCCGCCGCGTCGGCTTCCGCCTGCCGCGATGGGCTGCGGTTCAGGACGCCCTCCTCGAGATCCTCGTAGTCCACCTCGTCGTCCGGACCGAGCATGCCCCCATTCTCGGCTGCCTCCTCCCTGGCTAGCTCGCTGGCTCTCGCCATCGTCCTCTTGTAGATGACGAGGCCGATGGCCATGCCCAGGAGAGCCCCCAGCAACATGCTGATATAGTTAATCGCTTTGTCTCCGGCCGTCATCTCGTCTCCCCTCTCCGCCAGCTCCGCGAGCCTGCTGCCGATGAAGACGTGGACCAGCAGCTTGGGCGTCGCCAACGCCGTGGCCAGGGCAAAGCTCACGGGGCTGATGTTAGGGATGGTGGCCAGGAACCCGTTGCTCAGACTGTACGGTAGGGGGCAGAACCGGATTCCGGCCAGGACCAGCAGGCCGTCGTGTCGCAGTACGTGGCCCAGGGCCACGAAGCGCTTGTCCGTGCCGACCAGGGCGTGGACGTACTTGGAGAAGACGGTGCGGCTGGTGAGGAAGGCAACGCCGGACCCGGCCACGGTCGCCGTCGCCACGATGGGCCAGCCGCCGGGGAAACCGAAGACGAAGCCCGCGATCGTGATGCAGGTGCTGTAGCCGATCATGGGCGGGAACGCCGTGGCGAACGTCATGAGCCACACGAGGACCCAGCCGCCCGGCAGGTCGCGCCAGCCCTTGGCGATGGGCTCCAGCGCCGCGAAGATGCCGTGCGAGTAGACCAGGAACACGACCAGCAGCACGAGGCCCGCCAGGCCCGCGCCCACGGCCAGCGCGCGCTGCAGCGGCGTCAGGCGCAGGAACACGCGCAGCACCGTGTTGGCGACGTCGGCCGACGTCCGCAGGATCCGCGCGCCCAGCGGCAGCGAGCCCGACGACGCCGACCGCGAGTACGGAGTCGACAGCCGCCGCGCGTTGGTCGACGGCCGGTCGCGCACCCACGGCGGCCGGGGCCCCGGGGTCGAGCTCGGCGACGGCGACGACGTGCCGACCGGCGAGATGGGGAGCGCCAGCGCCTGCGCTGTCGAGTGGTAGTCGGCGGGCATGGCGATGGGACGGAGGGTCTGTCGCCTTCTGGGGGGAGTTGTTGGACTGGTCGGGAGCCGGGGGAGGCTCGCGGATCGGACGGCGAGCTTCAGTGCAGAGCGAGCGCCGATGACAACTCGATTGTGCGTTTTGTGGTTGGCTTTGTTCTTTCGATTCGTTACCTCTCCATTGTCACGGTGATGAGAAGAAGCTATGGAGATGAGTACATGTCAAGGAGACGTTTCCAGCTTTCAGGCAAAGGGGCAGGTTGTTGCTTGCATCAGTAGGATTCGATGAGGTCAGCCTGTTGGTACGTAGTCTAGCTTAACAGAAGCTGTAACACGACCGACAGCCGCGCCACTAATAAATATAGCGCCGGGCCTAGACGCCAATAGGCCTGAGTTGAAATAAACTCCTGTGATTTTCGGTCTGGAGACTCTTCTCTGGACCATGAATTGTCTCCTGGGGGCAACTGAGTATATGAATCTATCTCGGCCTGGCGCTTGGATTCTGTGAACGCCCTGTTTCAACATCCGGCCAAAATGTCACAGCTGTCGGGCGTGGAGGCGCTGATCCCCAGGTACATAGTTACATCATGCAGGGATAAGGATCTCGACCCCGAATTCTCCACATGGCGCTGAACCTGAGATACATCTACGTACTTTCGTCATATTGTCTTCGGTAGGAAATCCACGAGATGCCATGGCAGCTTTTTCGAGTTTTCACCGTGCGTCTTGTCAAACCGAAGCTCCTAAATGTTTCTCGGGATATCCACAGGTGCCACTCTCGTTGCTACAAATGATGGGAGTGCTATGGCTGTTACCATAAGTTGCAATTCATAGGGCTATAGTTAATATGGGGTGCCTCTGTATACTCATATACTTCCATGGTTCACGAGGCGTGCCATGATGCATGATAGTATGTAGCTCCGACCTAGTGTCTTTGGCTTCCTCAAGGGATTTCAACACTCCCTAGCTCCAGGTGGCCTCCGAGCTTCCTAATCCTAAATTTGACACAAGCCTGGCGTTTGACGAGTTAGGAAGATGGCATGTATCCAGCAGCTCAACTACCTGCCATACAGACCGTACGTAGACAGTCTGTCATAGACCATATTGTGGGACAAAGGGGGAAAATGCAGCCAAAAAGTCATTTATTCTTGGAATGAACGAATCTATCACCAGATGGATAACAGAGTAAAAGGGTATGAGATCGGTGTCTTCAAAAGTCCACAAGCGACGACAAAGTCGAGACGAGCACCGTCAAGCCAAAGCTGTGACCAAAGACGCGTATCGAAGGAGGTACGAGTATTATAAATCCGTGATGCCGGGAACATCTTGGCCTGCATCGGCCAGAACCATGGCCTCACATAAGACTTCATGTTTGAACGTGACATTTAAGAACCAGAGCTCGTAGGACATCACTATTATGCTGGCGTAGAGCAAGCATATTTGAACTGTATTTGGTCGCAGTGACCAGATCCAAAGAGAACGGCGTTTTCTACATAGATCCCGTGGGTCCCGTCTCGAGGTTACGAAGACAAGCCCAAAGTCCCTTCCTAGTGTCATTCTCTTGGGCGAACAGGCCTCCACCACGTTGAGGTGCATGCTCGAGACTCTTTAGCAAAAGGGGTCGCCTACAGCGTACGAAGATTGAAGAGATGCAGGTACTAGGATCAGTAAGCTGGATTTTGGTTTTTACCAAGAAGGCAAGTGTTAGACCGTACCAAGACTGGGCAATCGAGGATGTGGCACAAGTGTGATCACGGGCGTGGCTCAAAATGTAACTTATCAAAAGTGTCTTCATCATGAATCCGGGCCAGTCCCGGTAAGCAACGCCGTCTATGGCACATTATAATGTTACAAAGTGCTTTCATATGAACCCCGAAACCAGTTTCCGTCATGTCGTCCCAGCCTGCATCCTTCACGGGTCTACATCCATCGTCTCTGTACCGGCCGGTAGCGGCTCTACGCTGACGTATTTGCCGATTTCGTCCTTCTTGATGATCTTCTCGTTCAGCACAGCCGTGGTTCCCCGCTGGAACTTGTAGTTCTTGAGCTTCTGGCTACGCTCGTTGGGCTTCAGGTAGCCGCGGTGAAGCGTTGTCTTGTCCTTGGTGATGACGGCCAAGTCCACGTTGGAACCAGAGCCCAAGTCGTTGAAGATACCAGCCTGGATGGCCTGCGAGCACAGCTCCATGGCCTGCTCCTTGTTGAGGTCGGGCTTCCATTGTGTCTCGAAGACGGACATGGCCGCCAAGGAACCTGAACCCATGGTGACGTAAGGCAGCTTGTCCGTACTACCGTGGGCGTGGACGGTGAAAAGATGTGCTCCCGTGGGATCGACTCCGGCTACCACCAGGTAGGCGCCAACGTGGCCTTGGTACTTGAAAAGGTGTTGCTTCAGTAGCGTCATGCATGTCACGACGCGAGGCTTGCGGCCTGTAGATAGAGAGTGGAGCTCGAGGTTGGACGAGATGATGGCGGTGGTGAACTCGGTGTCGGCGGCGGTGCCAGCACCGGCACACCAGATCTGGGGCGCGATGTAGTGTAGCTTCTCGCAGTTCTTGTCGGCGACGATGGGGCCGCTTGTGGCTCTCGTGTCGGCAGCGATCTAGAGGGGCACGTCAACAAACCAGTCACATCTCGGGGGATGGGTGGGCTCTGCAGAGCGGTGCAGCTGCGCAGGTCCTACTCACCACAACACCGGCATCCTCCTTGCCTGCATTGTAGAGGCAGCCGACAATGGTGGTACCTGTGGACGTGGCCTTTGGCAGAGGCACACCGCGGGCGTGCAGGGCGGCATTGCGCGAATGATTGCTGAAGTCGAAGCCAGGCATATTGGGTGGGTTGATGGGATGGTCGGGGAGGAGAGTCTGGTGGTCGGAGCTGGAGAGATGAAGTTGGTGATCGAGGTCCCGAGCTCGAGGCTGGGCTGGACTGGAGTTGGGGACGCTGTTTGGCTGGGGGCAAGGCAGGAGCTACCTTGGGTAAGCTTGCAGGGGTGTTGACGCACGTCGCAGCTGCCTTCGTGCTCTGAGGAGTCCGTCGCGTGGCTTGCCTCTGATGAGCTCTGCTTCCAAGGCCGTTTTCGGACAGTCAACTGGTAATCCTTGGGCCCAGAAGAAAGCAAACCCCATCAGGTGACCATGTTTTGAGATATACAATGCTTCATTAATGCCCTAGATACGGCCTTTAATACATCGTAATTAGCAGATATTAAAACCAGGACTGATTCCTTATTGCCCCGACAGGCATGCGATGATTGTGTGACACCGAAAGTGGTATCGTTGGAAAGCTAGCTTAGGTGTCCGAATAGCTAGCTAGTCACAGTACAAGCAACCCCAAAAAGCCCCATTCTAAAATCGAACTGGCACAAACCCCCCCACCAAGACAGACGTTTACTTGCCATACCCAACCGCCCAGCAACCTGAGAAGTGGTCGAAAAAGACAGAGGCAACAATGGCGGACTCGCAAGAATTTCCCTGTGCTCTGTTGGTGCCCCCGAGCCTGCACGACGGTCTATGAACCTCGTCCATACTGACGCGACCTGCCAGCACCCTCGACGTCCCCTTCCCTACTGCCCGCCTCGCCTCTATCGCCCTGAAGTCCATACAAGTCGACAAGGAGCTGTCGCCGCTTGTGAGGAGAGACTTTTCCATTGCAAGTCCGACCAGCGGTGCCGAAGGCGACAATGTCGAGGACACTGTCTTGCAAATCCATTACAGAGCCACCACCAACAGAATGTTACGTGTCGCCGTCAACTCCTTCATGGAGAGCCTGGCGCTTGTTATAGAAGTCATGGAGAACCTTGATACCGACGTTTTGGCGGCGAAATCTGCTGATACCTCCTGATTCTCTGGAGGAAATTTATACGTACGCGAGGCGATTGCCTAATATGCCATGACGCCTGTCGCCGGCGTCAGCCTTCGTCCCAAACCAGTCGACAGAGCAGTGATGGGGAGGATGTGCACAAATATAGTAGGTACGCACCGAATCCCATAGATGGAACGCTCACTTACCGAAGTTCTAATAGCAAGTGCCTTACAAGAAGCCCATAATGCAGTCACGATATAAATGATATGAAGTCAATTAAATTGTTGCCAGAGATGGCACTCTTTTTTTGGTGTTTGTATTACTGAGAGGGCGAACAATGCCTAGTCTGCCTCGTTGATGCTCTTTAACATTTATGAATTCACCAAGCTAGAAGAAGCCTTGTATCAAATACTGAAAACCGAAACGCCCGCCATGACTACCAAATATCCTGCCTAGTCCTAGCCTAGTCCACGTCGATCTTGTGGACTTCAGTCCACTCCTTCTCAGCCTTTGGCACGGTCACAATGAGAATCCCGTTCTCCATCTTGGCTGTGATGCTGAAAGCGTCGACTTCCTCCTTTTCGTCTGATCCTGCGGGTGGTAGCTTGATACTTCGCTCAAACATTCCAACCTTGCGCTCGCTCGAAGTCAGAGACTGGAGGAACTCCTCGTTGCCTGGGCGATATACGACTCCAGCAACATTCAAGAGACTCTTCTCAGCATCCCAATTAACGCCGACATCTTCCTTCACCGCTCCCGGCAGTGACACGTGTAGCACGTACGCCTTCTCAGTGCTGAAGACGTCAACAGGAGGGACGAAAGTGTCGGCTTGTTCGCCTGCCTCGTCTCCCGAGGCTTCCTGACCTCCGGCACGAGCCTGTTCGGCAAACTCACGCAGGCCCTGAGCCAGTGGGTGAGCTGCAAGAACGTCCATGAGCGGCCGGAAATCGAATGGTCCATTATATGGTGGTGGAGGCCCGTGTCGGCCGCGGGCACCTCCGCGACCGCAACGGCCGCCTCTGCGGAATGCACCGCCAGGTCCTCCGTGGCGGTGATGTCCGTGGTGATGAGGACCGAATGGGTGCGGCGGATGTGGTGGGTGTGGCGGATGCGACGGGTGAGATGGGTGAGGTGGGTGAGGTGGTGGTTGAGGAGCATCAGCGGGTGGGTGAGGTGGAGGGGGTCCTGGCGGACCATCCTCTCTCATTGTCTCTGGCGTATCCGCCATATCGAACTCGCGGTCGTCAGATTCCTCTTCTCTATCGGATTCTGGTCCACCGCGGTGATGGTGTCGATCATGTCTGCCGCGTCCACGCCCTCGGCGACCGCCCCATGGACCCTCGGTCCAAGGGCCTCCCCAGGGACCGGCCCAACCCATGTGTTCCCAAGGGTTGAAAGATCCTGATCCGAAAGGAAATCCGGACCCAAAAGATGGACCTGCCTGAGCATGGTCAACACCAGCACCAGCCCGGTGAGAGTGGTTAGGGTCGAAAGACTGGACAAAGTCCCAAAAAGGCATCTGTCCGTGATTGTTTTGGTTATTGCTTGTCATTGTGAATGAGCTGAGGTGATTGTTGCGATGTGGTTGAAGAGGTGAACTCTGAAGGTTAAAGATAGGCCAAGGGGAATGTGAGATATGTAAGGCTCTTATACATACTCAGACAACTCGGCCAGACTCTTCCAGGCATCTTGTTATGCGTAAACTCACCGGACTTACTAGCCAATGGCGAATGAACAACGTAACGCAGCAGCCTCTGCAGTACCAGGAAAACAGTCATCCAATGCGTACGCAATGGTCTCGAATATACCCGAATCCATTAGAACAAGGCTCGCGGCGATAAACTAGCAAGTTATGAATCACAGGCACTGGTTGCCACGCGGCCTCTGTGCACCACTTGAAGATAGTCAAGGGCGATGATAGGCTCGTGCTGCTGTGAGAGCTCGGGAGCTAGTTGCGTGTGGCTTGATAGCCTGGAGGTAACCAGCAGAGTGTGGGGGAGGAGGCGAAAACGCCCCAGAAAGTCGCCCGCCTGGTCGCTCCTCAGCACTTTCGCAAGCCGTTCTGCCTGGCCCCTCGGAGACCAACTCGGGTCCGAAGGCGAATGGGTTCGAGCCATCCAACTACGAGTATGGACCCCGGGATCCCGACTTTGACTCGGGTCCGAAGGCGAATGAACTCCGGCCATCGAACTACGGTTATGGACTACGAGATCCCGACTTAAGGATTTGCTGTGTAGTCGGTAACGAAACTGAATCAGAGGCGATAAATGCGGCTGCCTTGAGGTCAAGCCGCGTCAGGTTCGCCTCCGGCCAGTGATTGGTTGCCGGACTTGCATATGAGTTTGGAGTTGTGCCGCCCGGTGATCCACACTAGCTCGGAGGCCTGGGGCTTGCTGCCAGGCTGCCGAACCGACCCCAACCAAACCAACGTTTTGTCTCAATCCCTAGGTTTCGAACCACATTCTACAGTATCAACGGTATATTACACAGGAAACTAAAGGGTTCTTCTCCCTTGGTCCACCCACTGTAGTGCCAACATTTTTTTTTTTTTTTAAACGCGCAGGGGAAATCAAGTTGTGACGTAATGCACTTGGGCCGCTGCTGACCGTCGCGCGGGTGCAGCCGCAACTATGCGTCCTGAATCGGTCTCGATAACGTTCGGGCCGTTGGGTGGCAGATGGTGGACTAATAACAACCTTTTTGTACCTGCGCAAAGTCGATGTGGCAACTGCAGACCTCGAAGGTCTCAGACATCACCGCGAGGTAGAGGGTACTCCTCGTAGCATTTTCGACACCGCTGTACGTCTGAATAGCCACAGGTTTTGGGGGCTAGATCGATGTTTTAGCCGCCCATCATGCAGCTACGGCAATGTGCCTCGCACCGCAGCCGAGTCCCGGGTGTCAGGGGGAGCTTCGGCGCTTGCATGCGTTGATCTCTGGACCTTGTCCAAGACTGTCGCTACTATGGATTGCGTGGGTGGTACGTATAAAGCTGATCACATTCAGTCAGAAAACTAGGGCAAGACATAGTATAGTGGCTTGTTGCAGATTATGGTTTTGTTTAAAAGCGTCTGACGTGAGCCGTCTTACATCTTTCCGGACTCTGGAGTTACACAAGAACGAGGTTTTAGACACAACACTGTGCAGATGCCAATCACTGTCTCATAGGCATCAAGTACATAACTACTATCCCAAGAATGCACCATAGCCATATTGTGTTGCAAGGGGCCAGGATGAGAGGAACGGCATTGTTGTACGCTACTGTGAGTATCCAGACAGTTCGTATTAGTGGCGCTTCGAGGTTAAAGCAGAGAAGGGGCAGACACGTCTTTGATGGAACTGGCTGCGTCGATGACCTGAGCTACAGAGCATTGCAACAAGCCGAATTTCCGTCAAGCTCAATCTCTGCCCATGCATTGGCGCCTGCAGATGCGATCTGACTCCCCTCTCACTGTTGACTTCTAAGCGCCCGCTGCAACCGGCCAATGAAGAGGCCTCGCCGGCATTTCGCCAAGCTACGATTCTGGGACCAATAGAGGCATCGTGCAACGGGCCCAATAGGAAGACCCCGCCCGCCTGGCCAGACCCTGTCGTCCCGCTGACAAGGCACGGTGCGGGACCAAGTGGGTGGCCCATCAGGCCGCATATTCAACGCCCTCAAGTCTCTTGCTCTCTCCCGAGTTTGTTTCACTTGTTTCGTCCGTATCGTCGACTTCGCGCCTCGTTGCCCCCTTTGTCGCTCGCCGCTCACGCAAGCCTGTGCGCCGAGAGTCTCACGGGCAGCTTCAGCGTCACGACAGAGCCGGCAACCTCCAGTTTACCCCACCTGCGGCCTCGATAAGACCGGCCCAAGTTCAAACCACGCCGTCCCAAGTACTTGCGATTCAGAGCTCCTATAAATAACTTTCCCCTGTGCGTCATCCTGCGCGTACAGCTTACCGCCGAATCCAGGAGCTGTCTTCGCGTTTCGCGTGCCCGCGTGCGTGAGGCAACATGGACCGTCACGGCAGGCCTGATGAGGAGATGTTCCTCAACAAGCCCGCTGACGACTGCGACAGCCCGACCATCGAGCCTCTGAGGATCTTCAAGCCCCAGAGCCCGAACCCCCAGGAGCGCTTCAAGTATCCTACACCGTCGGCCTCCAAACCAACCTTTCCGCTGCCGCCGGGAGCTTCAAGTTCTGCTGCACCTCTGCCTTACCCAGACGACGAGGATCTGCGCCCAAGCAGGCCTGCCACCTCGAGCCGTCCTCCCTACCCGGAGGATGGTCGCCGGCCGTCGGGCAACAGGATTTACACAAGCCCCACGGGATCCGCAGGCTCTGGTGGTCTCAACGACACGACGCCGCGGCTGGATACCAGTCCCATCGACAAGAGGGGACCAGGCTTGGCAGAGAGACGGGGTACTGCCCCCAAGCCCCTGCCAGGAGCTCTCAGCCCTACAAGCCCGGCAGGTGATGACGGAGGTTTGTTTGCGAAACCCCTTGGCGCTCAACAGAAACCGGCTGCAGCTTCGGCTACCAACTTCCCCGACTATCACAACAAGCCCTACTATCCTCCACCAAAAGCCAACTCTGCCAGCTCCAACTCCAGCCCAGGGAGTCATGGTGGGCCGCAGGAGGCCGACAACAACCTATTGAAGATGCCGGGTGGGAGTAGCGTCAACAGGTTTGCCTCGACGGCTTCTACTTCTACGACTAGAGCAAGTCGGGGGTCACCTCCCCCGCCCGAGACTCCTATTGTCGAACCAGGCCAGATTCCCGGTGGCGACATCGAAGCTCGATATGCTGCAGCTGGCATCTCGGGCACGGCTACCCTGAACAGTCTTCAGAGCTCTGCCGCAGCACAGAGGTTGGCACAGTATAGCCAGCAGCGTCCACCGGCAGCGCAACCAGGCCCAGCTCGTCCCTGGACTCCCACCGAAACCCCTGAACAACAACCCCATGGCCCTCCCACAGTTTATCAGGGGGCGAATCCCGTTTCCAGCGCCGGCCCGGCTAATGCCAACCCAGCCAGGCCCTCAACGTCGTCGGGCACTCCCGGTCCTCTACAAGAAAGTGTGCTTGAGCAAGACTTTAGGCGCATGCAGATGTCTGATCCGCCGCCCGCTTATTCAAGCATCAACACTGGAAGTGGAACGGGCTACCCTGCTGAAAAGCAACGACCAGGTGCTGCTCAGGCGAGTTCTTCCAGTTCAACCCCGGCGCAGGCAGCGCAATCCGCGTCTTCGCCACCGAAGAAGCAAGCGGATCCCATTGCCGCGGGTTTGGCCTCTCCTGCTTTGCAACACCCAGGCCATCCTGCTTTCGCCAACGATCCTAGACCGGAGAGCGTGAGCAATGGATCATCGTCATCACAGCCCGCGCAGACGCCTTCGCCTTTCCAGGGCCAAGGACCTAGCTCTCCGCCCCCGTTGCCGGAGGGCTGGATTGCCCATCTCGACCAGAACTCGGGGCAGTATTACTATATTCACTTAGCTACTCAAGCGACGCAGTGGGAGTTTCCCAAGGGCCCCAACCCGATTCACCACGAGGCTGCCCCATTATCTCCCACGGCCTCAACCTATGGTAACCCGCTAGCATCTCCGATGTTTGCTGGTAAACAGTCTGCGATGGCCTCGCCCATGTTCCCTCCGCAGACGCCTGGCTATGCAGAGAGTATCATGAGTGTAGCTGCTTCGGCTGCACCTACAGCAGGATTCACGGGGCCTCCGCCTAGCGCGGGTGTCGATATGTACAAGGTTCAGCCTACCAACGGCGTATACTTTGGACCGTATCTACGATATGTCAACATGGACCTTGAGAAGGGGTTATGGCTGGGAAGCATCATGATAGTCACAGACGCGCCTCAGCCTCCTACGATACATGTTCACAAGAGTGTTGACTTGTCGCCCAACCCACATCAAGTCACCCCTCACTCGATTTACACCCACCAAAGATGGCAGTTCTACAAGTATGATCTGAGCCTGCCGATGGATGACGGTGCTACTGAAAGGTGGACCTACGCTGTCACTTCGCATCTGGGATGTACAAGATACGAGTTCGTTGTTGCCGGCAGACATGAGATCAACTGGCGTTTCATTGCTCATTCGGGCAACGACTTTGCGGCTAGCACCTCCCAAAATGAGCGGAGCAAGCTGGGTGGTGTGGGCTTCATGTGGAAAGACGTGCTGCAGAAGAACGTGGACTGCGGTGGCTTTCACGCACAACTTGGTCTAGGTAACCAGATTTATGGCGACCGACTGTGGAAAGAGGTTCCGCTGCTGAAGCAGTGGCTGGCTATGCAAGGCAAGGAGAATCGGAGAACTGCTGGCTGGACGGCGCGACATGAGGAGGATGTGACGCACGCTTACTTCCATTTTTACACGAGTCACTTTGATCAACCGTTCCTTCGCGAGGCATGGGCTCAGATTCCCCATGTCTGCCAGGTCGATGACCATGACATGTAAGTTTTGTGAATCTCGTGGGCTGCGTCGAGCTACAACTGACAACCTACAGCTTCGACGGGTACGGGTCATACCCCGATTACATGCAGAATTCCCAGATGTTCAAGAACATTGGACGGATAGCGATAGACATGTACCTACTGTTCCAACACCACACCACGTTGGAGGTGCTACGAAACGTCAATCATGACTTGGACCTGTTCACGATCACTGGCCAAGGCTGGCATTTTGTCAAGTTTCTCGGGCCGGCTGTGGCTTTGGTCGGAGCTGATCTGCGCTCAGAGCGCACTCAGAGCCGCGTCCTGGCTGGCCCGACGTATCAAGGGCTCTTCCCCAAGGTTGCTACCCTGCCACCCAGTGTGCAACACTGCTTATGGATGCTTTCGGTGCCCGTAGTGTATCCAAGACTCGACACTGTCGAAAGTTTGGCAAACACGTTTGCTACAGGCAAGAAGGCGGTGAACACGACCTATAATGTACTCGGAAAGGTGACCAGTTCCGTGGCTGGCATAGTGGGTGGCAAGGATATGGTGGCCCAGGGCTTCACCCAAGTGAAGAAGGCAGTCGGAAAGTCGGGTTTGATGGGCAATGTTGTCAACCAGTTCGGCGACTTGGACATCAGCGAGATTCTCAAGGACATGTGGACACATGAGTCGAAGGACCTCGAGCGCACGTACCTGATTCGAACACTTCAAGGCATCGCTCATCAGAAGGGCATCCGGATGACTTTCCTGTCAGGAGGTAATTGGAAATCCCTTTCCCTTGTGTAGATCCCCGCAGTTGACTAACAAGCCGACCAGACGTTAATTGTAGTGGAGCTGGTCTGGTTCATGACCCAGCCCATCCAAGCGACCACAAGACCATGTATCAGATCATCACGTCGCCCATCGTTGCGGCGCCGGCCTCTAACTACATCCTGAAGATGCTGCACAGCAACAAGTCGTACTATGTACCGGCGAACGGGCAGAAGTCCAACCATGAGGTATCGGACACTAAGGAGGACATGATGGAGATCTTCCACACGGATGCTTCGGGATCAGCACGCGAGCTGAAGAAACTGATGGGTCGGCGCAATTACGTCGCCTTTGTGGCGTATGATCCAGAGGCCATCCCAGGCACACAGTACAGCGCCAGCGTGGCAAATGGCCAGAGCCAGGGGCTGAGCAAGCTGAGCCTGGCGGTCGACTACGTGGTACAGGGCGACGGGGCGTTCACGACGCCGACCAAGTACGGGCCGGTTATCGTACCACATCTGGAGTTTGGGCGATAATTCAGTGCCGCCGCTTCCACGAGGGGCTGCGTCGTTGTCCCCGGGGAAGAGGACATGGAAGGGGACGAGATGCAATGTTGGGTCGGATCAAGGGCCAGGGGCGGACTTTATGATTCTCTTACGTCGAGACGATTCGAAGCTGTGATGAACCCCAAAGCAAGCGCTCTGTTGTTAGTTTTTTGAGATACACCTGATTTTTCTATAGTAGAAGCTTTGGGCGAGATGGGCGAGAACACGCCGTTGAATTTTACTGGCTTCCAATCTCATTGTTGCCCTCCAGAAGGTCTCCCCTGATGTGAAGTTGATAAATAATAAATTAAATAAAATAAAGAAACACGGGAGGGAGTAGTTGGGGAGCGAAAGCGTGTGTCTCCCGGTAGAAGATTTGTTCGATGAAGTCTCGAGAGCGTAAGTTGACTATGTAGGCACCTCGGAGACAGAGGGCACAATTGGGCACAGCCAATGGGAAGCTCTCGTCCACTTACACGGGGGCTACTATGCACATAACGAGTAACCTTGGAAGTTACTATTACTACATAGGATGTACAGACCCCTATCCTTGACCGCTACCCCGCCATGGACAGGGGTGCCTGGCCAGACGACCCTACCTAGCTCCTACCCGACTGGACCGTGGCAGGGGACGGTCAGGGACTGCGCTACCCACGCGGGCGAGCGACAGGTGAACGATTGAGGGGCACTTTTCTATTGACCATTGGACTTGAAAAGGCGGCGAAGTCACTTCTCTGGCCCGGTCTCTGAACACGAAAAGGACACTTTGTTCGAAGCCATTGCCAGTCAGTCACTCCGAGCGGTCGATTCGGTGGCCCGATCTCTTCACCATCTTCCACACAACGCCTTTCAGCGCTGCTCTCCGGCCTCAACCCCCCCCTTCGCCATCACCATGTCTGCCGCCGCTCTCGGTGCCACAGCTTCGGCTCCCTACCCTCCCCTCGAGGACCGCCCGATCAAGAACACCATCTGCCTCTTCGATGTCGACGACACGCTCACCCGCCCCCGTCTGGTATGTGCCCCGCTGCCGCGCAATGTCGCCATTTCGAGGATCCCTCGTTGCTGACCCTGATGCGCTCCCGCGCCGCCAGCCCGTGACGGAGGAGATGCTCTCGACGCTCGCGACGCTGCGCCAGAAGGTCGCCATCGGCTTCGTGGGCGGCTCCAACCTGGTCAAGCAGCAGGAGCAGCTGGGCGCCCCCGGCCGGCCCGTGACGACCATGTTCGACTTCTGCTTCGCCGAGAACGGCCTGACGGCCTACAAGCTGGGCGCCGAGCTGCCCTCCAACAGCTTCATCAAGTGGATCGGCGAGGACCAGTACAAGGAGCTGGCCCGCTTCATCCTGCACTACATTGCCGACCTCGACATCCCCATCAAGCGCGGCACCTTTATCGAGTTCCGCAACGGCATGATCAACGTCAGCCCCATCGGCCGCAACGCCAGCACCCAGGAGCGCGCCGACTTTGAGAAGTACGACCTGGAGCACAAGATCCGCGAGACCTTTGTCGCCAAATTGAAGGAGCGCTTCGCACACCTTGGCCTGACGTGAGTTCTCCTTTCTCATGACTTATCCCCTTTCTTTCTTTCTTTAGCATTCCGTCTCGACTCTTACTTGTTTCCGCGCCTTGCTTCTGGGAATCCAAACGTTGCACTAACACGCCTCGCCCACGCCCCTAGCTTCTCCATCGGCGGCATGATCTCCTTCGACGTCTTCCCCAAGGGCTGGGACAAGACCTACTGCCTCAAGCACCTGGAGGAGGACGCCAAGAAGCCGGGCGGCATCGAGTACAAGACAATCCACTTCTTCGGCGACAAGACCTTCCAGGGCGGCAACGACTACGAGATCTACAGCGACCCCCGGACCGAGGGTCACTCGGTCAAGAACCCCGACGACACCCTGCGCCAGCTCAAGGAGCTGTTTGGCGTCTGACGCCCGTATCCAGAGAACGGCACAGCGAAAAGAGAGACCGGCAGACTCTGAAGAAAGAAGGTGCTGCGTGCTTGCGATGTAGGTCTGTGGCAAAAGGGGCCAATTGAAACTCATGGATCTCCATAGCATGAGCAAGACATCGTCACAACATTAAAAATGATAGACAGAAACCAAAAAGATACCTAGATAAGCAATAAAGGAAGACCATTTTGCTTCAATGACAGCATCCTCGGTCGCTCCCAGACAAACTAGTTACAGGGCAGCTTGTTGGTTTCCTCGAGCAATAACCCTCACCATGGTCATCCTGGTCACAGAATATGCCGTGCGACCAAAACTGGGCTTCACTTGACGAGTAGTGATGAGCAGTTGTTGATAACTCGGTGCAAATAGTGTTCTCCAAAACTTCAGGCAAGGAAGAATGCAGGGCCTGCCTGGCGAGGCACTGGAACGAGGCATTGGAAAGAAGAAGCCTACGTCTCCGTCCAAACGAAGCGATCCTCCAACCCCTAACTCCCTACTTCCCCTAATCACAGTTCCGGCGGTAGCACACCGCCGCCGCTCCGAGTAGCCGGCTTCTTCTTGTTGCTGCCGCCATTCTTGATATCCTTCAGCTTAGCACCCTCGACCCCACCGCCGGCGCCATCGTCCTGCGACTGCAACGCTTCGTCTCCCTGATCCTCCTCCTCCCGTCCTAGCGCCTCCGCACCGTGGGCAGCGCGGACGCCGCCCCATTCCCGCGCCGCGCTCTTGTCCGGGTGGCGCTCGTGCTCGGCTCCGGCGCTCTTGGCGAGCCGGCCGAGCTGCTGCTGCTGCTGTTGCTGTCCGCCGTCGAGGACGGCCGTTTTGGTAATGCCGTCGGTGCTGGCGGGCGTGTTGGCCGGGACTTGGTCCCCGGTGGTGTCGGCGTTGGTGTTGGCGTTCGAGGTGGCGGTATTGGGTGCGTCGGCGGCGGGCTTGAAGAACGCCATCTTGATTGAGTTCCTGGTTTTGGGGGTTTTGCTTTACGTTTTGGAGCTCTTGTTGGGGCTTAGAGGAAGATGTTGCCAGGGAATAAAAGGGGGGGGGCGAGGTCTGCGGCTCTTTATACCCCTGAGCCTCGCCATGTCCGGTGAGATAGATCCGCACGGCGGGTGGACGGTAGGTAGGTATGTTGCGCGGCACGACAAGGAGCAACAGCAACTTGTATCAAGTTTCTAGCTGTCGTGTTCTACGCCTATGATAGCCCGGGCTGAGACGTATTTCGTGTTTCGTGTCCCGTGCAACTTCCGCGGTGGGCGAGTGGTACTGCCAGCAAACTCGAACCACGGACTCTGGCGAGGGACACAGAATCGGATGCGGAAAGAGAGACTACACGTCATGTTCCAGAAGGTATCACGGTCTCGATGCGTTGCGAGTGACGTGGGCTGTCCTACGAGACAACGAGGCACCCAGGAACCGCGTTGCACTGCAAGAGTGACAAAGCAGGGCAAATTTGTAATTTGTCACATGTTCGGGTATCATTTCAACTATATACGATGTTGTGCTATCAAACTCCGACACGACGTACTATATACAAGCCTAAGCGATGTTGTTGTTCCTAGGCGACGTCCTGCCACACGCCCGTTACCTCAATAACGAGATTTACGATGGTGCCGATGGCCCACAAGGCTATCAAACCCCAGCCGATCTTCCTCGTCATCACCCACCTGTTCGCTGGCACGACAATCAAGAGCACAAGAAGCGTGACCAGAAGCACGACTGCCGAGACCATGAGGGTACCGCCAACCTGTATGTGATAAGATTTGTACTTGAATGGTTTGTCCGGGTGCTTGAGATGGTGCTTGTTGGAGGATTGGATGATTTGGTAGGCACCGCCCAGCCCAACACCAAGCAGGATATTCAGCATGGGGCCACCGAAGCATGCCGCTCTGCACATAGTTAGTCCTGAAAAGAATATGTTCCGTGGTCGAGGAGAAAACTTACAGAGCCATGACAGGATATCCTAGGCGGGCGACGGTGATATCCGCAACAAGATCCCCCACCGAGTTACCGACGGCGAAAACAGTAAGACCCAGAATCGCTTCTGATATATCTAGAATAACTCCAAAAGCCTTGAGCACGCCGACGACTTCGCCCGCGATCGTAGATATCCAAGCAATGGCGATGATGAAGCCAAGGAAACAAAACAGAAAATGAAATCTAGGGCGATGATCGGGTGTGGTAGTCAAAAGGAGGATAGCTAGTAAGACAAGAGAGCAAACAAGCGAGATGAGGGCGGCCATGAGGAGGGTTTTGCCTGGTCGTTCAAGGTCCTCGGCCATGTTCGCCCAAACAACACACACAGAGAACAAAGGCCCGATGAAGATCTGCACGATCAACAACCACCGGTTCCAGCCTTGATCCTCGCTCTCAGGAGCCGAGGTAAGATCTGAAGCAGGTTTGGCATGTTGCACGTCTAGTTGCCCGAGGCGAGGCTGTACGGCCTCGGCGAGCACAGGGCCACGCGAGTCCTCGGGGGTAGCTAATGAAAGCAGGGCTGGTGACGTGGTGCCTGACGAACCGCGGGATCTTGTCCTCCTCCTGTACCACTGCCACTCGGTTTCGGGCTCGATTGATCCGCTGGGTTCGTAGGACACGGGCGCCGCGATGTTCCCGGCATGGCCTGTAGCTGGCTCGTCCACGATGCTCTCATCCGGGTCATCATCTGTTGTCTCGCTCTCCACTACCGGCAGCGTGATGACGAGAAGCAAGATGCTTGGCACAGAAATAGCGCTCACTAGCTTGTCCCAGACTGGTTTGTCTCGCCAGCCTTGTAGGGTAGGGAACAAAGTACTCATGAGAACGTGCGGGGCCGGTAGAATTTGATACGGCCACCACCTGACGGGCTTGTGCTGTCCATGTGGTTGGAGGCTTTCGAATGGTGACGGCCGCTCCATGGCTGGGGTAGGAAGCGTCGAGAACGCCGGCTGGGACAGATTTGGCGTGATTGGCAGCGGAGAATCGGTATATTGCGGAAAGGGGGATGCAACAGGTGAAGACTGTTGGCTGACTGTGGGGCTAGGACTGGGAATACTGAGGCGCAAACCGCTTGGGGAGACAGGAGGCTCTTCGGCGCCTGAGTCATCGTCCGAAGCAGCGAGGCCACCCGTTGAATCGACCGCAGGAGGCGCAAGCATCCCCCCCACGGTGCGCATCGAGGGGCCGCGACTGGGATTCCTCGACTCTGCCGGCCCTCCAAGGTCGCTGTCAAGAACGACCGGAATAGCCCCTGACGAGCGTGAACGACTTCTGGTAGCTATGTTGGTCTCGCCGACGCCCTGGATCGTCTGAGCACTTTGTGCACCACGCACGGCAACTCCTCCACGCTCGCTCCAAGTAAATTCTAGTCTGTCGTCCGAGTGGCTCCTCGTGATGTGGATCGGAGCCATACGCATGTTTCTTTCTTCCTGCAAGGAGGACAGCACGGCGCGGAACTCAATGGCGCCGATGAGACTGGGTCGAATGGGTGTGATTGTAGTCGTGCTTCGCCTGCCACGAGGACGGTTGACCCGCATGCTGCTCGCCATCTCGGCAGCCACTCGCTGGTTGCGCTCGTTCTCGGTCTCTTCATCTTCGACAACCCCAATCTCTATCCTGGGCCCCCTCTCCAGAACCCCTATATCCACGGTGGCAGGGCCCGTTCTCCTGTCTGCCGGCGTGGTGTCTTCGTCCGGGTCGTCTCTGTAAGGCTCCAGCTCGTCGTTCCCTTGCTGGTCCACGGAAGCGAAGTAATGACCGCGCGATGCAGCTTCTCTTGCCTTGCGGGCTTTCCTCCGCTTCACAACGGTGTGCCAGCCGACGACGACAATGACGTAGAAAATGTAGAATGCGATCATGACGCAGCACTCCCACAGGTGGATGTTGCCATCGGACAGGAAGCCAACGGTAAAGGCAACGGCGACAATGAAGAAGCATATGTCGCGGATGAACGTCTTCTTGCTGACCTTGAACTCCCGCACCAAGGCCATGGAACCAGCCACGACAGCGGTGATGAAGCCAGCAGCACCGACGAGTTCGCCGACCGCCATACTCCCACTATTGGAGCTCATGGCGGCAAAGGTGCTGAAGACGTCGGGAGAGCCATTGCCGAAAGCCAGGAAGGTGACACCGGCCAGACTCTCACTCAAGCCCAGGACCGTGGCGATGGTGCTGAGGTTGACGCTGAAGAAGTCGCTGGCAGCGATGCCGATGGTGGTGAAGAGGAGGCCGAGCCAGGCGACCAGCACGACAAAGGCCACAGGCTGCGCCGTGCCCAAGGTGCAGTAGTAGAAGGTTAGGTACTCGATGAGACCAGCTTCATCGTCGTGGCAGTTGCGTATCACGAAGGCGCACTTGTCGGCGGCGGAGTGCACCAGGCGACAGTCCTCGCCGGAGCGGGCCGAGAGCAGCGAGCGGCCGGCGTCATGACGTGCCGACGCAGGGCGGTGGATGAAGATGCTGTAGGCCGCAAGCAGCGTGATTGCGAAAGCGGAAGCGTAGAAGGGCCGCAGACTATAAGGCTTCCTTTTGGCGGCTACGGGTCTCTGAGGCATGGTGGGATAGCTTGCCGCGCAGGGTGGTCGCCATGCGCTGGGAGAGCGGATGGATGCTGTTACGTCAACGGGGCCAGGCCAATGGAAGCGCGCGCGCAGCTACCTCGTCAGGTACCTGGGGACAGCTGGGGGGCGGTATAAGAAGGATGGGCGATGTCAGCGCCGGGGCAGCCCATCACTCGCAGTCGAGGAGTAGCGATGAGCAGTTCGGTTCTCGACAGAAGCAGGAGCAGAAGCACAATGCGGAGAGCATTAAGGATAACCAGCGGCTCTGCTCGAGAGGCAAAGAGGGAGGGAGGAGAGAGTGAACCAGAGGCGAGCTGGGCGATGCGACGACAAACGTTGGACTTGACGTTGCAGGACCTTGGCACTGGGGCCCGGCCATGGAAATCCAATCCAGGCCAATCCAAATGCAATCCGATCCAATCTGCAGGCCTCCGCCGGCTGGGAGACCTTCCCCCCCTCTAGCGTCTGTACATCGTAGAGCCAAGGTTACGGTGCTCAAGTAGTTCGATACTTTGTGAGGGAGTTGACTGCCCATCCGTGGAGGCAACCTTGGAAGTGGCACAGTGGCCCCTCGTGGCGTCGAGGCCGCAAGTGTAATTGCCTGCAGTAACTACTCAAAGTAGGTAAGCTATCTATCTACTGTATCTATCTATCTATCTATCTATCAACCAACGCACTTTTTTTTGGTGCTTGGCTGCCACGCGTGACAGCAGCAGCAGAGGCTTTTGAGTGCTGACGTACCCAAGATGTGGTGCTGTAGCTGGCTGTAGCTTGCCACCTGCACCCAGGCACACTGCCAGCTCACTAATAAGTTGCTTGACTTGGTCTCGTCTTTGGGTTTGCGTTGCAGAAAGAACGTGGCATGCTGTGCATGCTGTGCCCCCCCTTGCCCCCCCC